GCAAAATCCCCATTTCCTCCCAATCAGCTGGAACTCGGGAGGCAGAGAATAGATGAGGGCAGGGCCAGTCAGATTTTTTACTACCAGTTCTCCAAACTACTCAAAATTTCCGCTACCGGTTCTCCAGAACTGGTCAGAACCTGCTGAAACCCACCTCTGCACTGGAGGTTTTTAAGCAGAGACTGGACAGTTATTTGTCTGAAATGGTATCAGGTGTCCCGCTTGAATAGAAGGTTGGACTAGAAGACCTCCAAAGTCCCTTCCAACTCTATTATTCTGTTTTCCTTCCTTCCTTCCTTCCTTCCTTCCTTCCTTCCTTCCTTCCTTCCTTCTCTCCCTCCCTCCCTTTCTCCATCACTGGAAGTTTTTAAGAAGAGACTGGACAGCCATTTGTCTGAAATGATACAGGGCCTAAGCAGGGGGTTGGACTAGAAGACCTCCAAGGTCCCTTCCAGTTCTATTATGCTGGATTCAGCCTAAAGTTAAAGAATGGTACATCCAGAAATGTTCCAGCACCTTAACTGAAGCCTTACTGATTTCCAGCAATGACAATTAACTTCGTGCCCAACAAATGGAGCGTCCAGCTACTATCAAATCTATTTTTCATGGCCAATAACAAGGGAGAGTGAGAGTGGAAAAACACTAATTTACCAATTTGCACAGTTCTTTCCCTTTTTCCTTGAAACACAAGGTCTCACAGAAGGTGTAGAAAATTCAAAAGCAGACCGCTGTTATCTGCACCGCGAATCTAAATTCATTTATCACGGAGAAGCTGCTTTTAAATCCCATTTCAAGAAGCTAAGTGGGAAAACGTGGATCTTGTGGTCAGACCGTGCCTTTTCTCTTATTTCAAAAATTAGGCACAAGAACATTGGCAGTTCACGGTAATCTCAGTTGTCCCAGTGACAATCTTTATATAACACGTGTTATTAAATCTCTGCTTTTGTTCCCCGCAGAAAATCAAGAATCTGGCAATATGGTAAGTAATTTGTTTTTTTTGGGTTTTTTTTACCAGCAAATATTAAAAGGAATAAATGTTCGGCAGCTGCAGTACATCAGATTCATCCTGAAATCTTATGCTATTTAAATGGGTCTGGAATGTGGAATAGAACAGAAGAACAGAACGTAGAATGGAGGGAGGGGAGTGGAGAGGGGGAGGGGAGAGAGAGGAGAGGAGAGGAGAGAGGAGAGGAGAAGAGAGAAGAGAAGAGAAGAGAAGAGAAGAGAAAGAAGAGAAGAGAGAGAAGAGAAGAGAAGAGAAGAGAGAAATTGGAATGGAAAGGAATAGAATAGAATAGAATAGAATAGAATAGAATAGAATAGAATAGAATAGAATAGAATAGAATAGAATAGAATAGAATAGAATAGAATGTAGAGTGGAGTGGAGTGGAGTGGAGTGGAGTGGAGTGGAGTGGAGTGGAAGGGGGAAGGGAAGGGAAGGGAAGGGGAGGAGGGGAGAGGGGAGGAGAGGAGGAGAGGAGAGGAGAGGAGAGAGAGGAGAGGAGAGGAGAGAGAGAAGAGAAGAGAGAGAAGAGAAGAGAAGAGAAGAGAAGAGAAGAGAAGAGAAGAGAAGAGAAGAGAAGAGAAGAGAAGAGAAGAGAAGAGAAGAGAAATCAGAATGGAATGGAATGGAATGGAATGGAATAGAATAGAATTGGGCTCTTCTCCAGGGAGTCCTTCCTTCTCATTAGGTGGCCATTTGAGTCTCCTCTTCAGGATCTGGCCTTCTAAAAAGCGGTCAGGGTTGATCTCCTCTAGGACTGACCGGTTGGATGGCCTTGCAGTCCAAGGGACTCGCAGGAGTCTTCTCCAGCACCAGAGTTCAAAGGCCTCAATTCTTTGGCCTTCTCAGCCTTCCTTATGGTCCAACTTTCACAGCCGTCCATTGCAACTGGGAAAACCATCACCTTGACTATACGCTCTTTTGTTGGCAGGGTGATGTCTCTGCTTTTTAGTATGCTGTCTAGATTTGCCATTGCTTTCCCCCCCCCCCCCAGGAGCAAGCGTCCTTTAATTTCTTGGCTGCAGTCCCCATCTGAGGTGATCTTGGAGCCCAATATCTTCTTTGTGGCAGCCCCTCAAATGCAAGATGCTCACCCCTAGTCCTTTTCATTAAATTAGCCATAGTTTAATGCAACCATTCTTCATATCTTTTATCCTCCAGCCCCCTAATCACTCTAATCAGCTAATTAAGCCGTGCAAAGGGTTCCTGAGCCTTTAAATGGTCTCTCAGTCTGGTTCAGTAGGAATCACAATCATGGGAAAGACTGCTGACCTGACAGTTGTGCAGAAAACCATCATTGACACCCTCCATAAGGAGGGAAAGCCTCAAAAGGTAATTGCAAAAGAAGTTGGATGTTCCCAAAGTGCTGTATCAAAGCACATTAATAGAAAGTTATGTGGAAGGGAAAAGTGTGGAAGAAAAAGGTGCACAAGCAGCAGGGATGACCGCAGCCTGGAGAGGATTGTCAGGAAAAGGCCATTCAAAAGTGTTGGGGACTTTCACAAGGAGTGGACAGAGGCTGGAGTCAGTGCATCAAGAGCCACCACACACAGACGGATCCTGGATATGGGCTTCAAATGTCGTATTCTTCGTCAAGCCGCTCCTGAACAACAAACAACGTCAGAAGAGTCTTACCTGGGCTAAAGGCAAAAAGAACTGGTCTGTTGCTCAGTGGTCCAAAGTCCTCTTTTCTGATGAGAGCAACTTTTGCATCTCATTTGGAAACCAAGGACCCAGAGTCTGGAGGAAGAATGGAGATGCTTGAAGTCCAGGGTGAAGTTTCCACAGTCTGTGTTGATTTGGGGAGCCATGTCATCTGCTGGTGTTGGCCTACTGTGCTTCATTAAGTCCAGGGTCAACGCAGCCGTCTACCAGGAGATTTTGGAGCACTTCATGCTTCCTTCCGCAGATGAGGTTTATGGGGATGCTGACTTCATTTTCCAGCAGGACTTGGCACCTGCCCACACTGCCAAAAGTACCAAAACCTGGTTCAATGACCATGGGATTACTGTGCTTGATTGGCCAGCAAACTCGCCTGACCTGAACCCCATAGAGAATCTATGGGGCATTGCCAAGAGAAAGATGAGAGACATGAGACCGAACAATGCAGAAGAGCTGAAGGCCGCTATTGAAGCATCCTGGTCTTCCATAACACCTCAGCAGTGTCACAGGCTGATAGCATCCATGCCACGCCGCATTGAGGTAGTAATTGATGCAAAAGGGGCCCAAACCAAGTACTGAGTACATATGCATGCTTATATTTTTCAGAGGTCCGATATTATTCTATGTACAATCCTTGTTTTATTGACTTCATGTAATATTCTAATTTTCTGAGATTGTGAATTTGGGGTTTTCATGAGCTGTAAGCCATAATCATCAAAAGTATGACAAATCAAGGCTTGAACTATCTCGCTTTGCATGTAATGGGTCTGTCTCATATATTAGTTTCACCTTGTAAATTGCTTTACTGAAATAAATGAACTTTTGCATGATATTCTAATTTTTCGAGTTTCACCTGTAGTTTTGCTGACTTATCTCGGGCAACAGTTCCCCCTCTGGATTTTTGCGAGAGGCTAATGGGAAGATAGGAGATTCCGCAGACGTGGTATTCAGCCGGTTCGAGCAAACTGGTAGTCGAGATGGCGGGTGGGCCCGGTTTTGAGGCTGGGCGCATACACGGAAGGTGAGCATGAGAGCGAAGCGAGGGTGTGCACGGCGGACCAGTGGCAACAAAATATGAAACCCAACGCTGAGACTAGGCTCAAAAATTATCTGAGCGCAGACATTTTTGCTTTCAAAGAAATCCCCGTCGCTTGACGCAATCTAAGGCACTTTCCCCCCCTCCCCAAAAGGAGACACAGAAAGACAAAACAAGCCGTTCTAAATTATATAACACTTTATTGCAGCATCGGCAAAGATCAGATTTCAGAAGCTGGTGAAGATCGGGTGTGTGGCGTTGTTGCTGACGGTGCCTATCGCATGTGAAATGTTACAAGTCGTACAATCTCATTGTTTAAAAGTCTACATGCAAAGAACTCAACGGCGGTCAAAAGAATTTCAAAGCGGCGAGGAAAACGAAAAGAAAAAAGAAAAGAAAAATAAATCCGAATAGCCAACGGATGTGTCCTTTAAACAGAATGTACTACGCGCTACATGAAAGCCAACGAAAAGGAGGAAGCAGCAAAAAAAAGGAAAAAAAGAAAAAAAAAATACCCCCCCACCCACCCCACCGCTATAACTAAGATTGTCCAAAAAAAAAAAAAACCTGACCAGAGAAACTTTTATCTCAATTTAGAAAAATAAAAATTCTACTTTTCTGCCAACTATTTTTTTTTTCCTTTTTGTTTTTTTTTAAATATGTAGACACAGAGGCTTATCAACCCATGAAAGTCAACAGAACATTCAGCTCCACTTCCTGGCATCTGTCTGTCGTGCTGACTGGCACATTTTGGTTTTTCAATGATGCTTTAAATGAGCTCCTCTCTAAAGACCCTTGGCTGGTGTCAGGCTGTTCAAAGCAACTTTTGGTCAATGCTCTCTCCCTTCTTTCTCTCTCTCCCCCCCCTCCCCCTTCCCATCTACCTGCAACCTTCTGGAGAACATCCCACACTTCCTCGTTTCTGGTTCCTTCAAACCTCTCTCACTTGCACCCCACGCAACCTGGAACAGACCCGTTTCCTATCAGATTATCGCCTTCCAAGGAAAAAATCTCGCGTTTTGGTAAATCAGTTGCCGTTTTGCTTCTCCTCGGTGGTGTTGGGAGGGGCTTTACTAGTCCTTGTTTTATGACTTCTCTAGACCTGGCTTGCGTCCCTCCCAAAGAAAGCACTATCTCCTGGCACACCGCCACGCGTCGTTCCGTGAAAACGCCGCTCTAACTTTATTATTATTAATTCTTATTATTTCCCCCTCCCTCCCCAGACTTAGCCACCAAAACTGTCTCTTCTCTCTCTCTCTCTCTCTGTTCCAGCGTAATCCATCTTATTTTTTTTTTAAAAAAAAAGTTGCTCTTATTTTAAGTTGTTAACTGAACTGCTCCACCGGTCAAGTTAACCATCTCATTTATTCTGTTCTCATGAAAAGGTTAACCCTCGCAGCACACGGTATCCGTAACAAGATGCTTTTGTTTTCGGTTTTGATAGGCCATGACTGGAAGCTTCCACTATTTCTGTTTTTTGTTTTTGTGTTTTTTTTTTTTTAATAAGAGGCTGGTGCATCCTGCTCTACGGCCCCCAGCCTGCCCATCGCTCAACTCTCTTGAAGACTGACATGCTCAGATGTGTCCGCTGCTCTCGGTTTAATTGCTGGAGGACTCCACTAATCCACAACATTGGAGATACGGGACCTGATGTGAGATGACTCTTGCGGCTGGATCAACGTCTCCTGGGAGAGACAAGGAGGAAAGGGTCAGAAGGACGGCAGAGAAATTTATTCGCTTATTGAGCGTACGAGGTGGTGCAAGCCCTGGTGTGTGTATGTTTATTTCTCTTCTGTCCTGTTCTCACCATACACTAAATCTATATATATATAAATGGCTCTGTGTGTATGTATGTATGTATGTTCCAGCATAACTCTGGAATGCCTCGAGATTTCAACCAAACTTGGTACACAGATGACTTACTCTTTGGAAAAAAATACTGTGGGGGTAAGACATCCCTCTCGGGGGGGGGGGGGTGTTGTTAAGATACAGCCTGCTGTGCTTTAAAATGGCTTCTACTGTACTGCCTTAAAATGGCTTCTACTGTGCAGCACAGTGGAGTTGCCATGGTAACGGCTTCACAGTACTCCACAAGGGGGCTCCCTCTGGTAAGGGGGAAAATCCAACATTAGAAATTACATTTTGTCCGGACATTTTCAACAAGGTTTCGATTATACTTGAGGCCACAATCAATGAAACATTACTGTAACTTGGCCTGCCTGCACCACTACGAGACCGACACAATGTACTTCACGCAGATTACATACGAGAAAAGAACTACAACGTCCAACAGCATAGTGCCTATATCGTGGATAAGAAGCCACTTCTAAATCAAGATCAGAAAAAAACATATCAAATGATCATGGATCAGCTAGCAAAACAACAAGGTGTTGTCATTTTACTTGACGCTTCTGGGGGCATTTTTAACTAATTTAATTCTCGCCAAAATCAGGGCTCAGGGGTGAAGTTGCTCTTCTTGTCTAATACAGGACTGGATAAATAAATACCCGGGCAACGCCAAGTTATCAGCTAGCAAATAATAATTTCAGTCATGTTTGTGATTTCTGCTCTAAGGTTTTCAAGGCAGAACTCCTCGGGTTCCAGCAAAACTGTCTTCTTGCTCGAGGATACTGTTATCCCTTTAAAAATTAAAAAGACTTCTCAGTTCTGAAATCAGGAGCAGTGCAAAAACCGAAAACCACAGAATAATCCCACGTTATTCCCTGGATCAGGGGTGTCAAACTCGATTTCAGTGAGGGTTGTGTTTGACGTCAGGGGGGCTGGGGGGGAAGCATGATGTCACTCATGTCGGGGGCATCTGTGGTGGCCCGAGAGTTCTGCCAGAGGCTCTCGAGCTCTGTTTCGACTGCGACGGCCTCCTGCAACCCTCTGCCAGTAAAAACGGAGCTCGGGAAAACCGCATGCAGCCCTCCCAAGCTCTGTTTTTTCCTGGCAGAGGCACCGTGGGCCGGTCCTTCACTGTTTCCAGGGCGGTCCTGCGGGCCAGATCTAAGCACCACATGGGCCGGATCCAGCCCATGGATCCACGGGCCTTGAGCTTGACACCTCTGCCCTGGGGATCCTTACCTTCCACCAGTTTTAAAGATGAGATCAGCATTAGGGGCTCCCTTAGGATGCTGGTACCGAGGTCGCCGTTCTCGGTTTGTATTTGCTGGAGCCGGCCGCTGAGCCAAGGATTGCATCATTTCTGTGGATGAAAATTTTTGTTTTTTTTAAGAAATAAATTGAAGGGTGAGGGAGAGCACTGTCCATTTGCTGTGGTCCACCATCAGCCTGCGGAGCTGGCAGTGGAGTTGGACAGTGAGGAGGCTGGGGAGGACCATGGGCCAGTCCTGGAGTCAGGGGAAGGCCCGGCCGAGGGCTCTGCGTAGGAGGCAGAGATGGGGCCAGGGCCATCTGGGAGTGATGCGCGAACTCCGGAGCCTCCAGAGGCTGACAGCAGAGAGGCAGAGGAACAGCAGAAGCCTGTTCCTAGTGCATGCATCTGAAGAGCTGCCAGAAGGCAGGAGCAGCTAAAGCAAAAAGGACAACTCGGGAGTAAGGCCAGGAGATGATTGGCCCCTCTCAGAAGGCTTAAAAGACCAGCAACGGCTCTTGGGATCTTTATAGGAAAGCAACGTTGCTACATTTGTTTCTTGTCGGCGTCTCCTGCTTCTGAACTTTTGCCAAGAAAAGCCTTTGGCAGGGTGCCAAATAGACAAAGGTTGGTGATAAGGCCGAAGGACTGTTTACGAAGAATTTGTTTTGGACTTAATTTGGACTAAGCTGAGAATGAAGTAATTCTCAGCTGTTCACATCACCTTTCTGAATTAAAAAGAGCGCCAGGGACATTTCTAACAAGTATCAGAAGTCCCCCAATTCCCTCAACGAACAAATCCTTGTCATTTGATGAATGATGAAAGACTTCTCGGGCAGAAATTTGCAATGTTCAGGGTGGGATATTATTTTCTCAACAGCGTGTGAAACTATCACAACCAAGAACCCGTTTCCAGTGCAAGGATAGGCTGCCGCTTTCTCCATTGTAATTTTGAACCGTCACTAAATGAATGGTTGCAATGAATGAATTGCAGAACTAACGCTGCAGAACTAACGAATGAATGGAGAACTAACGTTATAGAGCAGTGACAACTAACCTTTTCCGGACCGAGTGCCCAAAGCGTGCCCAACCCCCCCGAAAATGCAATGTGTGTGTGGGCCCAGCATGTGCCTGTGCATGGGGGCCCCATGCATACATCTCGCCCCCTGTGCATGCATGCCCCCTGCCTGCGCTCCTCCCCCCTGGCATGCGTGGCAGAGACCCAAAAACCAGCTGGCTTGCAGGAGGCGCAAGCACATGCCAGCAGAACTGAACTGGGGTGACAGCTCGCGTGCCATCAGAGGGCGCCGCGTGCCACCTCTGGCACGCATGCCATAGGTTCCCCATCATGATTATAAAACTGAACAGGAGTCTCCCCTACCTTGATAGTCCTCCTGTTCCTGCCGTTCATTGATGTCCAAGGTTAGCTTTTTCATCCGCATACGCTCTTCCTGCTCGGCCTGCTGCTGGTTCCAGTGGTTCGCGGCCAGTTGAGAGGACATCGGCACGTTTAGGATTTTAAACTGAAAGAGCAGAAGCCGGTCTAAGAATCCAAAGAAAGGAAGACGTTCCTGACTAAACGTGGCCTTACAGGGCAAGGGAAGGGAACCCAGGAATTATTCTCTCATTGGCGCCACCGACTTGGCATGTGACAGGTCCCCGGGGGGGGGGGTTGAGAACTGTATTTGGAATGTGCGAATAGCGGTGCGGTGGCCTAGAGGTGAAGACGCACAGCCTCCAACTGGGGAGGCTGAAACTTCAATCCTAAACAGCGGCAGATGGTTTCTCGATCACGGTGGAAAGAGAAAATATTTGCGAGGGAGAGAGGGAGGGAGGAAGGAAGGAAAGGAGGGAGGGAGGAAGGAAGAAAGGAAGGGAAGGGAAGGGAAGGGAAGGGAAGGGAAGGGAAGGGAAGGAAGGAAAGGAGGGAGGGAGGAACGGAGGAAGGAAGGAAGGAAATGAGGGAGGGAGAGAGGGAGGAAGGAAATGAAGGAGGAAGGAACGGAGGAAGGAAGAGGAAGGAAGAAAGGGAGGGAGGGAGGGAAGGAAGGAAGGAAGCTGTGGTGGCACAGTGGTTAGAATGCAGTACTGCAGGCTAACTTACTGCTCGTTGTCAGCAGTTCAATCCTGACCGACTCAAGGTTGACTCAGCCTTCCGGGATGGGTAAAACGAGGACTCAGATTGTTGTGGGGCAAGAGGCTGACTCTGTAAACCGCTTAGAGAGGGCACTGAGAAGCGGTATAGAAGTCTAAGGGCTATTGCTATTAACCTGAAATGTTAATAGCGGATTAAAAAGGGTTACACCTGTGCAACCAGGGCGTAACCTTACCTGCTGCTTGTTGCCTTTCCGCGTCAGCATGACGAAAGGCATGGTGTCTCCGGATTCAGACTCCCCCTCCCCGCCCCCGAGGGGAGGTCCTTTCTTCAGCTGGCTCTTGAGGTGCAAAGGGATGGCCACGTCCAACTGGTGCACTTTCACCGACTCTCCGCTTCTTTGCTGCAAGGGAAACAGGTAATAGTAAGGGAGTCGGAAGGGACCTTGGAGGTCATCTAGTCCAACCCCCCGCTACGCAGGAGACCTATACTAGGGATTCGAACCGCCGACCTTTCTGATTGACAAGCTCAGCGTCTTAGCCGCTGAGCCACCTAGGGAGCCGCCAAGAAAAGATCTAGAGCAGGGGGACTCCAACCTTGGCCACTTTAAGACTTGTGGACTTCAACTCCCAGAATTCCTCAGCCAGCAAAGCTGCGACCTTCCGACGAGCAAAGTCAATGAGGAAGCCAGATTCACTTAATAACCGTATGACTAACTTAACAACTGCAAGGATCTGCTTAACCACTGTGTCAAGGAAGGTCATAAAATGGGGGCAAAACTCGCTTAACAAATGTCTCGTTTAGCAACAGAAATTTGGGGCTCCGTTGTGGTCATATTTTCGAGGACTAACTGTATTGGTATTCCTCAGATAAGTCCTCAACTTAACGACCGCAGCCAAGTTTCAAAAGATTGGAACCATTCCACCGTCATTTCAAGAAGCAGGGAGTTCTGTGAAATGCGACATTTTTGCACAACTGTATAAAAAAATCAATCCGTACCTGTAAATTTTCCAGCATCATTTTATCCAATGCCTGAATAAAATCTTCATCTTCCGCGCAGGGGACCCGTTTCAGCCCGCCTCCTTTAATCATTACTTCCTGATATATATATTTTTTTAAAAAGGGGATAAATTAATATTAGAAGTATATGTATAAATGATACATTAGAATAAGGGAGAAAAAATGTATAAGTAAGAAATTCTTTACCGACGTGAACTTGTGGAAAAGGAAAGATTGTTAAAGATTCCTTTTTGTTTTTGTTTTTTTTAAATGTTTAATAATTTATTTATTTTTTTAAAGGGATGAAAAAGAAAATAGCACCATTATGGGGTTTTTTTGGCTGATGTATATTTTCTGCGAAGCAACCTGGAATTAAGGAGAAATTTCTTAACAGTGAGGACAATTAACCAGTGGAACAGCCTGCCACCAGAAGTTGAGGGTGCTCCATGACTGGAGGTTTTTAAGAAGCGACTGAACAGTCAGTTGTCTGAGATGGTATAGGTTCTCCTGCTTGAGCAAAGGGCTGGACTAGAGGACCTCCAAGGTCCCTTCCAGCTCTATTCTATTCTGAATTCTGAATTTATTAGGTAACTTTCAAGGGGAAAAGAGCACCAGCCATTCTAAGATGGTGGCATCAAGTCAGATTAAGATAAAGAGTTTATTCGACTTTTCTCTCTCTCAACTCAGCCCAAAGTCAATAGGGGAGATCGGATATTAATCTTTGATCAATAGTTGATCGTCCGATCGCATCAGGATGAGGCTGACATGAAAGAGGTCTGTGATTTTTTTGCTTCCTGAGGTCAGCTTGTCTGGAGATTAATGATTATGGGACCCCATCTACCTATGTAGGTGTTCTCTCTTTAAAACTATTGATAAGATATGATGTGTTTGCAGGTGTTTTTTCAAACCAAAGGAAATTCATTTTTTCTCCCAAAACTAATTTTGTAGGCAGTCTATTTTAGCACTTTTTATAATATATATAGATATAGATATAGATACCGTGTTCTCTTCATCCGTTTCGTTCTCCTTATTAGAGTCAGTGAGATAATCGGTATTTTCTTCTTCTTCCTCTTCTCCTTCGTCATCATCATTCTCCGACCCCTCCTGAAAAGATCAAGAGATTTAATGTACAGCCTCTCGTTTTAAGAGGAGTTACACCAATTACCATCTTCACAGCCTTTGTGCACAAGCTTTGCTGAACTTAATCTAAGAACTATTAGAACTAAGGAGAAATTCCCTGACAGTTAGAACAATTAACCAGTGGAACTACTTGCCTCCAGATCCAAGGTCCCTTCCATCTGTTTTGTTCTGTTCTGTTGTCTATTCTATTCTACTGCTATTCTATTTTATATTATTTTCTCAATTCTATTCTATTCTGAATTCTATTCTATTCTATATTATTTTCTCTTTTTTATTCTATTCTGAATTCTATTCTATTTTATATTATTTTCTCAATTCTATTCTATTCTGAATTCTATTCTATTCTATATTATTTTCTCTTTTTTATTCTATTCTGAATTCTATTCTATTTTATATTATTTTCTCAATTCTATTCTATTCTGAATTCTATTCTATTCTATATTATTTTCTCTTTTTTATTCTATTCTGAATTCTATTCTATTTTATATTATTTTCTCAATTCTATTCTATTCTGAATTCTATTCTATTCTATATTATTTTCTCAATTCTATTCTATTCTGAATTCTATTCTATTCTATATTATTTTCTCTTTTTTATTCTATTCTGAATTCTATTCTATTCTATATTATTTATCCTATCCTATCCTATCCTGAATTCTGTTCTGTTGTGTTCTGTTCTCTTCTATTCTATTAACGATATTTTGGCCATCGTTTCAGAGCTATTTCAAAATTCACTCTGAAGTTAATTATCCTGTCCAGTTGTTCCTGACATGAAAAATCAGAAGGCATGAGATTCTAATGAAATCTGTGTACAATGGATCACAGAATCACAAAATTACCGATATTCTCAACTGGATTTCAGAAACTACCCTTCAACAATACTCTATTTAGTAAATTATCACAGCTGGGAACAGAGTCACCGTCGGATATGGTTAAAGATGGCAGCCACATGGTGCAAACAAATTCCCCTGGATTATTATTATTATTATTGTTTAACTATATCTTGTGAACACTCTGGGCAGGGATGAACATGGCCTACTCTTCCTGGCCTACCCAAATTATATATAAAACTTCTCCTCAGTTGAGTTGAGTTGTAGGCTTTAAGCATAACAGGTATTTGTTTGTGAATTGGGGGCAGAGTTCTATCAGCCACTCTTCCAAACTCTGTTTAAGAAAGTTATGAGAGAGAGAATCACCTCCTCCTCTGGCTCGTTTATTTCGCTTTCATTTCCAGATTGTTCTTCGATCTCTACCCCACCTTCCTCTTCGTCCTCATCCTCCTCCAGGTTCTCTCCTTCAGTCATGGAATCCTTAGAGTCTTTGTCGTTCATAAGACCTGAGGGGGGAAAGGAAGAAGAAAAGAATTATGTGTGGGGTTTTTTTTAATTAAAGGTTTTACAAAGAGCAGAAAAATGAAGCACAGACCAATAAATAGACAGAGGAAGGGAGGGAGGGAGGGAGGGAGGGAGGAAGGGAAAAAGAGGGAGAGAGAAAGAAAGAAGGAAAGAAAGAGAAAGAAAGGGGAAGGGAGTGAGTGAGGAAGGAAGGAAGAAAAGAAGAAAGAAAGAGAAAGGTTTCCAATTTATTTTGCAGTAAGTATTAAGTACAATTACAAAAGAATTTCTTACTCGATGATTACAAAAAAGCTCACTTTTCTTTCTAGTTCCCCAGAGGTATTTGCCCCACATAATCAAAATCACAAATCCTAAGTGCACTTTTTCCATTTCACCCAAAAAGTCTAAAATAGGTTTTCAGACAGCCGTATAAAAATTGGTGTTTAAATTTAACCCTCTCCGTAAACTCCATCATTCCTCCCTTGTGGGTTGTGTCAAGCCTTGCCACTTTGCCACACCTGCAGTTGTTAAGCTAGCAACGTGGTGGTGAAGGGAATCTAGCTTCCCCATTGTCACGAAGTGGATCACGTGACTAGAGGTGGAATTCAGCCGGTTTGGGTGAATCGGTAGCGCCGACAATCAGTTGGCCCCACCCGCCTGCCCCTGAACTATCCTGTCCTTTATTTCCTGCTTTGTAGCTCATCTCAATCACTGTTGCTGACTTGGAAGGTAAGCAGCTGTTTCTAAATGCTCCATTTTCAGCGCTGCGCTCAAGCGCCCTAAGAACACGCAAACCGCGCGCTCACCGAACCAGTTGTTAAACCGGCAGCATTCCACCACTGCATGTGACCCCAGGACACTGCGACCGTCCAAAATATGAGGCAGTTGCCAAGCATCTGGATTTTGATCACGTGATCCTTGAGGAGGCTGCAACGGTCGTAAGAATGAAAAACAAGTCCCTTTTTTTCCCCCAAGTGTTGTCGTAACTTCAAACGGTCATTAATTGAACCGTTGTTAAGTCGAGAACAACCTGTAGTGGAATATACATCTTCTTGATGATGATGATGATGATGAAGAGGAAATTGGACTGAGGGCCATTATTTATTAAATTGGTACGCTGCCAGATTAATTAATTAATCAATTAAGCACTTCCTCCCCACTTATGGAGACAAGAGGAAAATTTATACCCACTTACCCGGAGACATCTCAAATTTTATAAACAGTGCTACCAAATATATATATCTATATATATATATATCAAAGTGGGAATTTCAGCTCCCTCTGGCCTCGACGTGGCAGTCTTACCTAGTTTGATTAAGAATTCCCTTTCCAGTTCTTGTACCTGCCTCACGGATTCTTCCAGAGAATTGCAAAGTTTTATTTTCGGTCTCAGCAGTTCTAACGTATCGCTGATCATATAGTCAATGTCTATAGGGAAGAGGTGATCCTTTGTCCATACGTCCAAGCTTTTCTTCCACCAAACATACCTCTGGGAGGGGAAAAAAAAACACAACGCACACACAAAAATATCACCGCACGGTAAACGCCCAGCTTCTCCAGTTCGTCGAATCAGCCAGGAATTCCTTTCAGCGAGCGAGTTAATGTTTTTTAAAAAATCTTGTCTAAAACAAAGAGTCGCCTCAAACTTATCGGTGGCCATTGGTTAAGAGCTTCCTCCCTTCCTTCCTTCCCTTCCTTCCCTTCCCTCCTTCCTTCCCTTCCTTCCTTCCTTCCTTTCCTTCCTTTCCTCCTTCCCTTCCCTCCTTCCTTCCTTCCCTCCTTCCCTTCCCTTCTCTCCTTCCTTCCTTCCTTCCTTCCTTCCTTCCTTCCTTCCTTCCTTCCTTCCCCTCTCCCTTCCTTCTCCAACACTGGAGGCTTTTAAGAAGAGATTGGACAACCATTTTGTCTGGAATGGTACAGGGTCTCCTGCTTGAGCAGGGGGTTGGACTAGAAGACCTCCAAGGTCCCTTCCAACTCTTTTGCTATTTCCGATGCGGCGAAAAGCAACCTGATGGCACAAATGTATGCGCTTATGAATAAATATTAATTAATAATACAGTGGCATGGTTCTTTCCGTTAAGACATTCTCCTTGTCTGTCTGTAGCACAGATACTCCTGACCTTTCTGAATTGTTATGCCAAAGACTACCCGTATACAGTAAAGGCTGGGATGAAATCCAAGGACCTGTTTTATCAAATGCTTTCTTATTCCATGGCTTGGCTTAATCCATCTCCTTTCTCCCTCCCTCCCTTCCTCTTTTCACTTTGACCACTTGATTCAATTACGCCAGGGGTGTCAAACTCAAGGTCCGTGGGCCGCATCTGGCCTCCGGGGCTGCCCTGGAAACGGCCCTCCCAAGGTCCGTTTTTGCTGGCAGAGGGTTGCAGGAAACCGTCGCAGCTGAAAACAGAGCTTGGGAGCCCACTAGCAAAGCATTCAGGCCTCCACAGGCGCCCTGACATGAGTGACGTCAAACTGGCCACACCCACACCCAGCCCCCCCCCGGCCCCGAGGTCAAACACAACCCTGATGCCGCCCTCAATGAAATCAAGTTTGACACGCCCCGAATGACGCAATTCTTGTCCGGGTCATGTTTATCGATTTTATTTAGCGTGGGAGACAGCATAACGCGCGGGAATTGTAAAGCGGCCCGCGAGGCCGGAGGGTTACCCTACCTGAAAGTAGACCAAGAAGCAGTCCAGTTTTCGCTTGCTGGATCCCCTGTCGAAGTACTGCCCGCAGGTGTCCAGGATGGTGCAGACCAGTCTGATTCGGAAAAGGTGTTCGGGGGGGTCCAGGAGACTCGACGTGCCGTCGGAGTTCACCCCGAACAACGTGAACGAGTACAGAGTCCGAAAGATGACCGCCGATTCGACCATTCTGTAGTTGTACAGCTCGCCGAGGAACTTAGCGCTGCTGATCCTCCGCTGATTGAATTTGGGCTGATTAACCTTCAAAGGAAGAAAAAGAAAGAAGCTGCAAAGTTAGCGTTCTCGCCTTCCGAGAGAAGAGAGTTATTTGTAGCTCAGGATTGAAATGAGGGGTCCTTGGTGCTCTCTGAGCTTGGGGGTTTTCTTACAGACATTTCATGACCCAACTAGGGAACACTATCCATGCTAGAAGGGAGAGGAGGAGGAGGAGGAGGAGGAGGAGGAGGAGGAGGAGGAGGAGGAGGAGGAGGAGGAGGAGGAGGAGGAGGAGGAGGAGGAGGAGGTGGTCCTTGAGGGTCTCTGAGCTTGGATATTTTCTTGCAGACATTTTATGACCCAACTAGGGAATATCATCAGTTCTAGAAGGGAGAGAAGGAGGAGGAAGAGTTCCTTGGTGCTCTCTGAGCTTGATTGTTTTCTTGCCAAAGTTTCATGACCTAACTAGGAACATCATCAGTGCTAGAAGGGTTTGCAGAGAGGAGGAGAAAGAGGAGGAAGAAGAGGAAGCAGAGGAGGAGGAGGAGGAGGAGGAGGAGGAGGAGGAGGAGGAGGAGGAGGTCCTTGAAGGTCTCTGAGCTAGGATTTTCTTGCAGACATTTTGTAACCCAACTAGGGAACATCATCAGTGATAGAAAGGACTGGGGTTTGCTGTCTGTTTATATACCTTTATGTTTATATGTAATTGGACAGTTTGGAATATGTTTATAAGCAATGGGTCTCATTGCAAACTTCCAAATGGGGACCCCACTAAGTCAGATCACGATAGGTGACATAAAACATTTTTTTCCCTTCCTTAACATACGGGAGCCACCAGGGAGAATGCAGGATCAAATCTTTTCTGATTTTCTGTCTATTCACATCGCAGAAAATTACCGTATTTTTCAGAGTATAAGATGCAGCTTAGTTTTTGGGGAGGAAAATAGAGGAAAAAATCTGCCTACCAGGTATTCATCTAGCTAGCGTCCTTAGCAAGCATTAGTTTGCTGGTTTTTTTATCCCCTGCTGGGGGATAAAAAACAGCTTCTAAGGCACAGCTGAGAGGAAGCAGCAATGAGAAAAGCAGGTACAGCGCCTAGTTAGGGCTGAAAAAAAGCTTCTAAAGAACAGCTGAGAGTCAGAGCAAAGTACCGAGATCGCTTCCCTCGCTAGCGCCTCGTTAGGTCTGAAAAAAAGCTTCGAAAAAGCTAAATTCGGGAGTATAAAACACACCTAAATTTTCAGCCTCTTTTATGGGGGAAAAAGGTGCATCTTATACTCTGAAAAATACGGTACGTTTCCGCACTACCAAAGAACTTGGCCAGGATGCTACGGAGCACCAAGAACGCAGCTATTTCGATCCAAGTTTAAATTTCTCCTTCTGTAAGGCATTTCTACATTATCATTAACGACGGGGACATAAAACCACAAGAAAATTTAATTTAAATATACTTCGCCTTTTTTTTTTTTTTTTTAATAGCGGGAGCAGCTTTTTAAAGTACTTTTACCTCCATCCCTAATCGAATATCCTCTAGAACTCCGTCCACCACGTGAATCCCAACGTCCTCTTGGTAAAGGACCAGTCCTGCCAGAAGGTTGGCTACACAGTGAATGCTGTTATATTTCACATTCCAAATGTTGATCATACAGCAGATCACGTAATCTTTCACCTCGTGGTCATGCCAAGGCAGTTTGCGCATTTGTCTCAGGACCTAAGCAAAATTGTGAAGAACCTTAAATAACTCACGAGTGTTGGTTTTTTTAAATCGGAAACATACATTTAGTTGGTTGTTAAAAGAGTAAAACTTTTAATTTCATTTTTTTTTTTAAATTTGATTTATATGCCGCCCTTCTCCGGAGACTCAGGGCGGCTTACAGTGCGTTAAGCAATAGCCTTCATACTTTTGTATATTTTATACAAAGTCAGCTTATTGCCCCCACAATCTGGGTCCTCATTTCACCTACCTTAGAAAGGATGGAAGGCTGAGTCAACCTTGAGCCTGGCGAGATTCGAACTTACTTTAATTGCAGACAGCTGGTGTTAAATTACAGTGCTTAGTCTGCAGAGCTATCCAGGCTCCTAATTCTAAAAGAAAAGAGGCATCCATGATTAAACCCAAAATAAGCCGTGCAATCCCATGACTGAATAAACTGGCATTATTTAGGTTTTGTTTATATTTGTAAATTTACATTTATTATTTATAAATCGTCAGAAGTTGAAGTAAATTGAATCAGTGATCCTGATCTCTCCGGGGTAAAGTCTGAAGTGAAATTTTGTCTGTTGCATCCAACATCTGCTGAATGGAGGCTTAAGGTTTGAGAATTTTCAATAATATTCCAAAACAAAACCACACAGTTTTTGACACTCATATTCTCTTCATGACCTGTTACCACAATAAATTCCAGATCTGTAGGTACGCTAGGCCAATGATGGCTAATCTTTTTGCCATTGCGTGCCAGGAGGGGGCATGCGGGGTGTGTGTGTGTCATGTGTGCATGTGCCCACACTCATAATTTTATGCGCCCCCCACGCATGCGTGTGCTCCCTCCCCTCCTGGCACGCGATGGCCCGGTAGGCCCGTTTTTCTCTCTCACCTGGCTCCAGAGCCTCTCTAGGAGTCTGGGGAGGGTGAAAACGGCCTTCCCCACGCACCCATCCCGGAGGCCTCCGGAGGCCAGAAACGGCCCGTTTGCCAACTTCCGGTGGGCCCAGAAGGCCTGAAAATCAGCTGGCCAGTGCACACATGTGCGCCAAAGCTGAGCTCGCGTGCCCACTGATATGGCTATGCATGTCACCTGTGGCACGCATGCCATAGGTTCGCCATCACGGCACTAGGTAAACCCTGCTAGCTACAGGCAACCAATTCTAAAAATTCAAAAACCTTTCAAGGAAAGCATTTAAAAAAAAAAACCCGTGATGAAACAGTAGTTGTTACCAGCTCGTAAACAGCCATTTACCTTGTGGCAGGTAGGAATTTTCCACAAATGAAACTGTTTAAGGTGCCACAAACAAATGATGTTAACAAACAAGCCGGCTTACATTTGGTTGCGCGTTAGTGATCATTGCAAGCTTATCTGCAAACCCAGCTTAAGAAATGTTGGTTTAAACTATTTATTGAATAACCATGTTGTTCCGGAGACTAAACACGTTAAACCTAATGCAGAAAAACTATGCAGAGGAACTTAATTATCGATAAGAAACCTGAGAAGTATTATTTGATCTGTGAATCAAATATGGATTCAATATTTTCATTTTAAGCTCAACGTTTAGGTCCGCCATTGTTAAATTTTAAAATATCTGGTTTCCACCTTGGTTCTTCGTTTACAGAACGGGCCAACGTCCCTTAAGGATCGCAAAACAGTGAGTAATAAAAATGTTAATCCATGTAATTGCCTAACTTCGTCCACCCCCAATTCCGTTTCCCCCGAATAAGGGCTAATCTCTCTCCGTATCGATGCCGACTACAGAGGAAGAAAAAACAAAGAACCTTTTCAGTGGTGACTTTGGAGAGATCCTTATAGAGCAGCTTCCGGATGTATTCCTGGAGGGGAGGCCGTTTCTTTTTCACCGTTTTCTCCGCTGGGGGAGGGTTACAATAGTAGTAGGCGTTTTCCACCATCGTGACGTAGCGCGCGTCAAGGTGCATTGCTTGTTTCTTACGCATCATTTGCTCCTAGAAACAAGAGGCGAAAACATTCAGGGCAGGAAAGCCACAGTTTTCGTGACGCTTTGCGAGCGAGACGGCTGGTTTCCAAGTCTGATACATGAAAAAATAAAATTTTAATTAGATCTTGGTTTTGATAAGCCTTGTGGCCATCCTTCCCTAACCAAGTCAGAAGCTTTGGAATACAGATTTAACAATTTACTTAGGTAAAAGGTAAAATTTTCCCTGTCCGATTGGTGTCTGACTCTAGGGCACAATGCTCCATTTTCTTGCTGAGGGAGTGTTGTCCGAAGACATTTTCTGTGGTCATGTGGCCAGCATGGCTATATGCCAAAGGCGCACAGAGTGCTGTTACCTTCCCATCAAAGTGGTACCTATTTATTTGCATTTGCATGCTTTTGAACTGCTAGATGGGCAGGAGCTGAGGCAAGGAATGGGAACTCGCCCCTTCGCGCAGCACTCAAACATAATATCAGCTTTCCAGCCAACAAGCTCAGCATCTTTAACTGCTGAGCCATCACATCCCCTCACTAATTTACCAAGAGGTGTTCATTCTTTCAGCTCCTGAAGCTGAAGATCAAATATTTTGGCCACCAAATGAGAAGAGGACACTCCTTGGAAAAGACCCCGATGTTGGGAAAGATGGAAAGCGAACAGGAGAAGGGAATGACGGAGGAGGAGATTGTTAGATGGTGTCATTGATGCAATGAACATGGATTTGGGCAAGGAGGGAGGGAGGGAGAAAGGAGGGGAGAGACAGAGAGAAAGGAAGGAAGGAAGGAGACAGAGGAGGAAGAGGGAGAAAGAAAAGAAAGGGAGAAAGGAAGGAAGGAAGGAAGGAAGGAAGAAAGGAAGGAAGGGAGAAAGGAAGGAAGGAAGGAAGGAAGGAAGGAAGGAAGGAAGGAAGGAAGGAAGGAAGGAAGGAAGGAAGCTGAAGAGATCTTATTTGTGGGGCTGATCCCCTGCAAATTCCCTAAGTAAATCCTGGGCCTTTCCGTTCAGAATATTCTTCTCCCGTGAAGAAGAATATTGACCATGAGAAGAAAGATAAATATATCATAGAATCCTTACCAAGAGAACGCTGGTCCTCAAATGGGAGTCCGGAGACCTGAAGAGGAATCTGCCACAGGTCTCCAGCAGAGTGCAGGCCATCTCGATATGGTGATGGGAGAAGTCGGACAGGAGCATCTGCCAAGAATTTGCAGAATTGCAAATTACCGTTTAAGGGGATTTCACGATGAAACGTTCGTGTGCGGTCAGCGTATGTCGCACGCTGTACAGGTTGTCCTCGACTTACGACCACAATGGAGCCCAGAACTTATGTTGCTAAGTGGGAAATTTGTAAAGGGAGTCCTGTCCCATTTTACGCATTTTCTCGCTGCATTTGTTAAGTGAATCACTGCAGTTGTTAAGCTAGCCACACGGTTGTTAAGTGAATCTGGCTTCCCCATTGACTTTTGCTTGTCACCCCGGGACACTGCGACCGTCATAAATATGAACCAGTTGTCAAGCATCCAATGTAAATCTCGTGACTACAGGGATGCTGCAATGGTCGTAAGTGTGAAAAATGGTCCCGAGTCACTTTTTTTCAGGGCCGTTGTAACTCCGAACGGTCGCTAAATGGTCGTAAGTCGAGGACCATCTATATTTTTTTTAGATCTCAAGAAAGCTTATTTTGGGACACAAGTAAACGCATTTGAATATTCTACTCCAATCTGCAACATTAACCCTTAATATATATATATTTATAAAAACAAAATTGTTTAAATGATAAAGCATCATTACGGACAATTCAAACTACGCATATCCCTTTTTATAAGATCATTCTGAAGCATGATCCCCTCCAGTTAGTCATAAGGAAGGGACAGGATCCAATCCATGAACACTAACCTTCAAGCAATGCAGCGTGTCACTTTTGGAGAACATCTTAAACTTAGTTAGCTCGCCAATGAACCTCACGGTTTTGTTCTTCGTCTCGATGTTGATCTGGTCCTTCTTTCTCACCTGAAGACAAGGATGAGGGTTTACTTTATCCAGATGTGACAATGTACACTTTGTTACACCTTAAGCAGCCACAAGTTCCGTTTGCTGATTTGGAATGCGCTAAATATTAAATGTAATATAAATTTATATGCTAAATGCATATAAATTGAACCAACCAACCAACCAACCAACAAACAAACAAACAAACAAATAAATAAATAAATAGTGGTTTAGAATAGAAGAGAATAACAGATCTGGAAGGGACCTTGGAGGTCTTCTAGTCCAACCTCCTGCTTAGACAGGAAACCCTCTACCATTTCAGACAAATGGTTGTCTAATCTCTTCTTTAAAACTTCCAGTGTTGGAGCATTCACAACTTTGAGGTGGGGGCTGCCTTTACAATGGAGGACCAGAACTATAGCAGCAAAATATTTCTGTCTCTCCATTCAGGGTCATATAAAGTTAGTTCCCCGGTACTACCATCTAAATACCGTAATATTTAAAGGATCTGAAAATAGTTGTTCAGAGAGATTCATCTTTAAATGCATCTTTTTCCAGCAAGAAAAACCCACTTTTTCCAGCAAGCCGGGCTGGCTTAAGAAGAAATTTTTAAATGTTTTAATTGGTTTGTGATTTTTAATTTTTGGGCCAAATTTATATATATATTTTAATTGTTTTTTTAATATTTGTATTTCATGTTCTTAATTCTGGCTGTACACCGCTCTGAGTCCTCAGGGAGAAGGGCGGTATATAAATTGGAAATAAAATAAAATAAATAAATAAAAAATAAAATAAATCTTGTGATTTAACAAAGGTTTAAAGTGTCCCAAAGGTGCTTTTTCAAGAGGCAACTGGACTTTCTGTTTTTTGAAGACATTTCGCTGGATGGTTCAGTCAGAGCTGAAGAAGCTTCTTGGATGAGAAGCGAAATGTCTTCAAGGAAAAACAAAGGAAGTCCAGTTGCCTCTTGAAAAAATACCTTTGGGACAACAATGACCTGGAAGACTGAGAATCTCCATAGAGGTTTAAATTGTTTAAAATATATTTATTGAATAACCACGTTGTTCCAGAGATTATACATATTAAAATGAATGCAGAAACAATATAAATAATTTAAACTGTATCGAGCTGCCGTTTAAAACCAGGTGTGTATAAAATAGCTCTTGGATTCACAGAAAATAGTTGCACCCACAAAGAAAGCTAACACCTTTGTCTTTAGGAAAAAAGACTTCAGAAGTTTAATGACAAAATTCATTACTCCTTCATAAGTGAAAACCTGAAATTAAAACTTTTATGTTTCTGTGTCCAGTACATTTCCTAGACACTTAGTATAATTGTTATATGAATTGGTAGTTATCAATACATGTTGTTGAAGTATATAATATATGGCAGGCAAGATGATGTATTTTAAAGCACTCAGGTTTTTATTAACAGTTTATCAAAGTTGTTTATAGTACAGTTCTGCTTCTGACTTACAACAGACAAAGGAAATGAATTCACAAGTCAACTGCCGATTATATTTTGGAATAGTAGTTGGATATTCCCTGCCTCCATTTCTGGGTACCGTACAATACTTAAGAAGATTCCAAAATTGAAAAAGCAGTTCCCATTTGAATCTTTTATCCCTGAGCCCAATGTACATGTTGTACAAGCAAGTATCTAAAAATTTAAACCGGCTGCCAATTCTGCTTAGGAAAGAACCCCAAAGAAATCTATGCAGGTTTTCAATTGCTGTTCTCAACGTTTGTTCAAGCCTGCAATTTAAGAAACGATGCCATGTGGCAGCAAGTTCTGGAATGCTCTGAAAATCAGTATTTTCAAACAACAGGCGAAAGATTCAGAAGTAAGCGTGCTCATGAATACGTGCATGGTCAGGCTTTAAGATTATGTAATAATATTTTGCATTCTAGTTTATGAAATGTAAAAAAAAAAAACAAAATCCGTTACAGCACTGGCCTTTTACTCTGAGTTTCCCTATTATTATGAGAGGCATTTTGAAACGTGGGCAACACAATCTAATGGAAAACCAACGGAAACGTACGTGAAATCTGAAGTCCCCCTTCAACATGGAGCAGAGGTCTTCTGCTACGTCGGACATACAGGGGTGCAAAGTACCAACCAGCCGTGCATAGAAAGGCAGCAAATCCAGCCTGCAAACAAAGCATAATCCATGGGTAAATGTTCTATTTCAAAGAACATTTAGGGAATCCAGTTTTTTTAATCTGATTTTTAGATATTTGCAATATAAGCACCACACTGTTACTATATATATTATATATTAATTATAACAGTAATAGTAGGGAACCTATTATATAATTATAAATATTACTGGGAAGTTATGAGACCAGTGCAACCAATGCATTTTTTAATATTATGCAATAGCACTTAGACTTATATACTGCTTCGACGACTTTACAGCTGTCTCTAAGCGGTTTACAGAGTCAGCCTCTCGTCCCCAACAATCTGGGTTTTCATTTTACCAACCTCGGAAGGACGGAAGGCTGAGTCAACCTCGAGCCGGTCAGGATCGAACTGCTGGCAGTCAGCAGAGTTTAGCCTGCAATCCTGCATTCTCACCACTGTGCCATTACGGCTCAGAGGAATGGAGAAGAAGAAAGGGGGAAGGAAGGAAGGAAGGAAGGAAGGAAGGAAGGAAGGAAGGAAGGAAGGAAGGAAGGAAGGAATAGCACTTATAAATGCCTCTTATTTCATAGCAATAGACTTATATACCACTTCATGGTGCTTTTACAGGCCCCTCTAAGCAGTTTGTACTGCCCCCAACAATCTGGGTCTTCATTTTATCGACCTTGGAAGGATGGAAGGCTGAATCAACCTCAAGCCAGTCAGGATCGAACTGCTAGCAGTGGGCAGTGTTAGCCTGCAAATGTTGCATTTTAACCACTGTGCCCCCACGACTCTATTTAACATTAAAAGTCTCCACTTCTTTCATGAAATAATCATTCCTGGATTATCTCATCTTTTCTCCAAAGAAATTCAAGGCAATATGCATAACACACTTCCAATTTTATCTCCACAAGAACCGTTTGGTCTAATTTTAAGTCTGAGAAATAAATTTGACTCAAAGTCACTTAATGTATTTCCATGGCTGAGAAAAGACTGAAATCTGAATTTTTCCTGTCAAAAAGTTAGACGTTATATTGGCTCTTACCACCTTGGTGAAAATCTGAATTAGTCTTGTATTAAGAATGAGTTAACCGTATTTTATTTTCCTTATGGCCTAACTCCAAGGACTAATATAAGAAAAAACAATCAAAACCACCACAAAAATGAGTAAAGATTAATGTTTGGACAGGAGCTACGTTACAGACTGCCCAGATCTTCCAATGAGGTACTCCAAAGATTTCACCAAGAATTTGAAAATACTTCAAAACCTATTGCTCATATGGAAAGTGTAACTAGATATATTTAAAAAAACCAAAGCTCCTTTGCCTTTAGACGATTTCAGAACACAACCAGCTATTTTGCTTGGAAACTATGTGGAAATGGTTTGCCAATATTCTGGGAAGGTTCTTAATTTGTAATTTATTCTCGCGAATTATTCTCTGGAATTTTACCGCGGTCTGTCACATGAGCGCTAATGAAGTTTGATTTGATTTAGCCTCCAATTCCAAGCAAAATCAGGCAGACGCTCTGGAGACCAATAGCTGTATTGGTAGTCCTCGACTTACGGCCACAATTCAGCCCAAAATCTATGTTTCCAAGTGAGAAATTGGTTACGTGGGTTTTGCCCCATTTTACGACTTTTCTCGCTACCTTTGTTAAATGAATCATACAGTTGTTAAGCGAGTCACACGGTTGTGAAGCGAATCGGGCTCCCCCCCTTGACTTTTGCGCGGTCAGAAGGTCGTAAAAGGGGATTCACGTGACCCCGGGACACTGCAACCGTCATAAATGCGAGTCGGTTACCAAGCATCCGAATGTAAATTGCCTGACCACAAGGATGCGACAATGGTCGTAAGTGTGAAAAACGGTCATAAGTCATTTTTTTCAGTGGTATTGTAACTTCGAATGGTCACTAAAGCGAACTGTTGTAGACAAGAACTATCTGTATGGAGGAAGTCATCGTTATCTGGGGCAATCCTGAATTTATGATCATGGGTATTAATACCATGGATAATAAGACCTTAAGGAAAAAATATTAGCATAGACATTAGGAGTGTGTGTGTGTGTGTGTAAACAAAGAACAAGGCCGCAACTGCGGATACACAAATATCCTTCACAGGTATACTAAAGTCTAGCAATTGTAAAAATGCAAAACTGTGGCTGAACTGAATCTTTCTTAAAAATGAATGGCAGTTTTCTCTCTTAGATCATCCCAGATGTGGTACTTATATGCATTTAGCTTACTTTATTGATGACTCACATTTTAAGTGAAAAACAATTAAGTGACATTCAGTGGAGTAGTAACAGAATGATATAAAAAAAAAAATATCAACAACTAAGTTTCAATGTTCCAGGATCTAAACCATCCATGGCTGTTTCAAATTTATGTGTAACAAAGTTTTAGACAAATCTGTCACAAACAACAATCCCCAAATTTGTTGATTTATGCTTTTACATTGTGTATTTATATGGTTTTAGGATGAGGGTGTAAGCCTCCCAGAGTCACATAAGTGATGGGCGGTGTAGGAACTAAATAAATAAAATACTCCCATTTTTGCATATTAATGGATTTTAAGAATCCGAAGAGAGATTATGGGGAAAATGTGCTGTCTGGACCAAATTCATTTCCACGGCTCTTCAGATCTCAGACCCCGACTTTTGAATGCAACATTTAAATTCGATGCTTACCTCTGCCGAGGAACGATGAAAAGGGCCCTGACTAATTTCCTTCGGTTAGCCTTGGTGTTCATATTCATGCAAAAATCCATGGCTGCCTGCGGAAGAAAAGGGAAAGATTGAAATCTGAGTTTAAATCTAACTAATCATAAACCCAATTCCTGATATGCGAGCGGCTATCGTAGTCCAGTTACGTGCTGGAGAAGAGCAGCTTCTTCCCATCCACAAGTGATTTCAGGCTGAGACCAACCGACAGAATCATATATTTTTTTTCCAGCTGTTAATAATCGAAACAAATTTTTACATGCCTTTTCTTTGCATTCGTAGATCGGAAAAGCTATTTAAATTCATTGTCAGGACTGCTTTTAGCAAGCGGTTTTCTGCATTTGGAGGGGATCAAAGGGGGTTAGAATGCAAGACCTCGACTTACAATAGTTCATTTAGCAACCGTTCAAAGTCACAATGGCACTGAAAAAAAGGGGGCTTAACAGCCGTTTTTCACACTTACGACCCTTCCGGAACCTTGCAAACTGATATTTATGACGGTTGCGGAGTCCCGAGGGGGTGGGGGTGTCACGGGATCTCCTGTTGTGACCTTCTCGCAAGCAGAGTCAACGGGGAAAGCCAGATTCACTTTACAACTGTGTGACTAACTTATCAAATGCAGTGTTTCACTTAACAACCGCGGCAAGAAAAGTCGCAAAATGGGGCAAAACCAGAGGTGAAATGCTACCGGTTCGGGCAAACCGGTAGTGATAAATACTTTAAAAAGGGTTTTAAAAAAAGCTTCCGACACTGTGTCACATGATCCTCCGAACCTTTTTTCTACTTTTTTTTAAAGCATATTTTTTTTACTACCTATTCGCCGGAACCGGTAGTAAAAAATGTTTTAAAAAAGAAGAAGAAGAAGAAGAAGAAGAAGAAGAAGAAGAAGAAGAAGAAGAAGAAGAAGAAGAAGAAGAAGAAGAAGAAGAAGAAGAAGAAGAGGAAGGCCACGCCCACCCAGTCACATGACCCCACCACCCACCCACCGCCACCAAGCCACCCCCACAGAACTGGTAGCAACAAATTTTACATTTCACCACTGGGCAAAACTCATTTAACAAATGTCTCAGCAACAGATATCTCAGGCTCAATTATGGTCGTATGTCGAGGACTGCCTACATCAAGACAACTGTATTCTGTAGAAATAGCCATTAGAAATATGAGATGGGGATTTCACCTTGTCTATGAGGTCTCTATTTACACAATTTGGGAGCTGCTGAAGAAAAGCATCTACTATAAGTTTTAGGTGTGATCCGGTGCTCGTTTCTTCATCTTCTTGTTCTAAATCAAGCATTAAAAAAAAAAGAGAGAGAGAGAGAGAGATAAGCCAAAAACAGATAAACATCTAAAATGTAAAATTTTAAAAATATGTTTTCCAAGAATTATGTAATCCCCGTAAGCAAGTGAATCATAGGGTGGATTTTGTTTTGTTTTTTCAACGGGGGGAAAAAAACCCCAGTTAATACCTAGTTCAGGCTTAAAATCAAGGGGAGAAAAAACAAAATAAACAGATATGAGATTAGTAAAAGAGAATGGAGAATTAATGCAATGACCCCCTAAGAAGAGACACGGGGCAAAACACTCGTGTAAATGTAACTTGAAAGGAACTGATAGATGAAACGCTGCATTGGATTTTTTTTCCTCCTCTCGTAGAAGAAATCGAGCATAAATATTTTAGGAATCCATTTCCATCTAGAAAATAAAATGGACTTGCAGATTCCTTATTAAACCCCCCGTTTGATGTCTTTATCCATTCATCAGTTGATGTTATCTCCCCCAAGGAGAATATTCTCACATTTCATCAAACTCCTTGAATGGATGGAGCCTGTCCCCTTCAGGATCCTTTCCAAGGGAATCCAAGCTAAGAAGTGTAAAGCACTTTGCACTTTAGAAGGGTTTCATCAAATAAATAATAATAATATTATTATTATTTCCCCTTAAAGCTAGCTTCACCATGGATATTTGCCTCGGATTTTCTCCCTTTTGCCCTTGTGTCTATTTTTGTACGTTTTGTATATGGTTTCTCCTACTAAATCTTTGAATTTGAAATGGGAGTTGGTGTACTTCCAACCACATAGAGGAAGTGGTGGCACAACGGGCTTCAGGATGCCGGAACTGCCAGCCCAAAAATGATCTGCACTCCAGCAGTTTGAGCCCGGCTCTGTGAGACAGGTTGAGCTCCTGCCGCTCGCTCCCCGGCTCCTGCCTACCCAGCAGTTTGAAAGCACATGATACTGTGAGTAGATAAATGGGTACCACTTGGTGGCGGGGTAAAAAAAAAAAAAACTAGCCGCATTTGCGACCTTCTGAGAAGCCAAGTCAATGGGGAAGCCAGATTCACTGAATAGTTTGACTAATTTAATTTAAGTGATTCACTTAACAGCCGAGGCAAGGTCATTTCATAAATGTCTCACTTAGCAACACAAATTCTGGGCTCAATTGTGGGCGCAGGTCGAGGGCTACCTGTATTCGTACAGCCTATGTTGACTAAACAATGGTGAAGCTATTTTCATAACTCAAGAGAGAGCCACTGGATTGAAGTGACTGAAGAGGTGACCTCAAATTAAACAACTGTAATTAAAAGGCAAGTTAAATACAGTTAGTATCACTTGTTCTCATTATTTTCTGATGATCTCAGAGAAATTTACTGGATGAGCAACTGTTCCTGAAACGGAAGAACATTTTTTTCTACACTGTGCTATATTAGTGTATGTTCTAATTTAGTTACGATGCTAGCTCAGAGAAATACATTCATAAATATACTTAAAAAGTTCTTCTCAACCAGGAAACCTAAAAATTTAAGCTCACCACTCAACTGAAATTCATCAAAACCAAAGAACCTGAATTATTTTTCTCTAACATCTATTAAGGAAACTAGTGCAAAGAATATCCATCTTAAATAATTAATCTTTTGAGTTCCTAGAAAAGCTCTACTGGGTATATTCCTGTAACTCTTCAGGTTACAGATAATTGGATCTCTTCCTCGAATTTTCTATCTAGTCCCTGCCCCTTATAAGCTTATCTACTTCAAAACACTTTCTTCCTCTTAGTACCACCTCAAAACTCACTTCTTGCAGCTTGCTTTCCGTCACTATTTTCAGCTCCGGTGCTATCTGCTCCCTGTTTCTTGCCTAATTGTGTTAAAAATAGAAAAATATTTTTTTTACACATTGCACTGAAGCAAACCTTTATTTTGAACAGCTTAATACTTAATTGCCTCTTTGCCTTTTCGGTACACATTAATTCTCCAAGATGGTCTTACTTATTATTCCAAAAGTGTACAGTGACTATTTCAAATGCTATTTGGGGGCATGAAGAATGTTTATATTGGATGCCACCGTAAAATTTATATTGGGTGCCATTATAAACTAGATAAAGGAAAAAGCATAGCTATAAAGTAAATCTTATGCGAGAAAGGAATTAATAAAATAACAGAATTGGAAGGGACCTTGGAGGTCTTCTAGTCCAGCTCCCTGCTCAAGCAGGAGTCCCTATACCGTTTCAGACAAATGGCTGCCCAATCTCTTCTTGAAAACTTCCAGTGATGGAGCACCCACAACTTCTGGTGGCAAGGAGTTCCACTGATTAATTGTCCTCACTGTCAAACCAGAATAATTGATCTCATCGTGGACAAGGGAAACGTCTACACTTACTGTTCAACTTAGAACTTGTCTACCAAAGCAAAGGAAATTCGCTAAGCAAAAACGGACAAGACAATACTTCTCCTGTTCGTACAAAGGACTCGTCATTCTCACAAGTGGACACACGCCCCATTATGGTGCCTTCAACCTCACAAAGTGCTTTACAAGCCATCTCATTCACCCTAACGACCCCGTGAGGTAGGCCACAGTGCGTTTCGTGTTCCTTTTTTTTTTAAAAGAATGGGACCGAAGCCAGATTAGAGAGTTGAGTCCACATTTACTAATCCTCCAACTAGGCTGATCGTGGGCTGACATGTGTCTTGGTTAAAAAAAAAAGGTTAATAGGGATTTGATGGAATAGGGAGCTGTGCCCAAAATGTCACCTTTGCTTTCTCCAATATGCAAGCGTTAGATGTTGATGCGTACAGACATCGGAAATCTGATACTAAGTCCATTGGGTGTGAGGAACATGTGATGCTGTTTGCTCTTATTGCTTCAATTCAAGCAAAGAAATAATTGATTTCCCTCTGGCTTGACATTGGTCAGAAACAATTATTGCGCGACTCCCCACACGCGACCCCTGCTTTTGGCACGCAATGGCACGGTGGGCCCGGTAGGCATGTTTTTTGCCCTCCCCAGACTCCAGAGGCTTTCTTGGGAGCCTGGGGAGGGTAAAAACAGCCTTCCCCACGCCGGCCCTCCGGAGGCCGGAAACGGCCCACTTCCTGACTTCCGGTGGGCCCGGAAGGCCCGAAAATGAGCTGGCTGGCGCGCACATGTGCCCTGGAACTGAGCTAGGGCAATGCTTGCATGCCCACAGATATGGCTCTGTTCGCCATCACGGCCCTATGCCATCTCAGACAAGTGACTGTCCAGTCTCTTCTTAAAAACCTCCAGTGATGGAGCACTCACAACTTCTGGAGGCAAGCAGTTCTACTGGTTAATTGTTCTCACTGACAGGAAGCTTCTCCTTACACCTAGGTTGCTTCCAAGGTTAAGCTGTTGTACTACAGGCTGTATATTTTAGGAGTGTTGAATAGCAACTTACAGATGAAACTACTGTTGTTCGGGGGTTACAAAAATTCCCCCCAATAAGTTGTTGCATTAGGCTAGCCATACTGTTAAAATATGCTTTAGATATTGTTGAGATATCTACTATTAATACAGTTTAAGATATTGTTTAGGTATCTACTGTTTAGATCCGTTTAGACAAATTCGTAACAATAACATACTTTTCCACGTCATTTTTACCTTGTTCGTCAAGAAGTTTTTTTGTGAGATCCTCTGCTTCCTCCCCACAATCTAGATCCAGGGTCTCATCATTAATATCCAAGTTTTCCAGTTCCAGTTCTAGGTCTTCAGTGCCGGATATATCTTTATTTTCTTTATTTTCTTTTAGTTCTGTTTCAAAAAGAATTGGATGCACATATTACTTTGCCCTTCAAATAAAATACCGTAATTTTCGGAGTATAAAATGCTCCGGACTATAAGATGCACCTACCTTTTTTTTGGTGAGGAAAAGAAGAAAAATAAATCTGCCTCTGACTCCCAGCAATTTTGCCTCCTTGCAGCAAACAGCAAACAGCCTGCTTTACTTTCATTTTTGTTTTCAGCATAGCTTGATTAGCACAAGGGGAAAAAAATCTGCTCCCAGCAATTTACCTCCTTGCAGCAAGCAGCGGAGCCCTGTGCAAAACAGCTGAGAATCGGCAGGCCGATCATGTGCTAATTAGGCTGTGCTGAAGCTGAAAGGAGCTGTTTTTCTTGCTGTTTGCTGCAAGGAGGTAACTGCTGGGAGGCAGAGGCCAAAGGGTGGGGGCCAGTGGGTGGGCGGGGCTACATTCAATGTATAAGACGCACCTAAATTTACACCGCCTTTTAGGGGGGAAAAAGGTGCGTCTTATACTCCGAAACATATGGTATATTGTTTTCTTTTATTTTTCTGACGAAAGTATAAAGCAGATAGATATAGATGTAACAATAATAAAACCAGTTATCTGGTGCCTAATGCTTAAGACATTTTCATTTTTTTAAAAAAAAAGGTTTGAACCGCTCTTTTCCTATTCTTGCCAGAAAATAAAAAAAGCTGTTACTATTTTAACCTTAAAAAATAGAACACTGGCAATGATCACATTGACACATAGCATTACACCTGTAATTTGCTAAAATCCATTCAAAATTACCCATTTTTAGGTATATGCCACAAATTTAATGTTGGTTTAATGGAATCTGGCTTGATTACACTGTTTTTTTATCTTGTACATTTTGAGTTATCTTTGATTTCTTTCCACCTATCATTAAACCGGGCAGCCAAGAAACAAAGCAGGGAGGAAAAATGGTTAGGAAACTCACCCCCTTTACTTTGGCTCAAAATATTCCCAGATTGGCAAGGAATTCCTGCAGCCTTTTTCAAAACTTATTTCTACAATAATGTCCGTGGTTGCAGGCGAGTGCGTTGACTTCTAAGAGGTATTACAATTTAGCAAGGAGCAGAAAACAAGCCATGGTTTCTTAGTTGAATGCAAGCCAGTATTAATGTATCCATGGCTTCCTTACTGTGGTTTGAACCACTATTAACGTGTTCTACAATTCATCACTGCAGAATAATATAGCCATGGTTAATAAAGTTAGCAAATATGAACATCTTCCTAAACCAGCATAGCCAACCTAACCAGGGGTGAAATCCAGCAGGTTCTGAGAGGTTCTGGAGAACTGGTAGCGGAAATTTTGAGTAGTTCAGAGAACCGGCAAATACTACCTCTGGCTGGCCCCAGAGTGGATTGGGAATGGAGATTTTGCAGTATCCTTCCCCTGGAGTGGGGAGGGAATAGAGATTTTGCAGTATCCTTCCCCTGCCACACCCACCAAGCCACACCACGTCCACCAAGCCACGCCCACAGAACGGGTAATAAAACATTTGCATTTCATCACTGCACCTAACCCTAATCACAGCCCAGAATAAAAACCCACCCCCTTCTCCGTGACGTAACCTCAGGAGTAAACCCAAATACTATACCTCTGGAGTCGTCCCTCCCAGAATCTTTGGCCTGAGAGCACTTTTCATTGTCTTTAAACAAGATAGCCGGCACAAACGCTTTTAAATCAATCAGGTTCTCGTAGAAGTTCCTGGCATCTTCGTCTTCCCAGATTCCCCCCTCCAAATCATATTCCCCAGGTTTGCCAGGGGTAAAAATATCAATTCCCGGACCGTGTTCTGCAATTGAAACATACAAAAGCATCAAATATTTCAATGAAGTCGGAATAATCCCCCCCCACCCCCCAATTCCTGCAGAGAAGAGCAACAAAGATGATTAGGGGACTGGAGGCTAAAACATATGAAAAACGGTTGCAGGAACTGGGTATGTTTAGTTTGATTAAAGAAGGACTAGGGGTGACATGATAGCAGTCTTCCAATATCTCAGGGGCTGCCCCAAAGAAGAGGGAGTCAAGCTATTCTCCAAAGCACCTGAAGGTAGAACAAGAAGCAATGGGTGGAAACGAATCAAGGAGAGAAGCAACCTAGAACTAAGGAGAAACTTCCTAACAGTGAGAACAATTAATCAGTGGAACTACTTGCCTCCAGAAGTTGGGAATACTCCAACACTGGAAGTTTTTAAGAAGAGATTGGACAACCACCTATCTGAAGTGGTGTAGGGTTTCCTGCCTAAGCAGGGGGTTGGATTAGAAGACCTCCAAGCTCCCTTCCAACTCTGTTATTCTATTCTATTTCTACTTCAGTGCTAAAAGATATAAACTGAGAACAAAATCGGTGGGGACGTTAAGAGCCAGCAAGATTTACTATAGAAAGTAAGTCGAATTTTAAACCTGCATAATTTACATACCTTCTGGCACAGGTTTGTCTTGAGGGAGATCTGGCATGTTTTCATCCAGGAGGTCTGCTAAAGACTGAGAGTTTGCCAACAGCTTCTGATAAGACATAGCAAATTCTTCATATTGTTTATGCCGGTCTTCGCTCAATTCCCCTTTAGAATGCAGAATACGCCTAGAAAACCACGCGCAGTCCAGAAAAAAAGCAAAATGAAAAGACTTGGACAACGTTTAATCCCAAAGTTAACCGTAAACAAGCTATAAAAAGTCCAATTTTTAATCCCTTTAACAAGGGGGGGGGGAACCTAGAGAGAATTGCATAAAAATATTGACCGATAAGTATGTAATTATAAAATACTGAACACGTACCAAACATATATTCACTCTTTATAGAAGAGATATGGCTATAGGCCCTTTTCCATTTCTTACATCCTAAACAAAAAAAAAACTACAGGCAGTTCTCAATTTACAACCGTTCGTTTAGTGACGGTTTGAAGTTACAATGGCACAGAAAAATGTGACTTATGACCGTTTTCCACACGATGATGTGATCAAAATTCAGACGCTTGGCAACGGACTCATATCTATGACGGGTTGCTGTGTCCCAGGATTACGTGATCCCCTTTTGCAACCGTCCGACAAGCAAAATCAACAGGGAAGCCGGATTGACTTAACAACCCTGTTATTAACTTAACAACTGCAGTGGTTCACTTAACAACGGAGGCAAGAAAAGTTGTAAAACGGGGCCAAACTCACTTAACATGTCTCGCTTAGCGACAGAAATTTTGGGCTCCGTTGTGGTCGTAAGTCGAGAACTATCTTATACATGTACATTGGTGTGGGCGTCTGCATGTGTACTTCATATGCTGCGTATATTTTATGCAACTTAATTATTAATATTTATGCCAGTTCATGCGGAGAAAAAAAACACAAACTAGTAAATGCAAATCTCCAAACAGCTGTCGAACATAATTCCTAGAACTAAAATGCCAGTTCAAATATAAATAAATGAGTTTTTCAGACCATTGAAAAGAAGATATGCTTCCAATCGTGCATCTTTGCAACATAAAAGCATCCGAGATCCATTTATTTTGTCTTCCAGCTTCTTTTAAAGCTATTGGTAAAGTTATTACAAAGCAGAAGACTACCAAACTGGAACCAAATGAATGCATGAAATAACTTATATTATAAAGGCAGTTATACGCACGAGCACGTTGTACAAATATTACAGAACAATTTCCCCCCGCCAAAAAAATTAATGCACAAGCCAAACTGACTAATTTCTTCCTTAAAAGACACATAAAACCCTAGTAAGTTAAATTAACGTGTTAATTATAATTTGTGTAGGATATAAGCTAATTTGCACTGACAGTTTGAATGGCCAATTCCCTTTTGGGGAGACAGGATGAATGGGGGTTAATAAGGGTAATTAACTATCAGCTGAAAATGACTGCAAGCATAAAATAAAGAATATAGGCCAGAATAACTGGAGGAGAAAGTACTGGAGGAGGTGATCAATCTAACAAAATTAAAATACTTATTGTGATCAGCCAAGAGTAAGCTAAAGGCAATAAATTCAGCCTTCACCGTAGCAAATAGGAATTATTCGACAATGCAGTCACAATGGCCTACAACTTTCTGTGGCTGGAAATTTCTCTTCGATGAGTTCTTCCTATGAAGAGAAGGATTTCTTGCTTTCACAGAACGGTACAGGTCGTCCTTGACTTACAGCAGTTCGTTTAGCGACCGTCCAAAGTTACAACGGCACTGAAAAACTTATGACCATGTTTCACACTTACAACCACTGAAGCATCTCCGATTCATATTTATGAAGTTTGCAGTGCCCCGGGAGGCTCACACGATCCCCTTTTGCAACCATCTGACAAGTAAAGTCGATGGGGAAGCCAGATTCACTTCTCAGCCGTGTGACTGGCTTAACAATTGCAGGGATTCACTTAACAGCTGTGGCAAGAAAGGTCGTAAGATGAGGCAAAACCCATTTAACAATTTTTTCCACTCGGCAACAGAAATTTTGGGCTCAACTGCGGTCCTAAGTCGAGGACTACCTATAATTGAAATGGCAATGAGATACCTAAATTGAAGTAATTCACCGTTGTGGAACTAGACAGGTTAAAATATCTGGAATGGAAAATTGCACAGTCAGAAAATGTTAAAAAGGGTGGATCAGGAAAATGCAAAGTTAATATCTAGAGAAAAAAATATTCAGAGAAGATAAATGCAGTAAATGAGAAAATATATATACAAAAATAAAACATCTGTTATCCTTAATGGATGCTAACCCCTTGCTACAGGTAGTCCTCGACATACGACCACAATTGGGCCCAAATTTTCTGTGGCTAAGCAAGACAGTTGTTAAGTCAGTTGTGCCCCGTTTTACGACCATTCTCGACACAGCTGTTAAGCGAATCACTGCAGGCGATAAGTTAGTTGCATAGTTGTTAGGTGAATCTGGCTTCATCGTTGACTTTGCTCATCAGAAGGTCGCAAAGGGGGAATCATGTGAAATCCGGGGACACTGCAACCGTCATAAATACGAGTCAGTTGTCAAGCACCCGAACGTAAATCACGTGTCCATGGGGAATGGGGCAACGGTCGTTAAGTGTGAAAAACAGTCCTTTTTTTCAGTGCCGTTGTAACTTTGAACGGTCACTAAAACCAACCGTTGTTAAGCAGAGGACTAGCGTGTTTCCCCGAAAATAAGACCCAGCCAGAAAATGATTTTTTTCAGGATGCTCGTAAAATAAGCCCTACCCTGAAAATAAGTCCCAGTTAAGATCGTCATCCAGATACACATTGAGTGCCATATTTTCCCCCAAAATAAGACCTAACCAGAAAATAAGCCCTAATGCATCTTTTGGAGCATAATAATAATAATAATAATAATAATAATAATAAGAAAAAGAAGAAGAAGAAGAAGAAGAAGAGGAGGAGGAGGAGGAGGAGGAGGAAGAGGAGGAGGAGGAGGAGGAAGGAGGAGGAGAAGAAGAAGAAGAAGAAGAAGAAGAAGAAGAAGAAGAAGACCCGGTCTTATTTTCAGGGAAACACGGGTACCTGTACTTCTTCCGTTTAATTGTAGGGTTAGCCCTCATTAAGTCACAGCAAACTATTGTTGGAAGAAATGTCCATCTGGGTTCAGTTCCAAGTGGGAGAAAGATACTGGAAACATGGAAGCTGCTTGGAAAGATGGTTTTTAATGGTGGAGTGGACAGGACCACATGGTTTGAGATCTTGGGCAAAAAAGCACATGGGTGAGAGAAAGAGATTTATATACTCTCTTGGGCCCTGCCTTAGAGTTTCCTGTTCCTGTACAAGAAATGTATCCCATTGGCTGTCAGACTCCCAGGGGGTGGGGGTGGTCTTCGCTAACTTTGTATGCTGTCTATGTCCCAGGCTTGGAACAAGAATAGTTTTTATTTATTTATTTTATTAGTCATATTTCTATGCCGCCCACTCTCCGAGGTCTCTGGGCGGCTTACACCAAAGATAGTATACTAAATAGCATATTGCCCCCAACAATCTGGGTCCTCATTTTACCCACCTCGGAAGGATGGAAGGCTGAGTCAACCTTGAGCCAGTGAGATTTGATCCGCTGATCTGCTTAACTAGCAGGCAGCTGAAGTAGCTGCAGTACTGTACTCTAACCACTGCACCACCTCGGCTCTTCGTTTTTCCCGAACGCCATCACTCTGCTAAACAAATAATTCCCTCAACACTGTCAAACTATTCACTAAGTCTGAACTACTATTAATCTTCTCATCGTTCCCACCACCCATCTCCTTCCACTTATGACTGTATGACTGTAATTTTGTTGCTTGGATCCTTATGATTTATATCGATATTGTTTCCTGATGGCTTATTTGTACCCTATGACTATCATTAAGTGTTGTACCTTATGATTCTTGACGAATGTATCTTTTCTTTTATGTACACTGAGAGCCTATGCACCAAGACAAATTCCTTGTGTTTCCAATCACACTTGGCCAATAAAAAATTCTATTCTATTCTATTCTATTCTATTCTATTCTATTCTATTCTATTCTATTCTATTCTATTCTACTCTACTCTACTCTACTCTACTCTACTCTACTCTACTCTACTCTACTCTGTTTGTGTCCCAGGCTTGGTTGAGCCTTGCTGAGTGATTACTCTTCCCAGGTGCCATGTGGTGAGATGGGTAGAGGGCTAATCCTATCATGTCCTGAGGGCCATATCTTAATCCCATCACCCTGGAGCTGAAGTGGGTGGGCATGGAGCTGCAGGGAGTTGCTTTGCCTTTAAAAACATGTTTCTCCTTTTCTCATCCAGGGAAATATAATATTCTGCCTTTTTAATATTTCCCAGAATATTTCATTCTTCTAGGAGAGAGGGTGGGTGCTAACGTCCTACACTAGCATTCAAAGTTTCAGGAGCCAGAGGACAAGGAACGAAAAGTGCAATACTCCCTGCAGACATCAAATACCTTCTAGTGTTTCAGATTTAATAAAAAGGGCCTCAACAACAGATCCAGTGACGGGCAGCTGATCTAAAAGGACAACCCTCCTAAGTTCAGTGTCTAAATCTGCCTCTTGAGACAAAAGGACCAGACTTTTATTTCCTTCTACCCATCAAAAGAAAATCTTGAAGGACAGGCAAAACAAGTCTTCCCTTCTCAAAGTTGTGACAAAGTTGTGACAATCACAAACACAGTTTTGGGGTGAGACGTATCTGCATCAGGGAGTCAATGCCCAGGTTATAAATAAACCTGCAGCGACTCTTTGACAATTCTTTGTTTGGGGAATGTTTGAATATTGAAAAGCTCCATCACGCTAGTGGAGTTATTCTAAAACCGATAACGTGTTTTAATTTACATTTTGCATTAGTATGTTTTTAAAAAGCAGCGGGAGATTCAAGCAAGATTTCAACCCAGATTCAAATAGGAATGAAGAAGAAATACGAGATGGTGGTTTTAGTGGAATTTTTTTTAAAAAGGACAAATCTGTCTACCACAGCTTATTATGGGAAAACGAGAGTAAAATTCACTGTGAAGAAGTTGACAGATGTTGCCCGAATGTCAAGAAAACTTTCTAACCCAAAAGCAATCTGTTAACAAATGCAAAAGGAGAATCTCTCCGAAAACACAATTTTTCATCTTTTAGTACTAAAATAGACAAGGCTCCATATGAAAGGCACAGGCCTTGAAACTTAGTGAATATTTTTTTAATATAAAAAGGGCTCCAGCTACTTCTTATTTATGACTGGAATTTCAACAAATACAAAACTGACATTAATCTCAGAGAAACCTAACAGGCATATTTCAAAGAGCGGGAAAAGTCTTGTTAAATGAACAAACAAAAAAGAATATTAAATGCCTATAAAAACTAATCTTTTATTAGGCCAACTGGAGGTATACAAATATAAAGTTTATTGTCATTGTACGTATATACACAGTACACCCATACAACGAAATATATATATATATACTTGGAGTTATAGAATATATAGGAAAAATTAATCTAACCTGTGGGAAAAGTTAACACTGATCAATTATGTATTGGAATCATGGAAAACGGAAAAAAACTACAATAAAAATATTTTTTTAAAAAAAACCAAAACCTTCACCTGTTTTGCCTTTCAATGTTTTGCAGTTCCCTGTGGTCCCTTTTCAGGTGCTTGGTCAGCGAGGTGAAATATTCCTTCAGCAGGTTTTGGAAAGGCTGCTGCTTCTCCGCGCTGATGATCTCGCTGGGGGGAAAGCTCAGGTTGAATTTATCCGCCGCGCTTTTCACCTTCCTGGGTACCAAGCCCGCGATGTCGTCGCCGCAGTGCCGGCAGAAACTGATGACCACGGAAACGTGGGTGTGAGTCTCGCGGTCGGCGTTGATGATGCTCTTCAGCTGCTCGTAGATGAGGGACAGGCCCTCCTTGTCGGTGAAAATCCCGACGATGGTCAGCTCGGCGATGAACCGCAGGTCGGTCCGCAGCTTGGTGATGTTGGGCGTCTTCTCTTCTTTCCTGGCTTCGAAATGCTTCTTCCAGACCTGGAGCAGCGAGGGAGCGAAGTCGGCGTAGCGCTGGTGAAAGAGGGAGCAGAGGTGCACCGCGCAGTTCACGTCCGAGATCTTCAGCTTGGCTTCCACGATGGAGGCCACGGCCTCGGCGATGTACTTGCTCAGGTTGAGGCCGTTGAAGTCGTGGGACAAGGAGTCCCTCTGCTGCTCGGTGATGGTCTTGAGCTTCTTCACGAAGGCCGTGTTCTTCTTCAGGCTGGAGTCCAGCCTGCTGAAGAAATTCTCTTCCGGGCGGCTTTCCGAGGCGTTCTGGTTTTTGCTTCGCAGCTCCTTCCGGGCTTGGTGGCGCTCCCAAGCTTCCTGATGCAGCTGGTGAGCTTCTTCTTTCTCTCTGGAAAGACAGTACATCAACAAGGGTGTGTGTGTCAAGGTTATATTTTTAAGTCAGTATTCAGCTTTTTAGAAAACCTTCTGTAAAGACCAACAAGGATACGAGGACTGGGCAATGCATCTGTTTAAAAAAATGGCAATTTTACTTTATATTTATTCATTTGTATCCTGTCTTCATTACTAGGACTGGACAATACATTCGTTAAAAAAAATAGTAATTCTACTTTATATTTACTGATTTGTATCTCGCCTTATTTTTACAAATAATTCAATGTAATGAACATATTCAAACCTTCCTCCTATTCTCCCCACGATGACAACCCTGTTACCCAGCTGGCTTTCGTGCCTAAGATGGGACTAGAACTCACCATCTCCTAGTGATTGGCCCAAGGTCACTGAACTGGCTTTCATGCCTAAAATGGGACTAGAACTCACCATCTCCTAGTGATTGGCCCAAGGACACTGAGACAACCCTGTTACCCAGCTGGCTTTTATGCCTAGGGTGGGACTAGAACTCACAGCTCCTGGTGATTGGCCCAAGGACACTGAGACAACCCTGTTACCCAGCTGGCTTTTATGCCTAGGATGGGACTAGAACTCACAGCTCGTAGTGATTGACCCAAAGTCACTCACTGGCTTTTGTGCCTAAGGCGGAACTAGAACTCACTGTCTCCTAGTGATAGGCCCAAGGACACTGAGCCAACCCTGTCACCCAGCTGGCTTTCGTGCCTAAGGCGGGACTAGAACTTACTCCCTCCTGCTTTCTAGTCTGATGCCTTAAATTAAAAATGTCAGGCATCACTTGGGAAAATCAGCCTCCGTTTCCTCGTATGTGAAGGGAGGGGTTTTTTTCCCCTAAGGTGATATCTATTGCAACATACATATAATTATTTTAAACTCAGCCGTCTCGTTTAACAAATGTTTTTACACCTGTACACATTACCTTTTCATGTTGAATGGTGGAAAACATTGATGTGGAAATGAAATCTTTGAACAACAGGGGTGGGGTGGGGGAGTCTTAAACATTTCTCCTGGGACCTTCCTCTCTTTTCCTCCCAAAACACAGGTACCCGAAACAAAGAAGTTCTTACTTCAACTTGGCAGCTGCTTCTTCCTGCTGCAGCTTCATCTCTTCCTCTTGCTTCTTCTTCTCTTCCTCTTCAAGCTTTTGCTTCTCCTCCTCCTCCTTTCTCTTTTGTTCCTCCTCCGATTTTATCTTCTCGTCCTCTTTCTTCTTCCATTCCTTCTCGTCCTTTTTCCGCTTCTCCTCCTCCATTTTCTTCTTTTTATCTTCGGGTGGCTTGAGCATCTCTCTCTTCATGCCCAGCCTGACATCCTCCTTGGGTCTGTCCCGGCTGCTCACTGACCGCCTCTCACCAAACTCCTTCTCTTTGTTACTTAATGATGTTTCCTTTTCTTCCATGCTAGCTGACTTCTTCCGCTCAGCTGGCATTGTGTTATCCAGGAAGATCTGAAAGATTACGAGTGGTGTCATTACATCCACCAGGGATTATTCAAAGCCTTTTGTTTTTCTTGCATCGACCAAGACATTCCCACCCTACAGGATGTCAGATAATCCATGGAGATTCTCCGTCATCCTAGACTGTCCCAAAGGTGCTTTTTTCCAAGAGGCAACTGGACTTTCTTGTTATTCTTTGAAAACGTTTCACTTCTCATCCCAGAAGCTCCTTCAGCTCTGACTGGATGGTGGGGAAGGGAAGGATTTATACTCCTTGCAGACAGCTGGTCATTTGCATCCTTTTAGAGGGTCTGCAATTTGGGTCTCTAAAGGTAAAGGTTCCCCTCGCACATATGTGTTAGTCGTTCCCGACTCTAGGGGGCAGTGCTCATCTCCGTTTCAAAGCCGAAGAGCCAGCGCTGTCCAAAGACATCTCCGTGGTCATGTGGCCGGCATGACTCAATGCCAAAGGCGCACGGAGCGCTGTTCCCTTCCCACCAAAGGTGGTCCCTATTTTTCTACTTGCATTTTTTACCTGCTTTCGAACTGCTAGGTTGGCAGAAGCTGGGACAAGTCACGGGAGCTCACCCCGTTAAGCGGCACTAGGGATTCGAACCACTGAACTGCCGACCTTTCGATCGACAAGCTCAGCGTCTTAGCCACTGAGCCACCGCGTCCCCATTTGGGTCTCTAAAAGGATGCAAATGACCAGCTGTCTGCAAGGAGTATAAATGCTTCCCTTCCCCACCATCCAGTCAGAGCTGAAGAAGCTTCTGGGATGAGAAGCAAAACGTCTTCAAAGAATAACAAGAAAGTCCAGTTGCCTCCGGTGCGCATGTGCACAATAGCCAGCTGATTTTGGGGCCTTCTGGGCCCACCGGAAGTAGTTGTTTCCTGCCTCAGGAGGGAATCAGAGGGTGGTGGGGAAGTCCCATTTTTCTCTCTCCCCAGGCTCCAGAGCCTTTCTAGGAGCCTGGGGAGGGTGAAAACGGCCTTCCCCACCGCCCCGGAGGCCCTCCAGAGGCCAGAAACGGCCTGTTTGCCAACTTCCAGTGGGACTGGAAGGCCCGTTTTTTGCTCTCCCCAGGCTCCAGAGCATTTCTAGGAACTTCTATCTGTATAAGCTGTATCATTGTGGGTCTGGAAGATGGCAAACAGGGCATTTTTGACCTCCGGAGGGCCTCCCAGGGGGGTGGGGAAGGCCGTTTTGCCCTCCCCAGGCTCCTAGAAAGGCTCTGGAGCCTGGGGAGAGAGAAAAACAGGCCTACCGGACCCACCGTGCCATCGCGTCCCAGGAGCAGGGCAGTGGGGGGTCACGTTCGCATTCGCGGGGGTGGGACGCATAGAATTATGGGTATGGGCACGCGCGTGGGTAACCCCCCACGGTCCCCCCGCTTTTGGCACGCGATGGCAAAAAGGTTAGCCATCACTGGTCTAGGGTAACTTGACCATTTTTAAAGAGAGACTCAGGGCTGGAGAAACCATGATATTCTTCGGTGCTGATGACTATTTCTAGGGTTTGTAACTACACAGGACCAAAAAAGAAAAAAACAAAGGTAAAACTATCCGTCTTGATTTTGACAGCTTGGCAGGACAGAAGGTTTAACCACGCTTTACTGAATAACCTGGAATTTTCTGGGTTTACACCTCTTCGCTTCAAGCTTGGTCTGCTTCGGAAACTATGAACCTAATAAAAATTATAATAATGAGAAGAACCAGCCAAGACTATCTGATGGATAAATAAGATGTAGTGAAGATGAATGGAAGACAGGTAACAAGAATCATCTTTCATACTACAGACCTAAAAGTGAAACTTTTAAGCAGTTTATTAACTAATACTTTCAATATTTTGATTTATAGCCATGGCATTATCAGGATTTCTTCCCAATAGAGCAGGGAGCACAAAAATAAATATGCTATGATGGTCTTTCATGAGACTAGTCAGGGATTAATACTGAAAGCATCTCAGAATATCTTTAGAGGAATTTCCTAACTTTCGAGTGACATTTTCTCAGTTTCTAGACATAGGAATCTAGATTCAGCTTATATTCTAGATGGGTTTTTAAATTTCATTTGTTACAGAATGAGATTTGCACTTCATCTTCATTATGTATCATCAAGTCAATGTTAAAAAGTGAGTGCTGTATTTATTACCTATAAGAACATTTGTCATCCTTCTTTCAAAGTCTTTACACTTCCAAAGACAGATGTGGATGACATCAACTTGTTACTCAATTATTGCCTAATTGTTATGTGTATTGTACAAAGCCACATCTGTTAGTGCAAAGGGAACCCTGTATTTTAAACTGTATTATCGGGTCATATGACAGGTGTTCGTACTTCTTCAAAGCTGTAGAAACACAAGCTGCTACAGTTAGGAAGTAGACACACCCTGCCCTAAGAGCCCCATTGAAATGTGAAATTTTGCCTGTTTACCAAGCAAGGAGAATATGCCTACTATCACTTTTAAAACCAGAGTCTGTGGTCCAACTATTAAAGAATGGACAGATTTATAGCCATATAACAGCAACAGCGATTGCATGTCAAAAGTAATTTCACTCTGCTGCATGCATAATCAAAAACCTTTCTATTAAGTTTTTAAAGCAGAAATTCTCAAACTGTATCATTTGACCAACAATTGGCCAAGTACTTTCTCCCTGCAGCACTGCAGCTTATGCTAGATTTATTTATTATATCCTGTTTTTGTTATTTTACTAAATAAGGTTTTACAAATAAGTATCAACGCACATTCCTCCTCCTATTTTCTCCACAACAACCCTGTGAGGTGAGTTGGGCTGAAAAGGGAGGGACTGGCCCAAATTCACCCAGTTAGCTTTCAAGGCTAAAACAGGATTTGAACTCAAGGTCTCCTGCTTTCTAGCCCGATGCCTAACTGGCTCTTTCTATATATTAGAAAAAGAAACTCTTGGCTTAAATGCATGGGCTGAATCTTCTTCCATTCCCTCCTGAATTTATAACAAGCCTATGAGATTATTAAACTGGTAACTATAGCAATCTTACACAGATCCTGAAAGGCTTCCTTTAGATGCGAGTTATGAGTAGTTTCTGCGAGGCTGAACGGGAGTTTGTGACACTTCTGAGTGATTTCGGAAAGATACTGAAATTAGACACTCACCTACTCTCTTGTGCACATAATTGCCCCTTGCAATACTGTAAGAATATGACAAATTGCATGAAGGAAAGGCTGATACAGCCCCCAAACCACAGTCAAGGCAAAAAAGGAACTGACTTTGCTTCAGAGCACACTGAACAAATCAAATATTTTCAAGTGTTCGTAAAAATAACACATTTTTATTAGTCATAGACCAGCATGTTTATTTATATTTCATATTTCTTTATCGCCCGCCTCCCACTGATTAACACTTGTTAATAAGTAAAATTAGCATCCAATGGTGTCAATAACTGTTATTGGCCATTTGCGGATGGAGTTTTATATATATATATATATATATATATATATATATATATATATATATATATATATATATATAATGTCACACCATGTTGCTACTTTTAAAGAGATAATTTTGATAAGTTAACAGATAACGTAAGTAGAAATTACCGAAATATGCTGAAAAGTTTAAAAAAAAAAAGGAGTAACCAGTTGAGAAGGATCCCAACAAAAGTGGCAATAAAAAGGAATATGAGCCATGGCTGCAGTTGCATTCATGGCAGGAAAACTAACACGTTTCAAAAGGAATTCCCTTATATCTCCCTTCTAAAACAGATAGGAGAGAGAATTAAAAAGGCAGGAATTAAAGCTCTCCTGAATTTAGGGTTCAAAAATTTGTATGAAGTTGGTTTGGGAGCTAAAATTCTCTTATTTATAATTATACTGCTCAAACAACTAAAGGGAACACAAAACTACTGTATGTAACGAACAAAGTATTTAATAAGGCTATTTCATTCATTCAGATCTCGGATGTCTTCTGCTTGGGTTCCCTTTATTTTTTTGAGTAGTGTATATAGGAAAGGGCAGCTGTTTCTACTTGGCTTTCAAGTATCTATCTATATCTATCCATCCTTATAGACATAAGTATACATAACATCTCCAAATGGTGGCAGGGAAAAGGATGTTCAGGTGCATCAGACAGAGAACAATGTGCACTGAACCACTAATATTTTAGTCAAGACTTACAAAACCTGCCTCCAAAATGTCTAAACACACAAAAATCACAAACTGAGCGGGGCACCAAGGCCCCAACAAGTAAAGTCTACAGCAAGACCAGACCAAAACAAAGAACAAACTAGAGAGTTCATGATAAAGATGGACAGATAGATGAGAGAGATAAACAGATTGATATACAGATAACAGAATAGAGATGAGTTATAGATGGTAGATCGATGATACAGATGGATGATAGAAATGTATAGAGAGATGATAGGAATACATGACAGCGATAGATTGATATAGATATAGATAGATATAGATAGATGACAGAGCTAGCTAGCTAGATGATAAATGATAGATGATAGACAATAGATAGATGAGATACACAGGTGATACATGATAGATAGATAGATAGATAGATAGATAGATAGATAGATAGATAGACAGATAGATAGACAGACAACAGATGAGATAGACAGTTGATACATGATAGACCAACAAATAGATGAGACAGATAGGCAGATGATAGATGATATTATAAATAGACTAAGACAGTAGATAGATGAGATATAGACAGATTATACAAACGACATACATATAGATGATAAATGATAAGACAGTAGATAGAAATAATAGATAGGTAGATAGGTAGATGATAAACGATACAGAGAGTAGATAAATGATGGCTATATACAGAGTAGACAAATTATAGGTATAGATCAGTGGTTCCCAACTCAAGCCCCAAGGGGGGCAATTTGATTCTTGATGGGGGCCTTGAACCTTAAACTTTAAACTTTGAACCTTGTTTAAAACAAGTTAATGGCCTTTTAGGCTTCCTCTGCATGAGTAGAATTCACTTTTTGAGTATAGTAAGAATTATATGTTACGAGGGAGGGCATCAGGATTTTAGAGATGCTTAGGTGGGGCATGGCCAAAAAATGGTTGGGAACCACTGATATAGATGATAAACGATATAGACAGTAGATAGATGATAGGTAGGTAGGTAGGTAAGTAGGTAAGTAGGGAGAGAGAGAGAGAGATGATAGCTAGATAAATGATATACAGTAGATAGATGATAGATGATAGGAATTGATGGGTAGATAGATGATAGATAGATATAGATAGATAGATAGATAGATAGATAGATAGATGATAGATAGATAAATGATATACAGTAGATAGATGATAGATGATAGGTAGATAGATGATAGATAAACGATATAGACAATAGATAGATGGTAGGTAGGTAGGTAGGGATAGATGATAGATAGATAGATAGATAGATAGATAGATAGATAGATAGAGACAGACAAATGATATACAGTAGATAGATGATAGGTAGGTAGGTAGATAGGTAAGTAGATATACAGTAGATAGATGACAGGTGGATGATAGATAAACGATATAGACAATAGATGGTAGGTAGGTAGGTAGGTAGGGATAGATGATAGATAGATAGATAAGAGACAGACAAATGATATACAGTAGATAGATGATAGGTAGATAGATGATAAACGATATAGACAATAGATAGATGGTTGGTAGGTAGGTAGGTAGGGATAGATAGATATAGACAGACAGACAAATGATAGATAGATGATAGGTAGATAGATATAGATAAACGATATAGACAATAGATAGATGATAGGTAGATAGGTAGATATACAGTAGATAGATGACAGGTGGATGATAAACGATACAGACAGTAGGAAGATGAGAGATAATGGATAGATGATACAGGCAAGTAGACAAATGACAGATATAAACAGACAACACAGGCAGAGGAGACAGAAAAATGACAGACAAGACACAGGTAAGACCATACCTGATAAATAAAAGACCAAAAGGCTGCAGATGAGACAGAGAAAGAACCTCCCCCTCCCCCAGGTCAGACCCCCCCCAAGACCCCCTGCTCTCGCCCCCCCTCTTTCTCGCAGACCCCCCCCCCACCGACACTCCTTCTCCCCCCCCCACCAAACTCTCCCCTCCTCCCCCCCACGCAGCCCCTCCCTAAGGTCACTAACGTCCCCCCAGGCCTGACCCCCCAGGGAGCCCCCCCTCCCCTCCTTCCTCCTCCCCCACAGCCCCTCCTTCCTTCCCCCCTTCAGGCCGGGTGGGAGGAGCGGCCTCCCCGCCACAACACCCCCGCGAGGTAGGCCACCCCCGGGAGGTGGGCGGGTGTGTGTGTTTGAGGGGCGGGGGGAGAAATCCCCCTCCTAGGCCCGCCCCCCCCCCCCACGCGCGCGCGTGCGGCCTAGCTTTCTCCCCCTCAGGCCGCCACCCCGAGCGGGGCCGAGGCCGCGGAGGAGGAGGAGGAGGCCGCCGAGGGGGGCGGTTACCTCGGCCCGCTGTAAACATCGGTCTCCGCTTCTGCAGCTCCAGCTCCGTCAGGCTCTTCTTCGCTCTATCTCGCTCTTTCCCCCCCCCTCACTTTCTGCCAGGGCGAGGACCCCGCCCCCTAGGCTGCCCCGCGGGGCGCCTGATCCCAACCGGGATGCCCCCGCCCCGTTCTCCAGGCCTCCACCCCCGGAGGGAAAAAAAGCGAGGAAAACGAACGGGAAGCGCTCGTTTAGAAAGAACCGGAGACTTTCCCCGCGGCGGGAAGGCGGGCGGAGAGTTACGGTCCCGTCAGGCGGTGTTGTAGACAGCCCCGTCGCTCGGGTGGGTCCTAAAGTGCGTGTAGAGCGAGAGAGAGAGAGAGAGAGAGAGCTGGGCAACCCCGTGCTTTGGTTACCAGGGGAGGCGGAAGTGCCCGACGGGGGGGCGTGGCTTTCTCCTGGAAAGGGGGCGGGGCCACGCCTCCAAGCTGCAGCTTTTGAAAGCACGATTTCTTTCCCGTTTCAATTCAATTCAATTCACTCAATTCCAACATTGAGAATAATATTAGGAAAATGGGGAAGGGGGGGAGTTATTAAAGAATTGAAATCCCTGCTCAGTTCAGGGCTTTCATAAATCGTGGGCGCTGCTGCATCCCCCTGGAGGTTTTTAAGGAGAAACTTGTCTCTGAAATGGTATATAGGTTCTCTCCTGCCTGAGCACGGGGCTGGACTAGACGACCTCCAAGGTCCCTTTTTAATCTAACATTCTAAGTTCTTTCAGAGGGGGGGGTTAATGCAGGATATTCACCCTAAAGCTTTAATTAAGCCTGTCAAAGAAATATTTTTTAAAAAAACCCTAGTTAAAGATTCAAACCTTGCATTTTTATTGTTTAACTAACATTAAACTAGGGTTTAAAAGTTTGGGAAACAATTTTTATTACACTTTCCCCTGATTAGGTCCTTGGGCTTTACCAAAAGCCATTTATGTCAATGAAAGCAAGGGGAGAAGCAACCTAAAACTAAGGAGAAATTTCCTGACAGTTAAAACAATTAATCAGTGGAACAACTTGCCTCCAGAAGTTGTGGATGCTCCAACACTGCAAGTTTTTAAGAAGAGATTGGACAACCATTTGTCTGAAATGATATAGGGTTTCCTGATTTATTTATTTGTTTATTTATTTGTTCAACTTGTATGCCGCCTTTCTCCGAAGACTCAAGGCGGCTTACAATGCACTTAAAAACCATATATAAAACGTTAAAAGTTGATTGAGTAGGGGGTTGGGCTAGAAGACCTCCAAGGTCCCTTTCAACTGTTATTCTGTTCTCTTCTGCTCTTAAGCAAACCAAAGTTTATATCTGCAGAGATTTCAGTAGACTTAAATCTACTGTATATGTATTGTAGTTTTTTCCCTGGCTTGGTTTTAATGAAACCCAGTTGGAATTGTGGGTATGCATACATTTTTTTTATTGCTGAAAGAAAGTTTACAACAATGTGGCTGGTACATCCATAATATAAACAATGAAGAAAGAAATGAGAAATGTTGATGTTATTAAAAGTAAGATATAGTATAGCTGTAGTTACCACATAAACATTGTCTTGTCTCAGAGGGCAACTGGCTTGTAATCCTGATACATACTCTACTCTTGACAGGACTCTATTTCCAATGTTTATTCTTATTTACTAGAATTTAAAAGCCACCCAATCCCAATGGATTCTGGATGGTACAGAAAATATAGAAGATTTTTTTAAAAAAATAACCAAATGCACAAACCACACAGAAATAATCTTGCAAAGAACAAAAAAACAAAACAAGTGACAATAATACATCAACATCTGAGATCAAAATCAGCTTTCAGAGCTAGTAAGATACAGTTTTGGGGGTTGGAATATTTTTTTCCAGAAACTGGAAAACTGGCTATGCAAAACTCCCTGGGAACATTGCCTTAAAAAGGCGTAATTAAAAAGAATATTTTTGTCAGTTCATGGGCTCAGCTGTTTATAGTGTTGAATTTGAGGAGCAAAGCAATGATCTCACTGCCACTTGGCAATTCTTGCTCTAGAGTAATTCTATCGGAAATGCAGATTAAATCATGTATTAATTTGGGATATCAAGAAATCAATGAAAGGTGGTTTTTTTTTCAATTAATAGTGTGCTGTGTTAAGCCAACAGCCCTAGGTAGCTTGTAGAGTTTAAAGCAATTGTTGAATATTGTTTTAATATAATATAAAACAAGCCAGAAATGAGAATAGAAAAATTCCCTCAGCCTCCCCAAAGAAACCCAAGATATATTCTAAGGTTTCTAGCACTTACAATTCAATTTACAATTAATTGTAATTGGTAGTGGTAGTGGTAACATAATGTGAATGTAAATTAATTAGCTGCAAAATCTGGGTGACTATATAAATAATCCTTGACTTATTTTGTTTAGTGTGAAATCATTGCACTAAAAACCCATTTGCCTTCATTCGTGGGTTTGTTTAGTAACCATTCAAAGTATTACACAGGCACTGAAAACTTTGTGACTTTATGACCATTTTTCACACTTACGACCGTTGCAGCATCCCAACTGCAGTGATTCACTTAATGACAGTGCCAAAAGTCGTAAAATGGGACAAAACTCACTTCATAAATGTCTCTCAGCAAGATAAATTTTGGCCGAGCGCCTGAAATTTTGATCACATGATCATAGGGATGCTACGAAGGTTTTAAATGTAAAAATTGGCTACAAGTCACTTTTTTCAGTGCCGTTGTAACTTTAAATGGTCACTAAACAAACTGTTGTAAGTTGAGGACGGCCTGTATAATATCATAACTGAGACCCTCTCCCATTTCAGACAACTGGCTGTCCAATCTCTTCTTTAAAAACTCCAGTAATGGAGCACCATCAACTTCTGGTGGCAAGCTGTTCCGTTGGTTAATTGTCCTCACTGTTAGGAAGTTCCTCCTTAATTCCAGGTTGCTTCTCTCCTTGCTTAGCTTCCAACAACCATTGCTTCTTGTCCTGCGTTCTGGTGCTTTGGAAAATAAGTTGACCCCTTCTTCTTATTCATTATTCAAATTGAACATTATTCAAATTGAGTGTAGGAAGAAAAAAACAAACAATTTCCTGTGTTTCTTGTTGTTAGTTGCGAAGTTGTGTCCGACCCATTGCGACCCCTTGGATCATGTTCTTCCTGTCCTCTACCATCCTCCAGAGTCCATTGAAGCTCATGCCGACTGCTTCAGTGACTCCATCCAGCCACCTCGGTAGGTAGATCCCCTTAGGATTAGGGATTCACTTACAATAACTTTTAGACTAACTTTATTGTCCCTTTGAATTGTCACACTATCGGCATACACTGAAATGAAATTTCGTGGCATGCTGAACACCCCCTCCCCGTCTCGCTTAGCCACAGAAATGTCGGCTTCCGTCACAGCCATAAGTCAAGGACCACCTCCATCAAGAAAAATTGATTACCGTAAATAGCAATTTACTTATATATTTATTTATATAATAGCACTGCACACCAGAACAACTAGACACAAGAACAGTTTTTTTCCCTGCTAAACAAATAATTCCCTCGACACTGTCAAACTATTTACTAAGTCTGCACTACTATTAATCTTCTCATCGTTCCCACCACCCATCTCCTCCCACTTATGACTGTATGACTGTAATTTTGTTGCTGGTATCCTTACGATTTATATTGATATTGTTTCCTGATTGCTTATTTGTATCCTATGACTATCATGTACCTTCTTTTATTTACACTGAGAGCCTATGCACCAAAGACAAATTCCTTGTGTGTCCAATCACACTTGGCCAATAAAGAATTCTATTCTGTTCTGTTCTGTTCTGTTCTATTCTATTCTATTCTATTCTATTCTATTCTATTCTATTCTATTCTATTCTATTCTATCCTATCCTATCCTATTCTATCCTATTCTATGACTATCATTAAGTGTTTTACCTTACGATTCTTGACGAAGATATCTTTTCTTTTATGTTCACTGAGAGCGAATGCACCAAAGACAAATTTCTTGTGTGTCCAATCACACTTGGCCAATAAAGAATTCTATTCTATTCTATTCTATTCTATTCTATTCTATTCTATTCTATTCTATTCTATTCTATTCTATTCTAATTAAAAAGAAATAGAAATAGCCATGAGAAAGATTAGATGGCAACATTGTAATGAGATGCAACCCACTGGATGCGAAGTAAACCTCCTGCCTAGGATGCAACATTGGATGCAAAGTTGCAAAGCTTTTGCAAACTTGCAACACAGGTTGCCTTTTGCGCGGGTTGCAATTCGCAGGATCGGAGCGGGGGGGGGGGCTGCCTCCCCCCTCCACCACCTGCAGCAATCGGAGCCCCCCCCCAGGCTTCCCCTGTGGGCGTGTCCTCCGCCCCCTCCCCTCCGGCTGCCCCAATGAGGGCCGGGGGCGTTGCCGGGGGAGGCGGGGCGCCGGGAGGGAGCAGGCGAGCGGGATGGCGGCGGTGTGTGGGCGCTGCTGCTCGGCCGGCTGGAGGCCGCTGCTGGCCCGCTGGCCCCGGGGCCGCGCCGCCTACCACAGCGAGCGCGGCGTCTACGGCTACAAGCCCGGCCGGCCGGCCCAGGAGCCCCGCGGGAGCGCCCAGCGAGCCCAGCCCTGGAGGCCGGCAGGTGGGATCGGGGGGGCTTGCAGTCACTCCGACGATGAGGATGATCCGCAGGGAAGGAAGGAAGGAAGGAAGGAAGGAAGGACAGGGAAGGAGGGAGGGAGGGAGGAAATAGGAATGACAGGAAGGAAGGAAGGACAGGGAAGGAGGGAGGGAGGAAGGAAATAGGAATGACAGGAAGGAAGGAAGGAAGGAAGGAAGGACAGGGAAGGAGGGAGGGAGGGAGGAAATAGGAATGACAGGAAGGAAGGAAGGACAGGGAAGGAGGGAGGGAGGAAGGAAATAGGAATGACAGGAAGGAAGGAAGGAAGGAAGGAAGGAAGGACGGAAGGAGGCAGGGAGGAAGGAAATAGGAATGACAGGAAGGAAGGAAGGAAGGAAGGAAGGAAGGAAGGACAGAGGGAAGGAAGGACAGAGGGAAGGAGGGAAGGAAGGAAGGAAATAGGAATGGCAGGAAGGAAGGAAGGAAGGAAGGAAGGAAGGAAGGACAGAGGGAAGGAAGGACAGAGGGAAGGAGGGAAGGAAGGAAGGAAATAGGAATGGCAGGAAGGAAGGAAGGAAGGAAGGAAGGACAGAGGGAAGGAAGGACAGAGGGAAGGAGGGAAGGAAGGAAGGAAATAGGAATGGCAGGAAGGAAGGAAGGAAGGAAGGAAGGAAGGAAGGAAGGACAGGGAAGGAAGGACAGAGGGAAGGAGGGAAGGAAGGAAGGAAATAGGAATGGCAGGAAGGAAGGAAGGAAGGAAGGAAGGACGGACGGACAGAGGGAAGGAGGGAGGAAGGAAATAGGAATGACAGGAAGGAAGGAAATAGGAATGACAGGAAGGAAGGAAGGAAGGAAGGAAGGAAGGAAGGAAGGAAGGACAGGGAAGGAGGGAAGGAAGGAAGGAAATAGGAATGGCAGGAAGGAAGGAAGGAAGGAAGGAAGGAAGGACGGACAGAGGGAAGGAGGGAGGAAGGAAATAGGAATGACAGGAAGGAAGGAAATAGGAATGACAGGAAGGAAGGAAGGAAGGACAGGGAAGGAGGGAGGGAGGGAGGAAATAGGAATGACAGGAAGGAAGGAAGGACAGGGAAGGAGGGAGGGAGGAAGGAAATAGGAATGACAGGAAGGAAGGAAGGAAGGAAGGAAGGACGGAAGGAGGCAGGGAGGAAGGAAATAGGAATGACAGGAAGGAAGGAAGGAAGGAAGGAAGGACAGAGGGAAGGAGGGAGGGAGGAAGGAAATAGGAATGACAGGAAGGAAGGAAGGACAGAGGGAAGGAGGGAGGGGGGAAGGAAATAGGAATGACAGGAAGGAAGGAAGGAAATAGGAATGACAGGAAGGAAGGAAGGACAGAGGGAAGGAGGGAGGGAGGGAGGAAGGAAATAGGAATGACAGGAAGGAAGGAAGGAAGGAATGACAGGGAAGGAGGGAGGGAGGAAGGAAGGAAATGAGGGAGGGAGGGAGGGGATGAGTAGAAGGAAGGAAGACAGGAAGAAAAAGGAAAGGAAAGGAGGGAGGAAGGGGAGGAGGATGGGGAAGGATACTGCAAAGTCTCCACTCCCTCCCCACTCCAGGGGAAGGATACTATAAAATCCCCATTCCCTCCCCACTCCAGGGGAAGGATACTGCAAAATCCCCATTTCCTCCCCACTCCAGGGGAAGGATACTGCAAAATCCCCATTTCCTCCCGATCAGCTGGGACTTGGGAGGCAGAGAATGGATGGGGGCAGGGCCAGTCAGAGGTGGTATTTACCGGTTCACCGAAGTACTCAAAATTTCCGCTACCGGTTCTCCAGAACTGGTCAGAACCTGCTTAATACCACCTCTGGTCAGAAAACTTTAAAACTTTGAGATTGTTTTTCCAGCAAGTTTCGACATTTATGGCTTTGGATCTATAGAACTGCATCTTTCATCTTCTTTTAATGCCCCCAGAATCCATCCTTGTGGGGTGGAGTCTGGGCAACTGAGTGCTGAGCTGAGTGTTGACTGGCCGGATGCCTTTCTTGTTGCCAGTGCTGAGTTTTCTTCAGAACTGCATCTTTCATTGAAGTAAATCAAAAACCCTGGTTCAGATTCCAGGGAAATCCTTGAATCTCGGATGCTTGGCACCTGACTCGTATTTATGACGGTCTCAGGGTCCCGGGGTCACGTGATCCATTTTTGTGACCTTCTGACAAACTCAACGGGAAGCCTGATTCGCTTAACAACCGTGTGACTGACTTAACAACGGTGGCAAGAAAAGTCGTAAAACTCTCCAACAGAAATGTTGGGCTCCATCGTGGTCGTAAGCCGAGGAGTGCTGTTATATTTTTACTTGCATCAGACTGAATAAAGGACATGTGGATTCTTCCCACGCTCTCTCGCCGTATGTTAAGTTTTGGAAACACGTTGAAATTACCCTTCTTCTCTCTCCTTTGCAGCTGACCATGGACTAGCTCGTTTAGTGACGGCGTATCACGAACATGGACACAAAGCTGCGAAAATCAATCCTCTCTTTACTGGCCAGGCTGTGATGGAGGCGGTGCCTGAAATTCAGGTGTTGGCGGAAACTTTGCAAGGCCCTTTCAACACAGCAGGTAACGTCAAATCCTCATCGTGTGGGCCTTATTGAGAGCTGCATCCAACTCACGTCAGCTCAGAAATAGCTTTTACTGCAGTGATGGAAGGTCGTAGAATGGAGAAGTTAAACTTTGATTGTACAGCAAACCCTAAAGCAGTGTTTCTCATCCTTCGTAGCTTGAAGATGGGTGGACTTCAACTCCCAGAATCCACCAGCCAGCAGCGCTGGCTGGGGGATTCTGGGAGTTGAAGTCCACCCATCTTCAAGCTTCCAAGGTTGAGAAACACTGCCCTAAAGACTGAGAATTTAAAAAAAAGAATATTCCAAAAAAAACTATTAACGACAAAATATTCTGTATTGCATTATACTATTTTATTTATATCCCACCCTTTTTTTTTTTTTGGTCTTTTTATAAGCAACTTAAGATGGCAAATATATCCAACACACCTTTCCCTTCCTACTTTCCCCAAAGCAACATCCCTGTGAGGTGGGTTGGGTTAAGAAAGTGTGACTGGTCCAAGAACGCCCAGCTGGCTTTCGTGCCTAAGGCGGGACTAGAACTCACCATCTCCTGGTGATTGGCCCAAAGTCACCCAGCCATGGCTAAGGTGGAACTAGAACTCACCATCTCCTAGTTTCTAGGTGCCTTAACCACTGGACCAAATTGGCTCTCTTAGGTTGCCGTGAATAGGCCTATAAAATTCCACAAGAGTCAAACTCAGCTAAAAGTTTTGCAAGGAGAATATTTGTGTTATTGTTAAAATCTTGGATGGTTGATGACCAGATATGAGCTCTTTCTTTCTTTCTTTCTTTCTTTCTTTCTTTCTTTCTTTCTTTCTTCCTTTCTTTCTTTCTTCTTCCTTCCTTCCTTCCTTCCTTCCTTCCTTCCTTCCTTCCTTCCTTCCATCCTTTCTCTTTCCTTCCTTCCTTCCATCCATCCTTTCTTTCTCTTTCCTTCCTTCCTTCCCTTCCTTCCTTCCCTCCCTCCCTCCCTTTCTTTCCTTCCTTCCTTTCCTTCCTTTTTTCCTTCTTCCTTCCTTCCTCTTTCTTTCTTTCTTCCTTCCTTCCTTCTTTCCCTCCCTTTCTTTCCTTCCTTTTTTCCTTTTTTCCTTCCTTCTTTCCTTCTTCCATACTTTCTTTCTCTTCCTTCCTTTCTTTCTTTTTCCTTCCTTCCTTTCTTTTTTCCTTCTTTCCTTTCTTCCTTCCTTCCTTCCCTCCCTCCCTTTCCTTCCTTCCTTCCTTCCTTTTTTCCTTCCTTTCTTCCCTCCCTCCCTCCCTCCCCCTCTTTCCTTCCTTCCTTCCTTCCTCCCTCCCTCCCTTCCTTCCTTCCTTCCTTCCTTCCTTCCTTCCTTCCTTTCCACTTCAGGGCTTTTGAACATGGGGAAGGACGAAGCCTCGCTGGAAGATATCCTGTCTTACCTGGAGGACATCTTCTGTGGACATATCTCCATCGAGACCAGCCAGCTGTCCAGCATGCAAGAGAAGGAATGGATGGCCAAACGGTTTGAGGAACTGAAGCAAGAAGCTTTTACTACCGAAGAGAAAAAGTATTTGTCCAAGATCATGCTAGAATCTCAGGTGCATTGTAGGCGTGTTTGCGTGTGTGCGCAAGCAAATAATGTTCTTGGCAGATGCAAGAAGCAAAGCCGAGGCGGATTGATGAAAATGGATGGTTGTGTTTGATTGACATGCAGGCGGTCCTCGAGTTACAGCCATTTGTTTAATGACCATCCCAAGTTAAAATGGCGCTGAAAAAAGGTGATTTATGACTCATCCTCACACTTAAGACCACTATAGCATCTTCACGTCACATGAGCAAAATTTGGGCACTTGGTAACCAGAACAGAACAGAATAATAGAGGTGAAAGGGCCCTTGGAGGTCTTCTAGTCCCACCCTCTGCTCTGACAGGAAGCCCTCTGCCATTTGAGACAAATGCTTGTCCAATCTCTTCTTGAAAGCTTCCAGTGATGGAGCTCCCACAACTTCTGGAGACAAGGCATTTCCACAGGTTAATTGTTCCCACGGTCAGGAAATTTCTCCTTAGTTCTATATCTATAGCTATACTATATCAGTCTGTGTCTGTCTGTCTATCATTTCTCTTATCTCTCTACCATGTCATTTATCTATCATCTCATATCTATCATCTATCTAATCATCTATCATCTCTCTCATCTCTACTCTCATCACTCTCTCATATCTGTCTATCCATCCATCCATCTAAACATTTATCATCTCTCTCATCTATATATCTATCTATCTAACTATCTAATCTATTTATCTCTCTCATCTCTCTGTCTATCATCTGTCATCTATCATCTCTCTATCTAATCATTTATTTATCATCTTTTTCATCTATACCTATCTAATCTATTTCTCTCTCATCTCTCTCATCTGTCATCTATCTGTCTTCTCTCATATCTATCTATCTATCTATTTCTAACTATCTATCTATCCATCCATCCATCTGTCTATCTAATCATTTATCATCTCTCTCATCTATCTATCTATCTATCTATCTATCTATCTATCTATCTATCTATCTAACTAACTAACTAACTATTTAATCTATTTATCTCTCTCATCTCTCTGTCTATCATCTGTCATCTATCATCTCTCTAATCATTTATTTATCATCTTTTTCATCTATACCTATCTAATCTATTTCTCTCTCATCTCTGTCTATCATCTGTCATCTATCTGTCATCTCTCATATCTATCTATCTATCTATCTATCTATCCATCCATCCATCCATCCATCCATCTGTCTATCTAATCATTTATCATCTCTCTCATCTATATATCTATCTAACTATCTAACTATCTAATCTATTTATCTCTCTCAGCTCTCTGTCTATCATCTGTCATCTATCTGTCATCTCTCCTATCTATCTATCTATCTTTCTATCTATCTATCTATCTATCTATCTATCTATCTCTAACTATCTCTCTATTTCTCTATCTAATCATTTATTTATCATCTCTCTCTCTCTCTCTCTCTCCTGGTGTTTGTAAAACAAAGTCCATATAGTCCGTGCTGATCTCAGCCTTATTACAGAAATACAGAAGATAATCCCCAAAAGTTTGTTTGAGGTTCAAATTAGCCCACTGTGTATTTATACTGGCCATGGGTAGCCGCATGAACAGCGTACAAAGTCCAAGGAATAAATATCTCGACAACCAGGAGGAACTGAGGACGTTGGTTTGAAAAATGCCCGATTTCCACAGAGCGTGTGAAGGTTGGCTGTCTTATTGATAGAGTTAAAACTTAGAATAACTTTATTGTCACTTTGAATGTGCGCTAAATCGGCATACATTAAAATGAAATTTTGCGGCACACAGCTCTACCTCCAGTATATACTACGTAAACATGACAAGAAAATTAATTAATGAATTAATTAATTAAAAATTATGCATATACCCACATATATTATAGGAAATAGAGAAGCAACACAGTCTATGTACATGGCGAGAAAAACGAATCTTGCGAGTTTACCAGACAGACGGATGGCCTAAGGAACAAATATCATTTGTTATCTGTAACTGGGCCAGTATAAATGTCAGGCATCCTGCAAATTTATAGGATTTATTTATTTATTTATTGTTTATTTATTGGTTCAATTTATATGCAGCCCTTCTCCAGAGACTCAGGGCGGCTTACAATGCTTTTAAGCAATAGCCTTCATACTTTTGTATATTTCTGCTTAGTAGGGCTTTCGCCCCCCCCCAAGCGGTGTTCTTTTTTATACAAAGTCAGCTTATTGCCCCCACAAACCGGGTCCTCATTTTACCTACCTCGGAAGGATGGAAGGCTGAGTCAACTTTGAGCCTGGTGAGATTTGAACTCACAGTAATTGCAGGCAGCTGGCAGCTAAGTGCTATTTAACAGCAGTTTAGTCTGCTGCACCACCAAGGCTCCTTATTAGGATTAATCCTTATAGGATTAAATTTAAAGAGGGGGAAAAGAGTCCAAAATTCTCTTAGACTTTATTCTTTATTCTATATATATATATATATCCTATTTTTATTTTTTGTTGACAATTATTTATCTAATTGACAGCTGATTGGCTGTACATATACATTTTTAGCAGTGAACACAGTTGACCTATGACCACCATTGGGCCCAAAAGTGAGGCAGTTAAGTGAATGATTGCAGGGGTTAACTTAGTAACTTGGTTGTTAAGTGAATCTGGCTTCCCCAGTCACTGCTTGTCAGAAGGTCGCTGCGACCGTCATAAATATGAGTCACTTGCCAAGTGTCTGAATTTGGATCACGTCACTGTTGGGATGCTGCAACGGTCGTAAGTGTGAAAAAGTGGTCATAAGTCACTTTTTTCAGTGCCGACGTAACTTTGAACGGTCACTAAACAAGCTGTTGTAAATTGAGGACTACCTTTATTCATTTTTAGCAATGAACACAGTTGGTCCTCGAGCCCAAAATGTATGTTGTTGAGTGAAATGCTTGTTAAGTGAGTTTTTCCCCGTTTTACCTTGCTTTCAGTTATTAAGTGAATCACTGGGGTTGTTAAGTTAGTAGTGCGGTTGTTAAGTGAATCTGTCCTTCCCCTGCTGACTTTGCTGGTCAAAAGGGGATCACATCACACGGTTATAACTCACTGCCGTCGTAACAATGAATGGTCACTAAACAAACGTTTGTAAATCGAGGACTACCTGTATTAGAAGCTGGGGTGAGCAATAAAGCGAGTTGAATGCCTAACTCCAAGGTTTTACGTCTCACAGGAGTTTGATCGCTTCCTGGCCACCAAGTTTGCCACGGTGAAGCGCTACGGGGGCGAAGGTGCGGAGAGCATGATGGGCTTCTTCCACGAATTGCTGAAGATGTCCTCGTATAGCGGCGTGACGGACATCGTCCTCGGGATGCCTCACCGGGGAAGACTCAATCTTCTCACGGGCCTCCTTCACTTTCCCCCTGAGGTAAGGAAAGGGATGGGTTTTTAAACAGGAATAGAATAGAAATAGAATAGGAAATAATAGAGAATAGCAAATATAGTGAATGGAATTGAATGGAATAGAATAATAGAGAATAATAGAGAATATAATAAATGGAATAGGAACAGGAACAGGAACAGGAACAGGAACAAGAACAAGAACAAGAACAAGAACAAGAACAAGAACAAGAACAAGAACAAGAACAAGAACAATAGAATAGAATAGAATAGAATAGAATAGAATAGAATAGAATAGAATAGAATAGAAGGAATGAAATAGGGATAGGATAGGATAAGAAAGAATTAGAACAGAGTAGAATATAATAGAATAAAATAGAATAGAATAGAATAGAATAGAACAGAAGGAATGAAATAGAGATAGGATAGGATAGGATAAGAAAGAATTAGAGTAGAGTAGAGTAGAGTAGAGTAGAATAGAATAGAATAGAATAGAATAGAATAGAAGGAATGAAATAGGGATAGGATAGGATAAGAAAGAATTAGAACAGAGTAGAATATAATAGAATAAAATAGAATAGAATAGAATAGAACAGAAGGAATGAAATAGAGATAGGATAGGATAGGATAAGAAAGAATTAGAGTAGAGTAGAGTAGAGTAGAGTAGAATAGAATAGAATAGAATAGAATAGAATAGAAGGAATGAAATAGGGATAGGATAGGATAGGATAGGATAGGATAGAATTGGAATGGAATGGAATGGAATGGAATGGAATGGAATGGAATAGAATAGAATAGAATAGAATAGAATAGAATAGAATAGAATAGAATAGAATAGAATAGAAGGAATGAAATAGGGATAGGATAGGATAAGAAAGAATTAGAATAGAATAGAATAGAATAGAATAGAATAGAATAGAATAGAATAGAATAGAATAGAAGGAATGAAATAGGGATAGGATAGGATTGGATAGGATAGGATAAGAAAGAATTAGAACAGAGTAGAGTAGAGTAGAGTAGAATAGAATAGAATAGAATAGAATAGAACAGAACAGAACAGAACAGAACAGAACAGAACAGAACAGAACAATAATGTTATTGTCACTTTGAATGTACACTAATCAACATACCTTAAAATGAAATTTCATTGAATGGAGCTCTCGAAGGGTCCTCACTTCCAATACAGACTACATAAACATGACAAAATAAATGCATAAATACAAAATTATGCCAATACCCACATATATTATATGACACAGAGAAACAACACAGTCTAGTCCGGATGTATACAGGTACCTGGCGAGAAAAACGAATCTTGCGAGTTTACCAGACGGATGGACGGCCTAAGGAACAAAGCCGCTCCAGAATCTGGTCGTCCTGCTAGAAATTTTTCATTATTCAAAACCGCAGAGGTGATTCCCATGCCGTTGTCTTCTTGCTTTCCCGCCGAAAAGCTGATGTTCCGTAAAATGCAAGGCTTGAGCGAATTCCCGGAGAACGCGGCTGCCATCGGAGACGTCCTCTCCCACCTCACGGCCTCGGTGGAGCTGGATTTCGGGTCTCACCGCCCGATTCACGTCGTCCTGTTGCCGAATCCTTCCCACCTGGAAGCCATCAACCCCGTGGCGGTCGGCAAAACCAGAGGGAGACAGCAAACTTTGTCGGATGGGGATTATTCCTTAGCCAGTTCGGCTCGGCCGGGAGATAAAGTCATTTGCTTGCAGGTATTTGGAGCAAAAAATTGGGAACAAGAAATGGGAAGAAAGCTGGGACGGATAGATGGGAGATAATAATCATTTAAAGTTTCAGCTGTGCCCCGAGGGCGTAAGAGACTGGAGACATTGCAAAAACTAGACTCTGCCTGGTCTTGTTTTTTTTTTTCCCAGGTGAGACACAAAGCAAGAGGAATTAAACAAATTATGTTGCTTAGCTGGTGATTAAAATGATAATGGAGGCAATTTTTGCTCAGGAGTTTTAAAACTCTAAAACTAGTTTGGAAGCCATCTTTTGGGAGGAGGCTCAACCATTAAGGCTTTATCGGTGATCTTCCTGCTTTAGAGAAGGGTGAGAAAGTCTGCAGGCCTCCTCCGATTATCTATATATTAAAAAATGGCTGTGTGTATGTTCCAGCATAATTCTGGAACGCCTCGAGCAATTTCAACCAAACTTGGTACACAGATGACTTACTCTCTGGAAAAAAAATACTGTGTGGGTAAGATGACCCTAACACTCCTCGGGATGGGGGTGGGGGTGGGTGTTTGTGTGTCTGTGCTCCAGCATAACCCTGGAATGCCTGGGCCGCTGAAATGAAAAGGAATGAATTATATCTATAGTGTCAAATCACAGTACTTTTGACAGTGATAGTGTGCATTTTGGATTCAAGTTCTGTTAAGAGATACAGTCTGTTGTGCCTTAAAATGGCTTCTACTGTACAGCACAGTAGAGTTGCCACTATAGATATAATTCATTTCTTTTCCTGTCTAATACAGGATTGGGATAAATAAATACCCGGGCAATGCCGGGTTATCAGCTAGTAAACTATAAATTCGTTTTAATCAATAAAAGAAAATAAACTGCGGGACTAGGAAACGGGAAACCCATCATTCTCTCCATGTTCTTCTGCAAGCAGCTGCGATTTGGAGCATGCTGCCCCCAATGTGGATCAGTCCTGATGGTTCAGAACCGAGCAAACAGATTGCAGGTGGTCCTTGACTTATGACCATAATTGAGCCTGAAGTTTGTCATTGTTGTTATAAGTGAATCTGTTAAATTAGTCACACAGTTGTTTGGTGAATGTGGCTTCGCCATTGCCTTTGCTCGTTGGAAAATGGGGATCACATGACCCCTGGGACACATGGCAACCGTCATAAATATGAAGCAGTTGCAAAGATATCTGAATTTTGATCACGTGGCCACAGGGATGCCGTAACAGTCCGAAGTGTGAAAAATGGTTATAAGCCACTTTATGTATGGTTATAAGTGCCATTGTAACTCTGAACGGTCACTTAACAAACAGTTGTAAATCGAGGACTATCTATATCCAGTCAGTCCATTATACAGAGAAGATTTCCTTTTAAATTTGGGGCTCCTTAAGTAAAATACAGCAGTTCCACATTTCTCTTTTTCCACACAAATGGAAAAAGGAGGAGACTGCTTTCCAAAGAATTTGAAAGAATGCAATAAATTTGGTAAATAAAAAGGGTGAGGTTACTAGCTACAAATAGAAATACACCAGAGGTGGGTTTCAGCAGGTTCTGACCAGTTCTGGAGAACCGGTAGCGGAAATTTTGAGTAGTTCGGAGAACCAGTAGTAAAAATTCTGACTGGCCCCGCCCCCATCTATTCTCTGCCTCCTGAGTCCCAGCTGATCGGGAGGAAATGGGGATTTTGCAGTATCCTTCCGCTGGAGTGGGGAGGGAATGGAGATTTTACAGTATCCTTCCCCTGGAGTGGGGAGGGAATGGAGATTTTACAGTATCCTTCCCCTGCCACGCCCACCAAGCCACGCCCACTAAGACTTGCCACGCCCACCAAGCCACGCCCACAGAACCGGTAGTAAAAAAAATTGAAACCCACCACTGAAATACACATTATTTCCATAGCAAGGAAGATAAAGCAGAAATGGTTCATTTGATTACTTGTTTATTTAAAGAGGAAAATATGTTCTTTATTTGGAGATCGCTTCTGGAATGTTTGCTTGTGAAGAAAAAAAAATGAAACTTGGTTTTGTTGATTAGAAAGATTTGGGGTTATAGAAATGGCTAGTTACTCACTTTTGTTGCCCGCAGTTTAGACACTAATGGCTGCCTGTTGTGTTATTTTGAGGGGGCAGCACATTTACAACGGTTTTACAAGCTGTATACTCACTACTTTACATTGCAGCCAAGTGTCATTTCTTCAGCGTTGTCACATGAAAAGATATGCTTAAATATTTACAAAATGTGAGGGGGGTGTACCCACTTCTGTGTCCCCTTTTCTTTCTTTTTCTCTTCCCCCTTGTATTTCACACACCCCTTTTCCCCGTCTCCTTTCCCGCCCTTAATTTCTTCTTTTCTTTTTTGTATTTTATATTTTACGTAATAAAATAAAAATGATATTGAAGAAAAGAAAGAAAGAAAAGAGTGGAAGAAGGCTGAGTCCGATCAATTTTTGTGACTGGCGCCATTTTTATCTTTGGGATACAGGTTCACGGAGATGCGTCGTTCTCTGGCCAAGGGATTGTTCCGGAAACATTTACCCTTTCCAACCTGCCCCATTTTAGAATCGGGGGAAGCATTCACCTCATCGTAAATAACCAATTGGGCTACACCACCCCGGCGGAGCGAGGAAGGTCCTCTCTGTACTGTAGCGATATCGGTAGGTCTCATGTGGAAATAATTGGTTAAAAAATGTAGAAATCTGGAATTGGACTCGGACGCTGAACGAGTAAAAATCCCGTGTGGTTCAACAGCATGCATTGATTCCTACGTCTTGCGATGAGTCAGGTGTGGGTCTCGCAAGTGGGTCTTGTGGTGGTCAGGTGTCAGTTGTGTCAAGTGATGGTCTTGGGATGGGTCAATTGTGGGTCACAAATGAAGGTCTTGTGATGGGGAGGTCACCTCAGGTGAGAGGCACATCAGGTGAGATCTTGTGATGGTCAGGTGTGGGGCACATCGAGTGAGGGTCTTGTGATGGGCCAGGTGGGGGCCACAAGTGAAGGTCTTGTGATGGGGAGGTCACGTCAGGTGAGAGGCACATCAGGTGAGATCTTGGGATGGTCAGGTGTGGGTCACATCGAGTGAGGGTCAGGTGATGGGTCAGGTGGGGGTCACAAGTGAAGGTCTTGTGATGGGGAGGTCACGTCAGGTGAGAGGTACATCAGGTGAGATCTTGGGATGGTCAGGTGTGGGGCACATCGAGTGAGGGTCAGGTGATGGGTCAGGTGGGGGTCACAAGTGAAGGTCTTGTGATGGGGAGGTCACGTCAGGTGAGAGGTACATCAGGTGAGATCTTGGGATGGTCAGGTGTGGGTCACATCGAGTGAGGGTCAGGTGATGGGTCAGGTGGGGGTCACAAGTGAAGGTCTTGTGATGGGGAGGTCACGTCAGGTGAGAGGCACATCAGGTGAGATCTTGGGATGGTCAGGTGTGGGGCACATCGAGTGAGGGTCTTGTGATGGGCCAGGTGGGGGTCACAAGTGAAGGTCTTGTGATGGGGAGGTCACGTCAGGTGAGAGGCACATCAGGTGAGATCTTGGGATGGTCAGGTGTGGGGCACATCGAGTGAGGGTCTTGTGATGGGCCAGGTGGGGGTCACAAGTGAAGGTCTTGTGATGGGGAGGTCACGTCAGGTGAGAGGCACATCAGGTGAGATCTTGGGATGGTCAGGTGTGGGGCACATCGAGTGAGGGTCAGGTGATGGGTCAGGTGGGGGTCACAAGTGAAGGTCTTGTGATGGGGAGGTCACGTCAGGTGAGAGGCACATCAGGTGAGATCTTGTGATGGTCAGGTGTGGGGCACATCGAGTGAGGGTCTTGTGATGGGCCAGGTGGGGGTCACAAGTGAAGGTCTTGTGATGGGGAGGTCACGTCAGGTGAGAGGCACATCAGGTGAGATCTTGGGATGGTCAGGTGTGGGGCACATCGAGTGAGGGTCTTGTGATGGGGAGGTCACGTCAGGTGAGAGGCACATCAGGTGAGATCTTGGGATGGTCAGGTGTGGGGCACATTGAGTGAGGGTCTTGTGATGGGTCAGGTGGGGGTCACAAGTGAAGGTCTTGTGATGGGGAGGTCACGTCAGGTGAGAGGTACATCAGGTGAGATCTTGTGATGGTCAGGTGTGGGTCACATCGAGTGAGGGTCAGGTGATGGGTCAGGTGGGGATCACCAGTGAAGGTCTTTTGATAGGTCTTGTGATAAGGAGTTTACCTCAGGTCAGGGTCATTGGGAAGGGAACTGCTGGTGGGGGTGTCTTGTGTGGGTTGGTTGAGGGTCGGTCCTATCTCTGGTTGGCTGTGTAGTTGAACTGAATTCTGAGGGTTTCGTGGGCTGGTTGTAGGTCAGTGTTGATGGGATTGTTTGCCAATGAACTCCTGAGCATGGTGGGTGGTAGCGTGGCTGACAATTTTTGTGTTGCTCTAATCGAACTGGTGCTGTTTGGTGTCAGTGTAAGTAGAAATTAAGGATTTGGGATCGTGGCGTTTGACGGCCTATCCGGTGTTCGCGGTTCCTGGTTTCCAATTGACGTGATGTTTGTCCCACGTAGAATCATTATGGTTACAGGGGATTGTGTAGTTTTGTTCCTGAATTGGAAGGAGGAAACACCCCCCCCCAAAAAAAACGAGAGTTCTAGCTGGCCAGACGTTCCTAGAGAATTCGTGGAGTCCTCTTTGGTACGTCTTCACCTTCTTCTCTCTCTTCCTCTTCACCATGTTAGGTAAGATAGTTGACTGTGCTGTCATCCACGTGAATGGAGATGATCCAGAAGAAGTTCTCAGAGCTGCCCGATTGGCGGTGGAGTACCAGCGACTCTTCCGGAAGGATGTGATTGTGGATCTTCTCTGCTATCGGCAGTGGGGTCACAACGAACTCGATGAGCCCTCTTTCACCAACCCCACCATGTATAAAATAATCAGGTAACGCTTAATTCCAACCGGAAGAGCTTGTTCTGACTGAGGCTTCCTTAAATAGCAAGAAACAGAGTCTTAGTCCCGGTAAACCCCCTTTTATTTACACAACTGTGAATGACGTTCATTCACAGTCAGCACGGCTTGGCAAACAGTCTTTCAGAGGCATATTTATTAACACAGACCTTATCTCGCTGGGAAAGCTGCAGATAACTAGTTTCCAACTGCAGACAAGGCAAAACTTGGCACAGAGTCTTTTAAAGTCACAAACAAGGGGAGGGCTCCCCTTGAGGAGCACCCGGAGGCTCCAACTGGCGCAGAGTGCGGCCGTGCGGGTGGTTATGAGAGCAACATGGCGCTCCCATGTGACACTTCTCCTGCGCAAGCTGCACTGGCTCCCAGTGGTCTTCCGGGTGCGCTTCAAGGTTTTGGTCACCACCTTTAGAGCGCTCCGTGGCTTAGGACCTGGTTATTTACGGGACCGCCTACTACCACTAACAGCCTCCCACCGGCCGGTACGCTCCCATAGAGAGGGGCTCCTCCGGGTGCCGTCAGCCAAACAATGTCGACTGGCGGCCCCTAGGGGGAGGGCCTTCTCTCTGGGGGCACCCACTATCTGGAACGAGCTCCCCCCGGAGATACGGAGGATCCCGGATCTGTGCACTTTCCGCCGTGCTCTTAAGACCCTCCTATTCCAGCAAGCCGGCCTGGCCTAATTTTCTCCCCTTTCTTTTAAATTCTTTTAAATCAAAATTTTAATCTGTTTTAAATTATTGGGATTTTTAATTGTCTCGGGCTAAATTATTTAATCTGGTTTTAATTATGTTTCTAACTTTTGTATCTATGTATTTTATTCTGTGCCTGTTCACCGCCCTGAGTCCTTCGGGAGTAGGGCAGTATATAAATTTAATAAAAAAACAAAAACAAACAGAACTTTCCACTTTGGCAATGACTGACTGAACAAATTGTTTCCTGCAAAAGCCCACTCCCCATTCGCTCCTCTTTTGTTTCCTATGGGTGGGGCCAATCACCTCCAAGGTGTAGCTTTACTCCCTAGTCGACCCTGCTTTCTTAGTTCTTCTTGTCTTCTGGCAGCTCTGCACATGTGCATACTGAGAAAAGGCTCCAGCTCTTCCTCTGCCTCACTGCTGTCTTACTCCCTCTCTGCCTCCAACGCAGAGCCCTCGTCTGAGCTTTCCCCAGCCCCCAGGACTGGGCCATGTTCCTCCCCAACCTCCTCACTGTCCGACTCAGCTGCCAGCTCCGCAGGCAGAGCTGTTGACCTTGGAAGCACCTCCCAGAAGAGGTGGTAGGTTCATCCTACCAGATGCCTATGAGAAGAAGACAGAGGCCCATCCATTGGGGGTGTTGAATTTGAATTGTTTTTCCACACTTGCAGTGTTCCTGTGATTACAGGGTCATAAAAAGGGATTTAAAAAAAAAACGTTTCTATGTGTGGACTTGGATTCCCAGAATTCCCCAGCCAGCCTTCCCAGAAATCCACACATCTTAAAATAGCTAAGATTGAGATACGATGGTGGGGAATTCTGGGAATTGAAATCCATACATCTTAAAACTGGCTAAGATTGAGAAACGATGGTGGGGAATTCTGGGAATTGAAATCCATGCATCTTAAAAGGGCTGAGATTGGAAAACAATGGATAGGAATTCTGGGAATTGAAATCCATAGATCTTAAAATAGCTAAGATTGAGAAACGATGGTGGGGAATTCTGGGAATTGAAATCCATGCATCTTAAAAGGGCTGAGATTGGAAAACAATGGATAGGAATTCTGGGAATTGAAATCCATAGATCTTAAAATAGCTAAGATTGAGATACGATGGTGGGGAATTCTGGGAATTGAAATCCATGCATCTTAAAATAGCTAAGATTGAGAAACAATGGGTGGGAATTCTGGGAATTGAAATCCATGCATCTTAAAACAGCTGAGGTTTGGGAAATAAAAACCCATCTCGTGCATTTTTGTGTCTCGTTTTGCCGGACAGATCCCGGAAAAGCATCCCAGATACTTACGTGGAGGGGCTGGTGGCCGAGGGACTTACAACTGAGCAGGAAATATTGGAGATCAAAACTTCCTATTACTCAAAGCTCAACGAACATCTCTCCACCATGGCTATGTATACCCCTCCGTGGCCCAACCTCCAGGCCCACTGGACCGGCCTGGTGGAGCCCACGCCGAGGGTCACAACGTGGGACACAGGCGTTCCTCTACCACTCCTCCAGTATGTCGGGGTCAAGTCGGTGGAAGTGCCCGAAGAATTACAACTGCACAACCATATCCTGAAGACGCACGCTCAGGTTCGAGATCCTCAAATACAACTCTAGACGTGCGAAAGATGGTACAGGCAGTCCTTACGACCGCAATGGAGCCCAAAGGTTCCGTTGCTAAGCGAGACATTGGTCCAGAGAGTTTTTGCCTCATTTTACGACCTTTCTCACCACGGTTGTTAAGCGAATCGCCGCAATCGTTAAGTTAGTAACCCGGTGGTTAACTGAATCGGGCTTCCCACATTGACTTTGCTGGTCAGAAGGTCACAAAACGGTCATAAATATGAGTCATTTGCCAAGTGTCTGCTGTCATTAATTTACTTCAAATATTGGATTGTAAGGCAAAAACGTGTTTTGTGAAACTTGCTGTTCCATATCTGAGGAGATTTTCCGTCACCCAGGTTGTCCCAAAGGTGCTTTCTCAAAAGGCAACTGGATTTTCTCGGGGTTTTTTTTTTCCCCCTTTAGAAAATGTTTCGCTTCTTATCCAAGAAGCTTCTCCAGTTCTTCAGCTGACTTTTAAGGCAACTGGACTTTCTGGGTTTTTCCTTGAAGAGGTTTCGCTTCTCATCCCCAGGAAGCTTCTTTAGTTCTCAAGGAAGGTTTTCCAAGGAAAAACAAAGTCCAGTTACTGGCTTTTTGCAAAAGCACCTTTAGGATTGCTGTTCCATGATATTTGAAATAAATAAATAAATAAATACGTGTTTGGTTTTAGGAGCTGCCAGTGTGTGCCCTAAAGGACATTTGGGCCTTTGAGTTTGGAGTGTGGCACAGTCCGAAACTTTATGGCTTTTAAGACATTATCTGAGCCAATTGTGTTTATGATAAAAATATCGTTAAATAATGTTAGTTTTTTAAACAGTAGGAATGGAAGGAACAAACTCCCCTTGAATGCATCCTATTTCAATTGTCCTTATCTTAAAAGCAAACTAAAATTTTAAAATAGGCAGGTTTTGCAAGGCCATTGTCAAAAATATGGCTTTTTATTAGAATCGACCTGCTTTGAAAGCATTTAGGATCACATTCAAGCCAGGAAGTCCCATTCAAGTCGATGAGGCTTATTTCATTTTGCAAATGGCAGAGGTTATGTACAGGTTACGGTGTGCATGTCATACACAGTGAAGTTATGGTGTGTGTGCTGTCCCTTGTTTCCCCACCATATGCAGTCATATGCTGTTGTTTAGTTTTTCTGCAAAAATTAAGCAAGAAACCCTTAGGCTTAGATCTTTCGGAAGTTGAAGTAACAAAATAATGATTTGTGTTTATTTCTGTTCTGTTTCTGTTCTTTTCCTGTTCTGTTCTGTCCTGGTTCTGTTCCTGTCTTATTCTGTTCTGTTCCTCTTCCTGATTTGTTTTGTATTCTGTTCCTGTTCCTGTTCCTGTCCTGTCCTGTCCTGTCCTGTCCTGTCCTGTCCTGCTTCTGCTTCTGCTTCTGCTTCTGCTCCTGCTCCTGCTCCTGCTCCTGCTCTGGTTCTGTCCTATTTTTTTTTTGTCTTGTTTTTTTTCTTCTTTTCTTTTCCTCCTGCTCCTGCTTTGTTCCTGTTCTGTTCCACTTCCTGATTTGTTTTGTATTCTGTTCTGTTCTGCTCCTGCTCCTCCTCTGTCCTATTTTTGTTTTGTTTTGTTTCGTTTCGTTTCGTTTCGTTTCGTTTCGTTTCGTTTCGTTTCGTTTCGTTTCCTCCTGCTTCTGCTTTGTTCCTACTGTGTTCCTGTTTTGTCCCTGTTCTGTTCTGTTCTGTGTTGGGCGTGCAGTCACGAGTGCTGAAGATGGAGGAAGGAGTGAAATTAGACTGGGCCACCGCTGAAGCACTAGCTTTCGGTTCTCTTCTGTGTCAAGGTAGGCCTTTAAAACATATATAAACTTCATCCGCTATTAAGCCAGGAAAGTAAAACGTAAATGGGAAAACGTATACGGAAAAAGAGAACTCATCTTGGCAAAGTCGTTCGCAGAAGGTCCGGTTTCATTGTGGAGAAGCACCTTCGGGTTCTCCTGATGGATTGAACTTCTCAGGCTGTAAAAGAGACGGTGGGATATTTGTACTTTCACACTTGCAAGATTCCGTTAATGTAGCTTTACAAATCAAGTAGAATTAGCTCATCTGGACATATTTCCTGTCCTGTCGTGGTCTGCCTGGGAAGGCTGACCACGAATAATCATTCAACAAGGATCCCCTCCCCTGTGTTGGCTTGGCATTAAACCGACACCTCCCTATAAAGAGGCAAAAAGAGATATTTAGAATCACCCAGTCTTAAAACTAGACCAAACACTTACCGTATTTTTCGGAGTATAAGACGCACCTTTTTCCCCCCTAAAAGGGAGTGAAAATTTAGATGCGTCTTATACACCGAATGTAGCCCTGCCCACCCACTGGCCCCCACCCTCTGGCCTCTGCCTCCCAGCAGTTTACCTCCTTTCAAGCAAACAGCAAGAAAAAACAGCTTCTTTCAGCTTCAGCACAACCTAATTAGCACAACGTGATTGGATCGGCCTCCAACTCTCAGCTGATTTGCTCTCCGCTGTTTTGCACAGGGCTCTGCTGCTTGCTGCAAAGAGGTAAATTGCTGGAGCAGATTTTTTTTTTTCCCTTGTGCTGATCAAGCTATGCTGAAAACGAAACTGAAAGTAAAGCAGGCTGTTTGCTGCAAGGAGGCAAAATTGCTAGGAGGCAGAGGGAGATTTCTTCTTTTTCTTTTCCTCACCAAAAAAGGTAGGTGCATCTTATACTCCAAAAAATACGGTATTTTAGCAAGAAAGGGGAAACAAAACAGAGCTTGAGATAGGTATAGAAGTCAAGCCTTCATTTAGGAAAATCCTTAGGAAGAAGGGAGGCCTTCCTCCTTCTGAATCTTTCACTTGTGATCAATTCTCACCACAGATTTGCTTTCTACCAAGGTTTTAACATCCGTCTGAGCGGGCAAGACGTGGGTCGAGGGACGTTCAGCCAGAGACATGCCATGTTGGTTTGTCAAGAGACGGGGGAAACCTACATCCCTTTGAACCACATGTCTGCAGATCAGAAGGGCTTCCTTGAGGTGAGAAAGTGAAAGTTGGAACGAGAGGACTTCTTCACTGCACGCTCTGCCTCACGTGGACTTCCCACGGGGACATTTTTGGGGGAACAAAATTCTCCCTGGCTCAATTAAGATTTATTTCCAAATCGTCACACGTTAGCTTGCTCTCTGGAGATCACGTGAGAATATTGTGTTGTAATTTGCTTTTCCCACTTCTCATCAAACTTCCATTCCACAAAGTTTCAGATGTTTTCCTGAAAATAAGACCCTGTCTTATATTTTTCTGAACCCAGAAATAAGCGCTTGGCCTTATTTTCAGGGAGGTCTTATTATCCTCTTGCCATCTTACCTGATTTCCAGCTCTGTGTTTAAATATTTTTGGGGAGAGCTTATTTTCGGGGAGGGGGGGAGGCTTATTTTAGTGCATGCGCTCAAAAGCCTGATTGGGCTGATTATCAGAGGATGTCTTATTTTCAGGGAAACAGGGTACACAGAGAGAGAGAGAGAGAGAAGAGAAAGAGAGAGAGAAAAAGAAGGGAGAGAGGGAAGAGAGAGAGAGAGAGGAGAAAGAAGAAGAGAAAAAGAGAGGGAGAGTAAAAGAGAAAGACGAGAAAAAAGAAAAGGAAAGCGAGAAGAAGAAAGAAAGAGAGAAAGAGAGAAGAGAAAGAGAGAGAAAAAGAGAAAGGGGGAGAGAGAAGAGAAAGGGGGAGAGAGAGGAGAGGAGAAAGAAAAAGAAGAGAAAAAGAGAAAGGGAGAGAGAAAAAAGAGAAAGAAGAGAAAGAGAAAAAAGAGAAAGGGAGATAGAAGAAGAAAGAGAGAGAGAGAAGCGAGAGAGAGAGAGAATGAGAAAGAGAGAAGAAGAAAAGAAAGAGAAAAAAGAGGGAGAGAGAAGAGAGAGAGAGGAGAAAGAAGGAGAAAAAGAGAAAGGGAGAAAGAGAGAGAAAAAGAAAGAAAAAAGAAAAAAGAGAAAGGGAGAGAGAAGAAGAAAGAAAGAAAGAGAGAGAGAGAGAGAGAAAGGGAGAGAGAGAGAGAAGAAGAGAAAGGGAGAAAGGGAGAGGAGGAGGAGGAAGAGGAGATTCATACTCGTACTCCATCCTTTTTACCTATAAGAATTGCATTCTTGAAATTCCACATGAAAAGCAGAGTTATCAAAGCATTGTTTCTAGGGAGAACAGCAGGAAGACTTCGTAACACATCAAACACTCTGAGATGAAGGATGTGGTTTCCTTTGATGTGGCTTGGCTCAATGCCACGTGCCAAACGCTCGCAGGTTTTGGTTTCCCCCCCCCCTTATTGTGCATGGCTGCATATATAAACCCCATCAGGACTGCCTCTGACCAAAAAATGGGTTTTGCTTTCATAGAAGTGTATAATAAGCAAACTGCAGAAAGAAAACACGCAGAAGGAGATACATACTTACACATATGTAAGAGACACACAGAGACACAGACGTTAGATTTTAAATCTATGAACGTGTCAAGTTGTAGATTGGGGATAACAATTTCTATGTCATAAAAAATTGAGAATGAAATTTTATGCATGTAGGTTTTAAGTCTCATATGAACCTTCCAGATAAATATATATCTGGTTAGATCATCCTCTTTCTGCAGTAACCCTCCCTCCCTCCCTTCCTTCCTTCCTTCCATCCATCCATCCATCCGTGGCCTTCCTTCCATCCAGGGGTGAAATCCAAAATTTTTCCTACTGGTTCTGTGGGCGTGGCTTGGTGGGCGTGGCAGGGGAAGGATACTGCAAAATCTCCATTCCCTCCCCACTCCTGGGGGAAGGATATTGCAAAATCTCCCTTCCCACCCCACTCTGGGGCCAGCCAGAGGTGGTATTTGCTGGTTCTCCGAACTGCTCAAAATTTCTATTACCGGTTCTCCAGAACCTGTCAGAACCTGCTGGATTTCACCCCTGCTTCCATCCCTTCATCCATCCACCCCCTTCCTTCTTTCTTTCCTTTCACTCCTCCTTCCTTTTCTGCTTCCTTCTCTCTTCCTACTCCCCCTTCCTTCCATCCATTGTGTTATCCATCCCTCCATATCCTTCCTTCTTTCCTTCCATCCATCCATCCATCCATCCATCCATCCATCCATCCATCCATGTCCTTCCTTCTTTCTTTCCTTCCTTCCCTCCTTCCTTCCCTCCTTCCTTCTCTCTTCCTCCCCCCCTTCCTTCCATCCATCGTGTCATCCATCCCTCCATGTCCATCCTTCCTTCCTCCTTCCTTCCATCCATCCATCCATGTCCTTCCTTTCTTTCCTTCTTTCCTTCCCTCCTTCCTTTTCTCCTTCCTTCCTCCTCCCCCCTTCCTTCTATCCATCGTGTCATCCATCCCTCCATGTCCTTCCTTCCTCCTTCCTTCCATCCCTCCCTCCCATGTCCTTCCTTCACTCCTTCCTCCTCCCCTCTTCCTTCCATCCATCGTGTCATCCATCCCTCCATGTCCTTCCTTCCATCCATCCATGTCCTTCCTTCTTTCTTTACTTCCTTCCCTCCTTCCTTCTCTCTTCCTCCTCCCCCCTTCCTTTCATCCATTGTGTCATCCATCCCTCCATGTCCCTCCTTCCTTCCTTCCTTCCTTCCTTCCATGGCCCTTCTTTGTTTCCTTCCTTCCTTCCCTCCTTCCTTTTCTCCTTCCTTCCTCCCCACTTCCTTCCATCCATCGTGTCATCCATCCCTCCATGTCCTTCCTTCCTTCCTTCCTTCCTTCCATCCATCCATCCATCCATCCATCCATCCATCCATCCATGGCCTCTCTTTTTTTCCTTCCTTTTCTCCTTCCTTCTCTCTTCCTCCTCCCCCCTTCCATCCATCCATAAGCTTCTACAATTATTTCGCTTTAAGAGTGTGTGTGTGTGCAGAGGGGCCTATTTCCTGCAAATAGACCCTTCCTCATTCTGCCATCTCCTGTCCTCCCTTAGGTGAGCAACAGCCCCCTGTCGGAAGAAGCGGTGCTGGGCTTTGAGTACGGGATGAGTATCGACAGCCCCAACCTCTTGCCCGTTTGGGAGGCTCAGTTTGGGGATTTCTTCAACGGAGCCCAGATCATCTTTGATACCTTTATCTCTGGAGGTGAGACTCGGAGGTCTGTTTGGATAGAAAATAGATTTACGGTTCTGATAAAGGAGAATATTTGAAACGAAGGGTCCTCGCTGCTCTCCGAACTTGGATGCTTTCTGGGAGGACATTTCATGACCCAACTAGGTAACATCATCAGTGCTAGTAGGGAGAGGGGTTTGCAGGAAGGAGGAGGAGGAAGATTGTGGGGTCCTCGGTGCTCTCTGAGCCTTCTGGGAGACGTTTCATGACCCAACTAGGTAACATCATCAGTGCTAGAAAGGAGAGGGGCAGCTAAGCAAATGGTGAAGGGCTCCTTGCGTGCTATCTGGCAGACGCCAATAGTGTGTCATCATTATTGACATTGGATAACTTCTCCTCTACAGGAGAAGCCAAGTGGCTCCTGCAGAGCGGACTGGTGGTTCTCCTTCCACACGGCTATGACGGGGCTGGACCGGAACATTCTTCGTGTCGGGTCGAACGATTCCTGCAGGTAGCCTGAGGCGACATCTGCCATCCAGAGTTTCTTCAGATTTATGTCTCTGCAAAAAAAAAAAAACAACCCTCCTTAAATATCTCCCATCCCTGTGTTTATTCATTGGACAGGTAGTCCTCGATTTACGACCACAATTGAGCCCAAAATTTATGCTGCTAAGTGAGACACGCATTAAGTGAGTTTTGCCCCATTTTACGACTTTTCTTATGACCACAATCAAGCACAAAATTTATGTTGCTAAGTGAGACGTGTTAAGTGAGTTTTGCCCCATTTTACGACTTTTTTTACAACCACAATCAAGCACAAAATTTATGTTGCTAAGTGAGACACGAATTAAGTGAGTTTTGCCCCATTTTACGACTTTTCTTATGACCACAATCAAGCACAAAATTTATGTTGCTAAGTGAAACACGTGTTAAGTGAGTTTTGCCCCGTTTTACGACTTTTTTTACAACCACAATCAAGCCCAAAATTTATGTTGCTAAGTGAGACATGTGTTAAGTGAGTTTTGCCCCATTTTACGACTTTTCTTATGACCACAATCGAGCCCAAAATTTATGTTGCTAAGTGAGACATGTGTTAAGTGAGTTTTGCCCCGTTTTATGACTTTTCTTATGACCACAATCGAGCACAAAATTTATGTTGCTAAGTGAAACACGTGTTGAGTTTTGCCCTGTTTTACGACTTCTCTTATGACCACAATCAAGCACAAAATGTATGTTGCTAAGTGAGACACGTGTTAAGTGAGCTTTGCCCCGTTTTACGACTTTTCTTAATCGAGCACAAAATGTATGTTGCTAAGTGAGACACGTGTTAAGTGAGTTTTGCCCCATTTTACGACTTCTCTTGCCACCGTTGTTAAGTGAATCTGGTTTCCCCCTTCTAACTTTGCTCGTCAGAAAGTCGCAAAAGGGGGATCACGTGTGCCTGGGACACTGCAACCGTCCTAAGTATGAACCAGTCCGCCAAGTATCTGAATTTGGGATCACGTGAACCTGGGGATGCTGCAACAGTCATAACTGTGAAGATCAGTCCCAAGTCACTTTTTTCCCCAGTGCCGTTGTAACTTCGAACGGTCACTAAATGAATGGTTGTAAATCGAGGACTTCCTGTGTTCTGAATCCCAGGAAGGAGACATTTTAAAGCAAGGATCTCCAACCTGAGCCCCTTTAAGACTTGTGGACTTCGACTCCCAGAATTCCTCGGCCGCTGTGGGAGGAGCCAGAATTCTGGGAAAATGCAGAAAGAATTCTGGGAGTTGAAGTCCACAAGTCTTAAAGGGGCCAAGTCTGGATGGAGACCCTTATTTTAAAGAGTTGGTCAAATGTTGTGGTTTCCTTTTTCCCACAGATGTGTGATAGCTCAGAGGAAGGGATCGACGGCGACCACGTAAATATGTCCGTGGTCCATCCAACCACCCCGGCGCAATATTTCCATTTACTTCGGAGGCAGATGGTTCGAAACTTCCGGAAACCCCTCATTGTGGTGTCGCCCAAAACTCTCCTTCGCTTACCTGTGCGTAGAAAGTACTTCCTGGTGTGGTTGTCACTATTCATCTTTTCATTTCTTTTTACGGCGAGGGATCTTTTTGGACTTCAATTCCCAGAATTCATCAGCGGAAGAATTCTGGGAGTTAGAAGTCCACAAGTTTAAAAAAGTTTCCAAGTTTGCCGACCCCGGCTTGACGGGCAGTCCTTGACTTATGACCGGTGGCTCTGTAAGCTCTTTTAGGACCAGAAATGATGAGGAGAACATCAGAAGAAAGCCTTTCCAAACCTTGGCCTGTTCCTGTTTTCCCCATCCTGTCTCAAGTACAGGTAGTCCTCAACTTTCGACCGCAAGGGAGCCCCACATTTTTGTGGTTAAGTGAGACATCTGTTAAATAACAAATATCTCACTTAACCACAAAAATGTGGGGCTCCCTTGCGGTCGAAAGTTGAGGACTACCTCAACTTTGAGTTTTCGCTCCATTTTTCTTGCCCCAGTTCTTAAGCGAATCAATGCAGCTGATTAGTCAGTAATCCGGTTGTTAAGTGAATCTGGCTTCCCCCCTGGACGTTGCTTGTCGGAAGGTTGCAAAAAAGGATGGCGTGACCTCCGGGACACAGCAACAGTCATAAGTACGAGTCAGTAGCCAAGCGTCTGAATTTTCATGGGGATGCTGTAATGGTCATAAGTGTGAAAAATGGTCCTAAGTCACAATTATCAGTGCTGTTGTAACTTTGAACGGTCACTAAGTGAATTGTTGTAAGCCGAGGACTACCTGTTTATATATTTATATATTTTCCCATCTTATTCATTGCCTAGACTGCCGTGTCAAGCTTACTAGAAATGGCTCCTGGAACCACGTTCAGGCCTGTCATTGGTGATTCAACAGTAGATCCTAAAAGGTAACTTGGTTATTTATGTATTTAGTGTTGTTGGTTGATTTTATTTTATTTTATTTTTTATTATTTTATTTTATTTTATTTTATTATTTTATTTTTTATTATTTATTTTTTAATTTTATTTTATTTTTTTATTTATTTTATTTATTTATTTATTTATATTTTATTTTATTTTATTTTATTTTATTTTATTTTATTTTATTTTATTTTGACTTTGACTTTGACTTTGACTTGACTTGACTTGACTTGACTTGACTTGATTTGATCCATCCATCCATCCATTCAATCATACGTTCATTTTGCTTAGAAAATTTATATGGTCACCCACCCAACTTAATTCATGATGCCTCTGGGCAGTTTATGGGATTAAAACCCCAATAAACCAGTAAACAAAGGGTTCATTTAATACTGTATTCACTTAATGACTGGATTCATTTACAAGCAGGGGGTCAGCATTCCAACCAAACTCCGAGACAGGCATCATCTCAAATCTTCCATTTATTAGAGTAGGTATACTGGCACATCTGGGAAAACCTGAATCTGAGAGTTCCAGGTTTCCCCCCAGTAAATCAAAACCCCAAATCCAGCCCCTGCACCCATCAGTCCATCACACGGCCCAATCACCATCCGTCCCAAATTGAGCCACCACTGCAACACCACTCCTCCTCCAGATGCAGGAGCACCGAGACCTTAACCGAAAATAAGAATGCTATTATGTCTAACTGCAATCTCTCTACTAAATTCCCCCCCTCCTACTTTCCCAAGCACAAGAAGTTGGCAGCGGTGTTAATATGGCTTCCAAAGCTGACACAGGATTCACTTTATGGCCAGTGCAAAAAAAAAAAAGATTGTAAAATCAGGTCCAATTTTTTTACCTATTCTATTCCATTCCATTCCATTCTTCTATTCTATTTTCTGCTCTATTCTATTCTATTCTATTCTATTCTATTCTATTCTATTTTCTGCTCTATTCTATTCCATTCCATTCCATTCCATTCTTCTATTCTATTCTATTCTATTCTATTCTATTCTATTCTATTCTATTCTATTCTATTCTATTCATTCTATTCTATTCCATTCCATTCCATTCCATTCTTCTATTCTATTCTATTCTATTCTATTCTATTCTATTCTATTCTATTCTATTCCATTCCATTCCATTCCATTCCATTCTTCTATTCTATTTTCTGCTCTATTCTATTCTATTCTATTCTATTCTATTCTATTCTATTCTATTTTCTGCTCTATTCTATTCCATTCCATTCCATTCCATTCCATTCCATTCTTCTATTCTATTCTATTCTATTCTATTCTATTCTATTCTATTCTATTCTATTCTATTCATTCTATTCTATTCCATTCTATTCCATTCTATTCCATTCCATTCCATTCCATTCCATTCTTCTATTCTATTCTATTCTATTCTATTCTATTCTATTCCATTCCATTCCATTCCATTCCATTCCATTCCATTCCATTCCATTCCATTCCTCTATTCTGTTCTGTTCCGTTCCGTTCCAGTCCAGTCCAGTCCAGTCCAGTCTATTCATCTTTTCTTCTTCTGTTCTTATTCTATTCTATAGGGCTTCCCGCTTGAACAGGGGGCTGGACTAGAAGGCCTCCAAGGTCCCTTCCAGCTCTATTCTGATTGATTGGTTGGTTGGTTGGTTTCCTTGGCTCTCTGTGTTTGAAATAATTCTATTCTTCCTTCTCCCTAGCGTCAGCAAGGTGGTTCTGTGTTCTGGCAAACATTATTACACTTTGGCCAAACACCGAGAGCTGCTTGAAGAAAAGAAGCCCAACACTGCCATTGTGAGGTTGGAAGAATTGTGTCCTTTCCCTCTCGAAGCTCTGCAACAAGAGATGAACAAGTTCACTAACGCCAAAGGTTGGTAGACTCTTACGTCAGTTACAACGGCATTTTAAAAAAGTGACTTACAACCATTTTTCACACTTACGACCGTTGCCCCCGTGTTCACGTGATGTACATACGGATGCTTGACACCTGACACATATTTACGATGACGGTCACGCGATCCCCTTTTGCGGCCTTCCAACGAGCAAAGTCAACGGGGAAGGCAGATTCGCTTAACGACCTTGTGGCTCACTTAACAACAGCAGGGATTCACTTAACGTGAAATGTGGCGAGAAAACGGGGCAAAACTCACTCAACCGATTTCTGACTTGGCAGGTATAAATTTTGGGCCGAGTGAACTTTCAAATGTCTCTTTTGTTCTGCAGCTTTCGTCTGGAGCCAGGAAGAACCTCAGAACATGGGGCCCTGGACATTCGTCTCCCCAAGGTTTGAAAAGCAACTGGCTTGCAAGGTAAACATTCAGGATTTCTTTTTTTTTAAATACATATATTTATTTTGTTTAAGACAAGGTTAAAGTACAAAATACAAAACTAAAAAAAAAAAAAAACCAACCTCCCCCAAAACACAAAGTAATCAAAACATTACAATAGAAATAATAGAGTAGAGCAGAACAGAACAGAAATAAAACAGAACAGAACAGAATAGAATTAGAATAGAGTAGAGTAGAGTAGAATAGAATAGAATAGAATAGAATAGAATAGAATAGAATAGAATAGAATAAGAATTAGAATTAAATAGAATAGAATTAGAATAGAATAGAATAGAATAGAATAGAATTAGAATTGAATAGAATAGAATAGAATAGAATAGAATAAGAATTAGAATAGAATAGAATAGAATAGAATAGAATAGAATTAGAATTAGAATTAAATAGAATAGAATAGAATTAGAATTAGACTTAGAATTAAATAGAATAGAATAGAATTAAATAGAGTAGAATAGAATAGAATAGAATTAAATAGAATAGAATAGAATAGAATTAGAATTAAATAGAATAGAATTAGAATTAAATAGAATAGAATAGAGTAGAATAGAATAGAACAGAATTAGAATTAAATAGAATAGAATAGAATTAGAATTAGAATTAGATTTAGAATTAAATAGGATAGAATAGAGTAGAATAGAATAGAATAGAATAGAATAGAATTAGAATTAAATAGAATAGAATAGAATTAGAATTAGAATTAGAATTAGAATTAAATAGGATAGAATAGAATAGAATAGAATAGAATAGAATAAGAATAGAATTAGATTTAGAATTAGAATTAGAATTAGATTTAGAATTAAATAGAGAAGAGATGAGAAGAGTAGAGTAGAGTAGAATAGAACAGAACAGAGAATAGAATTAGAAAATGGAATGGAATAGGAATTGGAATTGAAATGGAATTAGAATAGATTTAGAGTTAGAATAGATTTAGAATTAGAATTAGAATTAAATAGAATAGAATTAGAATTATTAGGGATAGGATAGGATTCTTTACTGGCCAAGTGTGATGGGACACAGAAGGAAATTGTCTCCAGTGCATGATCTCCAGCGTCTTTTTAACCCCAGTTGAGAAAAGGGATCGGGATCTAACATTGCCTCTTTTGGACTTCCTCCCAGCTCTGCCTTGTCAGCCGACCCGCCTTACCAGCTCCCGCTGTGGGCATCGGAGTTTTGCACCAGAAACAGCAACAAAACCTCCTCACCGAAACATTTGCTTGAAGACTTAACCCACCGTGGGACTTTTGCTGTTAACAACGAGGCCTGGAAAGCCAAAATATCCGAAACTCAAAAAGACGCTTTTACTATTGAGGTCTAACCTGCTGCCGAAATGAATTTGGCCGAACCGGAGTTATCAAACGGGAGTTTTCCCTCTTCCTTTTCCTGCAGCAGATGTCAAATCCTGCCAAGGGAAGTACCTGGGATTTGAACCTGTTTACATTTCTCCGCCTTCGCACCGATGGGTGAGCGTGGGGAACAGACCAACGTTTTTCATCGGTACAATGATTGTTATAGAAGTTCTTAAATTGTATTACAACGCAGCAGGAGAGATCTGGTTTGCTGGCTTGCCTCAGAATCAAACTGCAGGATTTAATTTTAATTTTATTTTTCATAAAAAAACAAATGTCCCAGGATGAATTTCTCAAAGAATTTCTTAAAGTAGCTTTTCTGAGACTACGGAATAACGTATTTATTACAGTTGATTTGCCTTTGACAACAATGTTAGATAGTATTTGTAAACCACAGTAAATCAGGGAATTTTTAAATACGCAGGGATTACTGTACACATAGTTCTGATTACTAAAACAAGCGCTGTTATATGGGTGCACTTTAACCGTCTTCTAAAAGCTACATAGGCGTACTACTTTTTGCAAATAAAAAATTAAATCTGGGCTATGTCGCTTTGGATTCCAGACAGTGGAATAATGTTGCTAAACAATTTTCGTCAGAAAAAAAAAATAATTTTTCTGTACAAATTAAGGTGGTCTAAATATCTGGGTGCTGTGTGCCAGCCTTAAATTTATTTTATGATGTACTTAAATATGAAGCCATACATTTTCCATCCATGATCCAAAGTAGACATATTTTTAGCCGTTGTCTTCACTGGTTCCTTAAATTTGAAATTGATTATGAATTATTATTATTTTTTTGCCACCTAGTTAATGTTGAGTCTTATCAACCACATACACAAGATTTTTTGGGGGAGGGGAGAAAATTTGAAATAGAGAAAAAATAAATTGAAAATTGCAATTGTTTGATGAATTATGGTAGGTTCTGTTCTCACATCTATAAAACGGGATTAAATTGATGTTTTGTATTATGAAATAATGGGAGTGTAAAATATCATTTTTCCTCTTTGATTTGCTTTGCTTTGAATGCCTTCATTGCATTTTCTGTACCTGCAACCAAAATGTTTTAGCAACTGTGACAATTGATTTCTTTTTCAAATCTTTTCATGTTTCCAAAGCAACATTTATTGCACTCCCCAAACGCATTTTCTGTTTCTTTATTGCCTTGAAAGATCTGATCCCGGATATCATCATGGTATCTTTCCTGATTTGGGGCTAAAAGGAATTTCTCAAGGATGATTTTAAGTTTGGATAAGAGGAAAGGGCCACCAGGACAAAGTAAATACTCTGTGGAGTAAAGTGCAATTTGGACAGAGTTCTTGAATTGAAAATTGCCACTAAATCCAACTCCTGTTTAACAAAAAATGTTCCAAATGAAAGTGTCCTTGACAGTTGGCTCTCTTGTTTTCTGCTTGATAAAAAAAACTGGTTTTTATTGTTGCTGTAAATCGTTTTGGGAGGGAATCAAAGACATGGCCTTGAATATCAAGGCACGCCACTGTAATAAAACTGAAAAATCAAAATTACGTAGAGCCTTGAATCTTTCTCTTATTTTAATAATAAAAAGCTGGGGGTTTTTTTATGTCCAACTGATAAGTAGAAAAATTGTCCTACAGTCTATTGTATCGTTTTCTTTTTCTTTTTTTGTCCTGTGAGCATAAAAATACAGGTATCACAACCTTCACAACATATTTTTAAATTTTAAATTTTTAATTGGTTTGTCATTTTAAACTGGGGCCAAATTAATATATATTCTTTTAATTGTTCTTAATATTTGTATTGTATGTTTTTATCTGGCTGTACACCACCCTGAGTCCCTTGGGAGAAGGTGCGGTATATAAATTTGAAATAAAATAAAATAAAAACCTATATTTTACTTGTGACCTCAACTGAGCCCAAAACTTCCATTAAGTGAGACATTCGTTACGTGAGTTTTGCCCCGTTTTACGACCTTTTTTGCCACAATTGTTAAGTCTGCTGTTGCTAAGTGAGTCACCCGGTTGTTAAGCGAATCGGGCTTCCCCGTTGCTCGTCAAAAGGTCACAAAAGGGGATCACCTGACCCCGGGGACATTGCAACCGTCATAAATGTGAGTCAGGTGCCAAGCATCTGCATTTTGATCATGTGACCCCGGGGATGCTGCAACGGTCGTTAAGTGTGAAAAACGGTCCTAAGTTACTTCTGTCCAGTGCCATTGTAACTCTGAACAGTCACTAAATGAACTGTTGTAAATCGAGGACTACCTGTATATGAGGTGGCATTGTAATCTCAAACAGTCACTAAACAAGTGGTTGTAAATCGAGAACTACCTGAACTCATACTGGAGAAAAACAAGAATATTTGCAGTGCTGGCATTAGAAGTTTTGCTTCCAGAGTAGAGTCACTGATGGTTCCCTTCCTGAATTTATTTATTTTATGGCCTTCCCATCCTGCAAAAAAGCACAAAACAACCAGAAAACGATCTTTCTTCCCAGTTTTGCTGATTTATATTTAAATCTCAGCCTTTTGATCTTTTTAAACTCGCTTTAGGCACCAGGTTGTAAATACCAGGAAGGCCATAAATATCAAAGTTAAGACAGAATGCCATGCTGCCTGCCGAACTCGCAGCCCAGGGCAAAAAAACCCCCAAAAGTTATTTGCCAGGTGGCTTTGTTTTCTCAGGCTCAAAAATAGATCAAAAGATTTTTTTAAAATCTTTATAAACGGAGGAGAAGCTTACTCCCACCAGATCACAATAAATAAATAAATAAATAAACATTACATCACAGGGCAGAAAAATATATAGACACACTTTCTAGAGATAATAGTCTACATTTTGTGGTTACATTTTGTTTTTGTTTTTTTTTTAATTTGATGTAATGTGTTTCCCCTGGTTTTTGTCAGTGTTGGTTTTTTGCTGTTTGTTTAAATGCATTTTTAAGTTTGCAAGCCACTCAAGTGAGAAGGATTGTGTGGATGGATGGATGGACAGATGGATTGTGTATGTGTGTGTGAATGTATGGATGTATGTGTGTGTGTGTGTGTATCAGGGGTGAAATGCTCCCGGTTCGGACCGGATCACCCGGAGGCGGGTGGTTCAGAGAACCGGTAGCAAAAATCCCTGTGGCCCCCCCCCCCCCGCGACCATGCCCAGCTGAGCCGTGCAATCATCAGAGGCTTTTTAAAATTATTTTTAAAAGCATTTTTTCTACAACCTCTTTGGCCGAAAAAAATGCTTTTAAAAGTAAAAAAAAAAAGTCTCTGATGATCGCGCGGCTCAGCTGGGATCGTCAGAGGCTTTTAAAAGCATTTTTTTCTGCAACCTCTCTGGCTGAAGAGGTTATAGAATTTTTTTTTAAAAAAAGAAAAAAAAAGCCTCTGCCAATCAGGCAAGTCAGCTGGGATCGTCAGAGGCTTTTCAAAGCATTTTTTTTACCACCTCTTCGGCCCGAAGAGGTTGAAGAAAAAATAGTTTTAAAAGTAAAAAAAAAAAAAAAAAAGTTGGTCACGCCCACTCAGTCATTTACCCCTCCCCACCCCCACCAAGCCATTCCCACAGAACCGGTAGTAACAAATTTTACATTTCCCCTCTGGTGTGAATGGACGGACGGACGGATGGAATGGAATAAATGAATGAAACAAACATAGCTGACCTCTCTTATGCTGAGAAAATAAAATTAAAACTGTAAAAACCGGATGCAACTGGATGAAGAATTCGGAGATGGGCAGGAAGAGCCTTGGTGGCGCAACAGACTAAAGCGCTGTTAAATAGCACCAGCTGCCTGCAATTACTGCAGGGTTCGAATCTCACTAGGCTCAAGGTTGACTCAGCCTTCCATCCTTTCTAAGGTGGGTAAAATGAGGACCCGGCTTGTGGGGGCAATAAGCTGACTTTGTATAAATATACAAAAGTATGGAGGCTATTGCTTAACGCATTGTAAGCAGTCCTGAGTCTCCGGAGAAGGGCGGCATATAAATCGAACCAATAAATACAATAAATAAGACCCACCCAAGACTCTATGCAAATATTCATTCTTTTTTAAAAATGCATTCCATGCGACACAATCTTCATCTGATGCAGCCCGTCTCCTTTCTTCCTTCCTCCCTCCTTAAAGACAGAAGGTTCATGCCTGGCTGGGCTCCGAAGGGGCTGGACACCCCCTCCCATCATCCCCAGCCTGGCATAGCGCAGGGAGTCCTCGACTTAAAACGTCCACAAATGGAGCCCGAGGTTTCTGTTGCTAAGCGAGACCCTTTGTTAAGTGAGCTTTGTCCCATTTTGCAACCTTTCTGGCCGCGGTCGTTAAGTGAATCCCTATAGTTATTAACCCGGTTGTTAAGTGAATCCGGCTTCCCCCCCACCCCGCTGACTTTGCCGGTCAGAAGGTCACCAAAGGGGGATCATATGACCCTGAGGACATGCGTCCGTCATAAAGCGAGTCAGTGGCCAAATGTCTGAATTTTGATCACGTGACCATTGGGGGAGAGGGGGAAATGCTGCAATGGTCGTTAAGTGTGAAAAACAGTCCTAAGTCACTTTTTTCAGTGACTTTTCAGTGACTTTTTTCAGCCGTTGTAAAATGGTCACTAAACGAACTGCTGTTAAGTTGTAGGACCGCCCGTCCGTGCTGCCTGCTTGCAAAGGGCTGGTCGCGGTCACTAAACGAACGGTCGTAAGTCGAGCACCGCCTGTTAAGCGCCGCCCGTTTGCTTGCAGAAAGGGAGAGGAACGGCCCATCCAGAGCGGAGTTTGGGGGGGGGTGGATTTGAATGAGAAAACTGGTCTTTCTCCCTCCCCCCGGCGCTTGGGCGGTCGTTGGTTCGGTCCGTGCGCTTTCTAAGCGGGAGAAGGGAGGCGCGCCGGCGTCCCGCTCGTCGCGCAGCTTACGACGTCACGGGTCACGTGGGCGGAGGCCGGCAGCCTCCGGAGCGCCGAGGAGGCCGGAGGCGGGGAAGGGGAGCCGCTGCAGCCGCCTGTCTGCCTGCCTGCCAGCCCGGAACCCCCCGCCGCCTCCTCCGCCGCCACCATGGGCAGTGAGTGGAGGGGCCCCGGGGGGGAGGGGAGGGGAGGGGGGGCAACGGCCGGTAACCCCCCATTTCCTCACCGGCTCTCCCTGGGGGCCCCCCCGCCTCGTTCCTGGCTATGGGTCCCCTCAGGGGAGGCGAAGAGGAAGGAGGGAGGGAGAAGGAAGAAAGAAGGGAGGGAGAGATGAAAAAGAGGGAGAGGGAAGGAGGAGGAGGAAGGAAAAAAGGAGGGAATGCGAAGGAAGGAAGGAAGAAGGAGGAGGAGGGAGGGGGAAAAAGGGGGATAGAAAGGAGGGAATGGGAAGAAGGAGGGAAAGGCGAAAAAGAGGGAGGAGGAAGGAGAAAAAGGGAATGCGAAGGAGGAGGGAGGGAGTGGGAAAAAGAAGGGAGAGGGAAAAAGGAAAGGAAGGAAGGAAATAGAAGGAGGGAGGGAGGGGAATTGGAGAGGAAAAGGGAGGAGAAAAAGAAGGGAGAGGAGGGAGGGAGGGAGGAAGGAAAAAAGAAAGGAAGGAAGGAGGGAGAAAGGGAGGGGGAAAAAGGGAATGCGAAGGAGGAGGGAGGGAGTGGGAAAAAGAAGAGAAGCAGGGAGGGAGGGAGGGAGGGAGGAAAAAAGGAGGGAATGCGAAGAAGAGACGAAAAAGAGGGAGGAGGAAGGAGAAAAAGGGAAGGAGGGAGGGAGAAAGGGAGGGAGGGAGGAAAAAGGAATGCGAAGAAGGAGGGAGGGAGTGGGAAAAAGAAGAGAAGGAGGAAGGAAGGAAGGAAAAGAGGGAGGGAGGGAAAAGGGAAAGGAAGGAGGGAGAGATGAAAAAGTGGGAAGAAGGAAATAGAAAAAGGGAAGGAGGGAGGGGAATTGGAGAGGAAAAGGGAGAAGAAAGGGGAATGGAAAGAAAGGGAATACGAGTAAGGAAGGAAGGGGGAAAAGGAAGGAGGGAGAGACGAAAAAGGAGGAGGAGGAAGGAGAAAAGGGGAGGGAAGGAAGGAAAAGAAAAGAGGGGAGGAGGGAGGGGAACTGGAGAGGAAAAGGAAGGGAGGGAGGAGAAAAACGAGAGGGAAGGAGGGAGAAAGGGAGGGAGGGAGGAAAAAGAGGGAATGCGAAGAAGGAGGGAGGGGGAAAAAGAAGGCGGGAGAGATGAAAAAGGGAGAGAAGGAAGGAAGGAAAAGAGGGAGAGAGGAAGAAATGGGGGTGTGGTGGGGGTACCCCAGGATGTTGCAGGGGTGGAATCGGGCTGCTTAGGGGGGTTGTGAAGCTCCCACACCCTTAGCGCCCCCCCCCCCATCATGCAGTGCATTGCTGATTGTGGCTTGTTGGAGGGTTGCTTGGTCCCCCCCCCCCATGTAGGTTTCATAAGTACCTGGTATTCACACAAGAGATACCTGGGAGTAGAGTTGCCTCCCTCCCTTCTCTCCTCTCCTTCTCCTCTCCCTTCTTCCCTACCTCCCTCTCTTCTTCCACTCTCTCTTTCCTTCCTTCTTCCCTCTCTCCTTTCTTCCTCCCTCCCTCCCTCCCTTCGTTTCTCTTCTCCTCTCCCTTCTTCCCTCCCTCCCTCTCTTCTTCCTCTCTCACTCCTTTCTTCCTCACTCCCTCTCCTTCCTTTCTCCCTTCGTTCCTCTCTTCTCTTCTTCCTTCTTCCCGCCCTCCCTCTCTCTCTTCTTCCTCTCTCTCTCCTTCCTCCCTTCCTCCTTCTCTCCTTCCTTCCTCCTTTCTTCCCTCTCTCCTTCCTTCCTTCTTCCCTCCCTCCCTCTCTTCTTCTTCTTCTCTTCCTTCTCTCTCCCTCCCTCCCTCGCTCCCTCTCCTTCCTTCCTTCCAATCTTCTTCCTTCTTTGCTTCCCCCCTCCCTCCCAATACGGCAGCCACTGCTGCCACTTAAACTGTTACCCCTGGAAGTGCTGATACAAACCTGCCCAGGCCCAATATTGGGGTCCTTGCCTCTAAAATCCATTCCCTCCCCCCAAAAAAGAACTGATAGACCTTCTTTCCCCTTTTTTGTCCTTCCCTCTCTCCTACCTGTGCATGAGGCTGGTTCCTGCGCTGTTGCTAGGCTCTGGGAGGAATGCAAAATAGGAGGAAGTAAAAGCCGCTCTCTCATTTGCTCAGGTTCTGATGATGATAAACATGGTTATTACAAGGTGTCACGGCTGAGTGAACTTTGCCAGTGGGAAATATCTCGGGTGTTTGTTTGGTAGAGATGTACACAACTCACTGTAAACCAAATGGTTGCACGGATTTGTAGTTGCATGAGTGGCCTTCGGAAAACATGTCTGCTTTTAAATTTGGGGGTGTTGCAGGATCTATCTAGAGATAATGGGTGCTTCTTAAATGCATGACATTCTTTGGCATGACATCAATTTAACTATGAAGGCCAATTCAGCACTGGGAGGTAAACGAGAGTTAACCATAATCCAATAAACCAACAATCATGGGTTCTAGGAGTTCTCATTTCCAGCCTTTTTTTTTTTTTTTAATTTGATTTATATGCCGCCCTTCTCCGGAGACTCAGGGCCGTTTACAATGCATTAAGCAATAGCCTTCATCCTTTTGTATATTTATACAAAGTCAGCTTATTGCCCCCACAAACTGGGTCCTCAATTTACCTACCTTAGAAAGGATGGAAGGCTGAGTCGACCTTGAGCCTGGCGAGATTCGAACTTACTAATTGCAGACAGCTGGAGTTAAATTACAATGCATTAGTCTGCTGAGCTATCCAGACTCTGTTGGGCCCCTCAATTCTTCACACAAAACAAACTTGTGTTTGTTTTATCTTTTCCCAAAGCTGAAATAAGATTAGGAAAAGTTTGCTTTTTCATAAAAATAACAATAAGATTGCACTTAAGTATTTGTTACTTAAAGCTAGCAATTATTTTGGCTCGTAAGCTTTCAGGAAACACCGTCCATAAATGCACAAATCTATATGTAATTGTTCTGGCAAGGAACAATTTGTGCAGAAATATTTATTTGGGTAAGTAAGGAAAGAGAAATACCCATGTTTCCCTGAAAATAAGACCCTGTCTTATTTTTTTGAACCCCGAAATAAGCACTTGGCCTTATTTTCAAGGAGGTCTTTTGGGGAGCGTGGAGCAAAATGGGGCTCCTTGCCATCTTAACCTGATTTCCAGCTCCCTAACCCTAACCAGAGGAAATGGCGGGGACCAGCTGTGCATGCGGTTAAATATTTTTTGGAGGGGGCTTATTTTAGTGCATGCACTCAAAAGCCCAATTGGGGTTATTATCAGGGGAGGTCTTATTTTCTGGGAAACACAGTAATAAAATGAGAGAATTGCATTGGATGTGACTAATCATAAAACACCATTTAACTGCTAGTGGTACAACCTTTCTTGCATGCATATATATATATTTAAATAAAAGACCATTTCTTATATAGGTAGTCCTTGACTTACAACAGTTCGTTTAGTGGCCGAAGTTACAACGGCACTGAAAATGATTTATGACCATTTTTCACACTTATGACCGTTGGAGTATCCCTCATGGTCATGTGATTTACATTGACAACTGATTCATATTTATGACGGCTGCAGTGTCCCGGGGTCATGTGATCCCCTTTTGCGACCTTAGCAACAAAAATTTGGGGCTCCGGGTCATAAGTCGAGGACTTATCTGTGAGTTCTTCCAAATGACGTTGAAAATTGACACAGTCCTGTTTTGTACCATGAAAGCGAGACAAATATTTGCAGGCAGTTAAGAAGACAAGTTCTCTTGACAAATTAATACTTTGCACGTTCTGTACTTTTATTCTCACTTCTATTATCGCCATGACGTATATTGTGCCTTTTTTTTTCTTTTTCTTTTAACAGTCAAATTTCTGGAACTCATTAAGCCCTTCTGCGCTGTTTTACCCGAAATCCAGAAGCCTGAAAGAAAAGTAAGTGACTTTGCTTTTGCAAGATTAAGTAAGAAGATTTTGCTTCTGCAAGGTTCATGGAAGGCATTTTAAGTCTAAAATTTTTAGGTTGTGAAAAGAAGATGTGGGAAATTTGAGTGCTGTCTGTAATTTTCAAATATCAGAGTGAGATTATGGAAATTTGGGTACATGATGTTGAAAGTATGCCTGAAAGTAAATTCTGCTTATTTGGCCGAGACTTATTTCCGAGTCCATGTGCAAACAGATTTCATCCATGAAGACCATTCGATGAAGTATTTCCCTTTAGTCATGCGTGGAAAAAAAGGACTTACAGTATCTCAGCCGTAAGATAGGGAAGCTCTTAATAGTTTCTTTTTGAAATCCTTGGTGTTCTCCGAGCTTGGTTGTATTCTTGCAGACATCTCATTGCCGAAGTAGGTAACATCATCAGCGTATAGGGTTTGCACTATTGATAATGAGCAAGCCCAAATGAGAGCAAGCCCCGTGCTTTTCTAGCAGTGATGATGTGACTTAGTTGGGAAATGAAAGGTCTGCAAGAAAAATAAAATAAAACCAAGCTCAGAGAATGGACCAAGGAACCCACAATTCAGTCCTGAGCTACAGATGTTCTTTTCTATCAGTTCTTCCTTTTGACTCTGTGTACTTGTGAAAGTGTTAGGAAATTATTATTACCTACTTTGTTGGATTGGCAATATATAAACCCTCGATATAGTTTTAAGACTGCTGTATTGCATCTTACTGTGTCCTGATTGGTTAGTTCTGTAGCCAATCTCCTTAAGAGGGAGCTAGAAACATGGTTTGTTTCTCTTTGCTGTTCTTGCTCTCTGATATCTCTGTTTGCAAATCCAGAAGAACTGTTTATTGTGAACGACTAAGACGACTGGTAAGAAGACTTTGTTATTGGATTATCCCTGGACTGTCGTTTTGCTATCTCCTGCTTTATATGTGTATGACCTGGACTGTTTATTGGACTGTGCCTTACTATTTCCTGAAAGTAAACACAACTCAGTGTATCTGTGTGTTGGCTGTGTTTATTCGTAACTACTCTCAATCACTTTCATGTGCACACCCTTGCTACTCAAGGGTTACTCTGCGAATTCCTTAACAGAAAGTATAAAAGCGATTCAACTAGCACAACACGGTTGTCCCCCTCAAAGTCCCAACCCATCATTGGGCTTACTCGTTGAACCTACTTGCTATCTATACTGTATCTGATAATTCCGTATAATTAAGTACAACTTGGTTGTCCCAAGGGTGTTTTTTTCAAGGGGCAATTGGACTTTCTGGTTTTTCTTTTTGAAGACGTTTCACTTCTCATCCCAGAAGCTTCTTCAGTTCTAGATGGTGGGGAAGGGAAGGATTGCTATTCCTTGAAGAGAGCTGGTCATTTGCATCCTTTAGAGGGTCTGCAGTTTGGGTCTCTAAAAGAATGCAAATGATCAGCTATCTGCAAGGAGTATAAAAGCTGCTTCACCTTGTGAAGGTGGGGAATGAAAGGTGAAGGTGGGGAATGGAAGGTTTTTTTATACTCCCTGCAGACAGAACTGGTCATTTGCATCCTTTTAGAGAGTCGTTGAGGTCACCTGGGTTGAAGTTTGTGTCCCCAGGGCCACTTGAGTGGTGCAAATGGATGTGGGGCCGCCTTGGAACTGCTGAAAGGACTGTGTTATAGACAGGAGATAGATTGTTAAGGATATTCTTGTCTCATAACCGATGTTGTGGGTTATTGAGCAGAGTAGCCTTTGAGTTTACGCACGAAAGCGACTGAGAATGATTGTGGATAATAACAGTCCACATACAAACAAACCCGGTTTTGATAATATTTTACTTTTAGGGAAAAAGCAAAATCATAGTCCAAAACATTCCAAGTCATACCCATATAAAGTGAGATAAAGATCGGTCCAGGGATATTTTCCAAATATAAAGTGTTCTTACCAGTTGTAGAAAAATGCAATAAAACAGATTTTTCTTTAGTTTCATTCAGGAACACAGTTCAATATAAAAACATTCAATAAATACTATAAAAACAATAACTAGCCATGATCAAGCAATGATCATGTAGAGAGATCAAATATAGAGTTACAGCATATCAGCAGGTAAAATGGTGTAGTGTCCACACAAACCATAATTCAGCTCTCCTTAAGTACATTGGCTACAGTGTAGTGGAATGGAAGGACTAAAAAACATTCCAAGGCCAGTCAGAGACAGTTTATTGCGCAAGGTTCAGAGCCAGATTTGTACCTGAAGCTTTGAACAAAGAAAGAACTCTGATACAATGGTTTTTATACATTTCTAAGACAAAGGATTCAGTGAGATCATACATTTTCCATATATGGTTAATCATGAGATCATACATCCGATTTTCCTTCTATGGTTACATATACTTGTTAATAAGTTCATCTAATTACTTAAAGCATTAATCTTAGTTTATAAAATTATCTTAGCCACACAACTTTTCTTAAGTGCTCAGAGTTGCTAATGGGAGAGTTACTACTGTCCTTGGGTAAGTTCATTAGATTAAGTAACTCTTTGTAACATATAGGTCTTTGTGTCATTCACAGTGAGGTCACTCAGATGTTTTTCCATATGGCAGTCCTTTCTGTGACATCTAGGTATCAGAAGATATATTACCACTTAAAAGGGTTTAACTGTTTGTTAATGTAATTTCCAACAAGCACTTTCCTCTCTCATAATAATGTGAATAGATAGAGTCTCTCAGAGTTCATGTATCTAAGCACGTCTTCCCCTTATAATAATGTGAATAGAGAGGGTCCCCCAGAGCCCATATATCTGACTCTGTATGATTCCTATTTTATTCACATTATTTCTTTTATCTACATTATTCTTTATTAGCTCTTTACTTCAACAGAGCTCAGCCAATCAGGATGCAGGATGATGCAACACAGTTTTTAAAGCTACGTAATACTTTTTAGCTACAAACACACAATGTTGGTTTATATATTTCCTGACCAACCAGTTGGGCAATAACAATTTCCTAACACAGATGATGTGGTATCCCTCCCCCTCTGTTGAGAGAGGGCTGTTCAATTTGGACATAGATGGCCTCTTGGACCCCTCTTTGAAACCAGCTGTCTTCTCCGTCCAAAATGATGACATGGTCATTTATCTGATGGCACAGAATAAATCCCCAGGTGCCCTCAACGACCCTCTAAAAGGATGCAAATGACCAGCCCGTCTGCAACGAATATCAATCCTTCCATTCCGCTCCATCCAGTCAGAGCTGAAGAAGCTTCTTGGATGAGAAGCGAAATGTCTTCATAGGAAAAAAAGAAAGTCCAGTTGCCTCCTGAAAAAAAACCTTTGACCTTTGGGACATCCATGACCTGGATGGCTGAGAATCTCTACAGACCTGGAGTTGTGGTTCTTTCTTTTTTTTTCCGTCTTGCTATCCTAAACAATCGCTGTTGGTTAACTTGGTTTTCTTATGTTGTGCTTTACAGATTCAGTTCAGAGAGAAAGTTTTATGGACAGCTATCACCCTCTTCATTTTTCTAGTATGCTGCCAGGTAAGAAGTGACCTCAATATAGGACAAAGGTTCTTGTTGTGGCCCGTATGTGACCTGTGCGGATTGTAGCTGATTCTGACAGCGAGGAGGCTGGTGTGGTATTGCGCCAGCAGCCTGTGCAACTGGCACTCGAGTCAGACAATGAGGAGGCTGGAGAAGATGTGGTGCCAGAGGCGGGGATTCAGCCAGGGCCTTCAGAACCTCCAGAAGCTCCCATAAGTGAAGAGGAAGAAGAGGAGGAGCCTCTTCTCGATGCACGGGCGCGCAGAGCTGCCAAAAGGCAGGAGTGGCTCCTCAGGAGGAGGTATCCTCGAGAGTAAGGCTTGGTGCTAATTGGCCACTCCCTTAGCCTATTTAAGGAGGAACGCCAATTGCAGCAAGTTGTAGGGAACAACTTTAGTTCAATCTCCTTCGCGTCTGGATTCTCTGCAAAATTGTTTCTGGGCTTTCTGCCAACTTTAGTAAGACTGTGATTACCTTATCTCAGAATTCTTGCAGGCTGTTAAGACAGTTTATTAACAGCCTTTGGTTGATAAAGACTGAGTTATTTTGAGTAAAATAAGCTTTGTATAGAGTTTGTGTGTGCTGCGTTCTTTGGGGTCTGTAGCTGAGGCAGAACAGTTCTTTATATGTTCACCTTCTATCAGACCAGCCTACGGTCTGCCTGAGGTTCCTAGATAATCAATAGGGCTGGAGGTTGTACATTTTGCTGCGCAAGCCCTTTGGCATTTATGCGGGTAGTCCTCGACTTACGACCACAATTCAGCCCAAAATTTCTGTCGTCAAGCGGGCCATTTGCGAAGTGAGCTTTGCCCCTCTTTTATGACCTTTCTCGCCACTGTTGCTAAGCGAATCCCTGCAATTGATAAGTTAGTCAGCCAGTCGTTAAGTGAATCCAGCTTCCCTCCCCCCCATTGACTTTTGCTTGTCAGAAGATGTCCCCGGGACCCTGAAACCGTCATAAATATGAAGCAGGTTGCCAAGAGTCCGGATTTTGATCCCGTGACCATGGGGATACTGCAAAAGGACGTAACTTTGAAAAAAACGGTCGTAAGTCACTTTTTCCGGTGCTGTCGTAACTTCAAAACTGTCGCTAAGTGGACTGTTGTAAGTCGGGGACTATCTGTATATATCAGCATGCTGAGAAAGAACCAGAAAAGGGCATAAATGGGTCCAGGAGATTTGGGCCATTTGGATTCTTCATAAGGCTTGACAATCAATTGACTTTTGTCATGGGGAATTGAGGATTAGGAGAAATCATTTGGATTATTTAGTTGCATTTCACAGTTTTATCTTACCGGTATATGCCAACCAGAGAGGCTAAATCAGTGGTGAAATCCAATATTTTTTTTACTATCGGTTCTATGGGTGTGGCTTGGCAGGTGTGACGGGAAGGATACTGCAAAATCCCCATTCCCTCCCCACTCCTGGGGGAAGGATATTGCAAAATCTCCATTCTCACCCTACTCTGGGGCCAGCTAGAGGTGGCATTTGCCAGTTCTCCGAACTGCTCAAAATTTCCGCTACCTAAAAGATATTGGACTAAATCATCTCCCCTTTTTGAATGTAAATTTTAATTTGTTTTTAAATTATGGGGTATTTTAAATTTGTTCAGCCAAATTATTTAATTCGTTTTTATTCTGTTTTAAATTTTTGTATTTATGTGTTTTATTCTGTGGCTGTTCACCGCCCTGAGTCCTTCGGGAGTAGGGCGGTATAGAAATCCAGTAAAAGAAAGAAAGAAAGAAAGAAAGAAAGAAAGAAAGAAAGAAAGAAAGAAAGAAAGAAAGAAAGAAAGAAAGAAAGAAAGAAAGATAGATAGATAGATAGATAGATAGATAGATAGATAGATAGATAGATAGATAGATACACATGTGGTTGGAAAAAATGACAAAGAAACATATTGACTTTAAACCAGAGATATTTTTATTGGGGATTTTACCAGAAACATATAACAGAGAATTGCAATATTTAATTGTGAATGTTTTAACAGCGACTAGAATCGTATTTGCTAAAAAATGGAAAGGAGAGAAGTTACCTACAGATGATGAGATTATTAAGAAAATCATGGAATGTGCTGAAATGAGTAAATTGACATTTGAAATTAGAGAACAGGAAGATAAACAATATTATTTGATATGGGATTTGTTTTATCAATGGATAGATAATAAATCATGGAATTGAAGTATGAAATATGGGGTTGATATAAAGATTAAATATCTGATGGGGTTTTTAAATAACAGATATAAGTTTTTGTTATAAATTGGTATTTTAGAAATGGATTTATGCACAAGAGAATACGAACCGTTCGACTCAACTGTCTGTAATTGTTTGGAATGATAATGGTTTTATGTTTTTTTTTTTTTTTAAAAATAAAAAAGAATTCTTAATAAAAATAAAATTCCGCTACCAGTTCTCCAGAACCTGTCAGAACCTGCTGGATTTCACCCCTGGGCTAAATGAACTGTTTATTGCATCTTACTCCCATTTAGGATGACTTAGCGCTTTAAGGTTAAAGAACCTTCCATTAGTTTTGCATTCTGTATTTCTTCTCTGCTGTCGCTGATGTATTTTTGTAAGTTGCGTTGAAATGCTAATGGAGTCGTAATGAAAGCTAACTTGAAAAAAAAAAGAAAATTAGGATGTATTGCATTGATTATTGCCTTGATTCCAAAGTAATGCAGGGCTTTAAAAATCTCGGAGTATTTTAGAATATTAACTGTCTCTGCTCCGGAGGTTCTTAGTACATTATAGCATGTCAAACACTCCTGTTTTCAAGAGGTTGTCAGATACCGTGTGAACCATGAAAGGAGATGAAATACAGGTACTCCTCAACTTACAACCAGTTTGCTTAAGGACAAAATTGTTAAAAATTACAATTTCCAGCAAAAAAAAAGTTCATTCGGAAGAATCTTATCTGTTTTTTTCACGACCACGGGATTTGCTTAACCACCGTGTAATTTGCATAACAACCGCTGTGAAAGCGGTCATAAAATTGAGTCCAGTCACGTCGTGTCGCAGCATACGACCACAGTGACTTACGACTGAAATTCTGGGCTCATTTGGGGTCGTAAGTCGAGGAATACCTGCATTGACCGTTACACATCCTTGAAGAATCTCCCATCAAAAAATGGTGTGGACTTTTTTTGTCTAAAACGATTCAGTGTTTGTAAGCGCCTTTGTCAAAAATCACCTTTGTCTTCTGTTTTTATTCATGCTTGATATTGTTACGACTCCTGTAGATACCATTATTTGGAATAATGTCCTCGGATTCTGCGGATCCCTTCTACTGGATGAGAGTCATCCTTGCGTCAAACAGAGGTTGGTGGGCTTCACTCTACATCTAGGGTATGTCTAGTTTAATGAAAGGAAGGACTAGGGGGGACAGGCGCAACGTGTAACGTGTTCACACTGGTGTAATAGGACTGGGTGATTGTTAATATGATTTATTGGGTTGGGGATTTTCTGTTTCTTTGAGTTATATTGTGTTGGGGGGGCACTGAGGGAACTCCACCAATCTCATTGTACACACCGTATTTTTCGGAGTATAAGACGCACCTACCCTTTTTGGTGAGGAAAACAAGAAAAAAGAAATCTGCCTCTGCCTCCCAGCAATTTTGCCTCCTTGCAGCAAACAGCCTGCTTTACTTTCATTTTCATTTTCAGCACAGCTTGATTAGCACAAGGAAAAAAAAGTCTGCTCCCAGCAATCTACCTCCTTGCAGCAAGCAGCAGAGACCCACGCAGTAATAGACAATGCCTGCAGCCTGAAACAGCTGAGAGTCGGCAGATCCAAGGGACAATCAACTTGTGCTAATTAGGCTGTGCTGAAGCTGAAATGGGCTGTTTCTTCTTGCTGCTTGCTGCAAGGGGGTAAATTGCTGGGAGGCAGAGGCCAGAGGGTGGGGGCCAGTGGGTGGGAAGGGCTACATTCGGTGTATAAGACGCGCCCAAATTTTCACCCTCTTTTAGGGAGGAAAAAGATGCGTCTTATACGCCGAAAAATATGGTAAGTTGTGCAGTGGCAATAAAGGTGATTATTATTATTATTATTATTATTTTAAGAAGAGACTGGACAATCGTGTCTGAAATGGTATCGGGTTTCCTGCCTGACGTTAAAAGGGATGGACTTCAACTCCCAGAATTCCCCAGGCTGGGGAATTCTGGGAGTTGAAGTCCATCCCTCTTAACGTTACCAAAGTTGAGAAACAGGGATGTAGAGATATTTCATTGGAAAGAGACACCACGAATTGGCTCCTTTGGGATATTGAAGGACATAATTAAGAATTTTTCCATGCAGAACCCCACCACTCAAGATCCGTTTCCTTGTTTCTCTTCCTTCCATCCCTTCTTCTGCAGGCACTTTAATGGAGTTGGGCATTTCCCCCATCGTGACTTCCGGCCTCATTATGCAGCTCCTGGCTGGAGCCAAAATCATTGAAGTGGGTGATACGCCGAAGGACCGAGCCCTGTTTAACGGCGCTCAGAAGTGTGAGTATTACTTTTCGGGTCCCCGGATGAAACCTTCCTTTTTTTTTTTCCTTAGCAAATGCAGCAAATTAACTACTACAGCCTGTGTTTTTGTAACAAGGGGGAATCATTGTGGCATGCCTGGTGCTCTCTGAGCCTGGTGGTTTTCTTGCAGACGTTTCATGACCCAACTAGGTAACGTCATCAGTGCTAGAAGGGAATAGGGTTTGCTCTCTGTTTTTATACGATATAACACCACTCCTTTCTAACACTGATGATGCTACCTAGTTGGGTAATAAAACGTCTGCAAGAAACCCACAAAGCTAAGAGAGCACCAAGGACCCCACAGTCGTCGTCCTCCAGCTGCTCCTCCACTCCACATCTAGCACTGATGATGTTACCTAGTTGGGTCATGAAACGTCTGCAAGAAACCCACTGAATCTAGGACCCCACGATCCAATCCTGCGCTACCAATACTCTCTTCTGTAAGTACACAATTGTTTGTGTTCTTTTTCCAGTGTTCGGAATGATTATCACTATTGGCCAGGCCATCGTGTACGTCATGACGGGGATGTACGGGGATCCTTCCGAGATGGGGGCCGGAATCTGCCTTCTGATTATAATCCAGGTACGTCCTTCCAGAACACAATTCTTTTATCACAGTCCCTTCTTAAGATGTTTGCGTAGCTTCCGATGAATCTGTGGGGCAAAGAAGCCGGGAGGGTTTTAATGCCAGACACAGCAAGGCGGGACGATTCGAAAACGGCAAGATTACGTACAGGTAGTCCTCGAGTTACAACCACAATCGAACCCAAAATTTCTGTCGCTAAGTGAAAAGTCTCTTAAGTGACTTTTTGCCCCATTTTGCGACTTTCCTCTCCATGTTTGTTAACTGAATCCCCACAGTTCTTAAGTTAGTCCGACGGTCGTTAAATGAATCTTGCTTCCCCGTTGATGCTGCTCGTCGGAAGGTCGCAAAAGGGGGAATCATGTGACCTCGGGACACTGCGACCGTCATAATTATGAACCGGTTACCAAGCGTCCGAATTTCGATCATGTGAATATGGGGATGCCGCAACGGTCATAAGTGTGAAAAATGGTCCTAAAGTCACTTTTTTCAGTACCGTTGTAACTTCAAACAGTCACTAAATGAAACGTAAATCAAGGACTACCTGTATATCCCAAACTCTGGACGGCACCATTTTTAAATTGTATTGTCTTCTCTAACCAGTCATGTTTCCAAATAGTAAATTAATTTCAATTTAGTTCCAAGTCATGTTTCCAAGTAGTAAAATAATTTCAATTTAGTTCTCCGCCACCAATAGCAGCTCCAGAAAATGCATGTGTCGTGTCTACCTCCGATCTAACATTTCTTCTTTTCTGAATATATTGAGTTTAAAAAAAAGCTTTGGGATGCTTAATTTTTATCTTTTAATCCTTAAAATAATAAAGTGCTCAAATCAATTGTCACTTGTTCATGAGGCTGAAAGAAGGAAGGAAGGAAGGTTAAAATACAGGTTAAAAACTTTGCTCACCTTTTTTGTAAGGCCCACAAATGATGCTTTTTTTTAATTGCTCTGCAAAATACTTTCTAGGCAAGTAAGTTTAATTTTTTCCGGATCGTTTAAAAAATAGGCATTACGTATCCTGGATGAATTTGATTTTTAACAGAGTTGTACGGTTGTAAATCTTGCTCGAGTCTTCTCTGAAATCCTTAAACACGATGGCCGATTTGTGAATTTCAGTTATAACAGAAGGAAAATGTCGATATTTCAAATTAATGAATTGGGTTTGCCTCCCCCAAGGCCAAATAAAATTAATTTTATCCGTCCTTTGCAAGGCACCAGCCGAAAGACCAGCGGCATTAAAAAAAAAATTTCAAAGTAACCTAAACTTTGTGTATACCCAACCTAGAAATACATCAGAATTTTGTGTTATAGGTCTCCTTAAGTGTAAAATAGTGCTATATTTTACAATTTATTATGCGCTACCGAAGGGTTAGGATTAGATCTCCACCTTTTGCCAACCCCAAGAATAATTATTTTCCCAAGGGACTTCTAGAATTAAAAAAACTTGGTTTCCATAATCAAAGTTTCACAGAGTTCAGGCTGACGGTACCTGGCCCGCTGCTCAGGAGCCAAGCCCGATGAGATTAACCTTTGAATAGGAAATATAGGAAAGGCCGGGAAGTGGAAAAATAAATAAAGTTAGAAAAGTGACAAATTCCGTACTGCTACCTTTTGCCTGTGGCCATAAGCCAAGAGGCAGATTCCTTGTGTGTCTAATCGATCTTGGCCAAATGAAATGCAGGCAGTCCTCGACTTAGGACCACAACTGAGCCCAAAATTTCCGTTGTTAAGTGAGACGTGTGTTCAGTGGGGTTTGCCCCATTTTACGACCACGGTTGTTAAGTGAGCAACCCGGTTGTTAAGCGAATCTGGCTTCCCCACTGCTTGTCAGAAGGTCGTAAAAGGTGATTACATGACCTTGAGGCACAGTAATCCTCCTCAACACTCCCCTCTCTTTTCTAGCACTGATGAGGTTACCTAGTTGGGCCATGAAACGTCTGCAAGAAAACCACCCAGCCCAGAGAGCACCCCAAGAACCCCAGAGTTCCACCTGAGCTACAGATATTCCCTTCTGTAATATTTCATCTTTATCAGATCTAAAACTCAGTTGCATCCTTTGCAAAAAAAAAATGTGCTCGGTGTTCGTTTGAGCTCCAATTATGGGGAACCAATCGTAGCAATGATCCTAAGCATCTGAATTTTGATCCTGGGGGATGCCACAAAGGTCATAAGCGTGAAAAACGGTCCCGAGTCCCGTTGTAACTTCGGACGGTCACTAAATGAACTGTTGTAAGTCGAGGACTACCTGTGTTTTAATACGAGTCAAGATTTGGCTTTTCTCAGTCCTTAGCCTAACTCAGGACGGTGGCACCCGCAGGACTTCGGGGGCCACCACTCCAAAGTTGGCAGGGCAAACGAAGCCAACGGCTGTGGTAGCCCAGAGGGCGAAGGTGCTTTACTTCTGAGCAAAGTGGGAGGGGGTTTTGGGGGGCACAGAGTCATGGACCTTTTGGAATCCCCCCCCCCCCTCCACAGTTGTTTGTTGCTGGCTTGATAGTCCTGCTGCTCGATGAGCTTCTGCAGAAAGGCTATGGCTTGGGATCCGGCATTTCCCTCTTCATTGCCACCAACATCTGTGAAACGATTGTCTGGAAGGCCTTTAGCCCCACCACCATTAACACGGGCAGAGGTACAGTACTTTTTCCTCACGGCTGATGCCTCGGTCGGTTGCATGCTTTGTCAGACGCCTCTTGCGGGGGGGAGCAGCCTAGAACCGGACACGAGAGGTGGCTCTAGATCGGGTTTTTTCAAACTGCGTTCTAGAGGACCCTACACACTCCGTTCTAAGGGATCCTACACACTGCATTTAGAGACCCTACCAACTCTGTTCTAGATAACCCTACAGAGTTCTAGGAGAGCCTACAAACTGCATTTAGAGGATCTACAAACTTATGTTCTAGAGGTCTCTACAAACTGGGTTAAGAGGACCATACAAACTTATGTTCTAGATGACCCTACAAACCGTTTAGAGACCCCTACAAACCGGGTTCTAGATGACCCTACAAACTTATGTTCTAGGGGACTCTACAAACTGAGTTTAGAGAACCCTGCAAACTGGGTTCTGGATGACCCTACAAACTATGTTCTAGGGGACCCTACAAACTATGTTTAGAGAATCCTACAGACTGTGTTCTAGGAGACTCCATAAAGTGGGTTCTAGAAGACCCTACACTTCCAGCAGAACATACGGGTTCCCTGAGAAGGTAAGGTCAACCCTCCCCCGTTCACACACACAAACCAAATTCACACAGACACAACCCATTTTCCATCCTTAAATTTTTGCCTCTTGAATCGGGAGTGCCGGGATTTTTGTTTTTCTTCAGCCAAGCTCCACAGCCTGGAAAAGTTTGGAAAACCCTGATCTAGATCACTCTGTCTTGCAAAGAAAAAGAAAAAGAAAAGAAAAGACCGGAATCTGGAGTTTACGTTGGCCATTTTTCCCGCGCGCCTGGGCAGAAGTTGGCAAGGGATTTTTTTTTTCTCAACAAGGTGGGTCTAGGAGGCTTCCCCATTCCAGAAACTTTCCCAAACTTTGGGGTACCAGAGTGAACTCACAGGGAGGTGCCACAAAATAACCCGTGATTCTCAACCTCCGTCGGACACTGCATGAACTACAAACCTAGGAGTGTCATGAAAAAAAAAAAACCCTTACTGAAATGCTAAGGGTGGTGTCGACCACGAAATTTTGGAAAACTCTACTTAAATCAGGTCTCGCTCTTTAGAATTCCTGGGGAATCCAGATGCGAAATCTAGAAACGCTCCTTAAATTACCTGCCAGTCTCTTGGTCACGTGGCTGTTATCCCAGAAGGAAATTTCCGTGGCACAGTGGACCAAATCTTGCCTTCACCACGATCACAACCACCAAAACGCCGCCTCTAGATGAATGATCCCAGAGCGTGCCTGCAACCTTCACAGTACAGGCAGTCCTCGACCTAACGACCGTTTTTGAGCCCAACGTTTCTGTCGCTAAGTGGGACGGTTGTTAAGTGAGCTTTGCACCCCACCCCGTTTTACGATCTTTCTCGCTGAAGTGTTTAGGCGAATCCCTGCAGCTGTAAAGTGAGTCCCACGGTTGTTAAGTGAATCTCTTCTTCGTTGATTTTGCTGGTCGGAAGGCCGCAAGGTGATCACACGACCCCAGGACACTGCAACGGTCATAAGTAGGAGTCAGGTTGCCAAATGCCTGAATTTTTACCCTGGGGATGCCTCCACGGTTGTAAGTGTGAGTCACTTTTTGTAAGTTTGAGCAGTCACTAAACCAACGATTGTAAGTTGTGGACTACCTGTATAGAAACATCGGCTTGATTTAAGGTAGCTGAAGAATTGGGCCGCAAAATTAGGATTATTTTTTAAAACCCAGAGCTGCAGACCTGGTTCTAATTGGCCATAAACTGGTCAATTGAAGCTCCCTTACAAACTTCAGAATAAGCTACGTTGTCCAAATTCTCTGGATTCTTTCTTTCTCTGTCGGAGACTTTCTCTTTCTTTCATTTATAATTTATTTCCTATTGTTGCTTCTACTGTGCCACGCTCTTTATTCTTTTCTGCTTCCCTCTGCGTTTCTCTTCTTGTGTTTTTCTTCTGGCAGCTGGTGCGTTTTTGTCGTCGTGGTTCTTGACAGAATGGAAACACCCTTTGCTTTATGATATCAGATCATCATCCTCTTTTAACCACCGCGTAATCCCTTGCGGGATGGAGTCTGGGCAACTGAATGGAGCTAGCAGAGCGTTTTTAATGGCCGGATGCCTTTCCTGTCACCAGTACGGAGTTTCATTCAGCAAGATATATTCTCATTGTGCCCATAGAGAGAAATATCTGCCTCCACCTAGGATCGAACTCACAGCCTCCTGATTGTGAGGCGAGAACTCCACCTCTAGGCCACCGCACCACTCTTGCTTTATTATGTCAAATGTTCCAGAACTATTGCCAGCTCTTTGAGGTAGTCCAGATAATAAACACTCAAAAGCCCGAGTGTTAACACTATGTGTATTGTAAAGTCCACAAATCTGAACAGAATAACTGAGGTGGAAGGGACCTTGGAGGTCTTCTAGTCCAACCCCCTACTTAGGCAGGAAACCCTGTTACCGTTTCAGACAAATGGTTGTCCAGTTTCTTCTTGAAAGCCTCCAGTGATGGAGCAACCACAACTTCTGGTGGCAAGCTGTTCCACTGATTAATTGTCCTCCCGGTCAGGAAATTTCTCCTTAATTCCAGGTTGCTTCTCTCCTTGATGAGTTTCCACCCATTGCTTCCTGTCCTGCCTTCTGGTGCTTTGGAAAAAAGCTTGACTCCCTCTTCTTTGGGGCAGCCCCTGAGATATGGGAAGACTGCTATCATGTCCCCCCTACTCCTTCTTTTCATCAAACTAGACATACCCAGTTCCTGCAAGCATTCTTCATACGTTTTAGCCTCCAGTCCCTTAATCACCTTTGTTGCTCTTCTCTGCTCTCTTTGTGAGCTGAAATCCTTGAAAGCTGAAATCCTTGAAAGCTGAAATCCTTGAAAGCTGAAAGTCCATCTCTTCTTCCCCATCACCTGTTCTTTCCAGGGAACCAGGGAGAAGGGTCCCTTCTGTCGTGCTTTCCACCCGTCCACCCCCGGTTCCTTCCAAGGGCCGAGATGTCCTTTATCTGCCCTTTGCCCTCCCTGCAGCTCTTCCTCTTCCTCCTCCTCCTCCTCGGTCTCAAGGATATTCGCACAGACTGTTGCACAAGTAATATGTCACGGAGTAATACAGAGAGGGGTGTTAGAGTAGGGGATGCCTCTTGATGCTGCTGAGGAAGCGGGGGACCGAGTTAGGGCATCCCCAAAGGAATATTCTGGAAGACTTGCCTTCATACCGCACGTCCGTTTCTCGGCGCTGGTGTTCGTGAGAATTTGTCCACATGTCTTGGGAGAATTTGCATGCATGTTGAGCCTCGTTTATTCACTAGAAAAAGAGCACTGGGTTTGCATGAAACTTGGCTTGGTGAGTCTCGAAAAAAGCGAGTTCCTGTAAGACTTTAAGCACACTTCATTTTAAACTTACCCAAGTCTGTTGTCATTCAATAATTACAGCATCCCGCTGTAGGTAATCCTCGACTTACGACCACAACGGAGCTCAAAATTGCCGCCGCTGAGTGAGGCGTTTGTTAAGTGAGCTTTGCCCCATTTTTACGACCTTCCTCGCCACGGCTGTTAAATGAATCGCTGCAGCTCTTAAAGGTCGTTCAGTGAATCCGGCTTCCCCAATTATTTTGCCGATCAAAAAGTCGCAAAAGTGGGATCACGTGACCCCCCGGGATTTGTCATAAGTATGAGTCAGTTGCCAAGCGCCTGAATTTCGATCCCCTGGCCACGGGGACGCTGCAACGGCGTTCGTCGGTGTGAAAAAACGGCTCTAAGTCCCTCCCCCCCAATGCCGTCATAACTTAGAGTGGTCACTAAGCAAGCTGTCGTAAGTCGAGGACGGCCTGCAATTCCCATTTTGTTTTGTTTTTTCTTTCTCGAATTCTGCATGAGTTCCCTTCGGCTGTCTTTGCGGTGTTCGTACGCCAGAGTTTGTTGCCATGCCTGATTTGTGTTGGTTTTTTGGGGGGGCGGGCTCCATCCAGGTACGGAATTCGAGGGCGCCGTCATTGCCTTGTTCCACCTCTTGGCCACGCGCACCGACAAAGTCCGCGCTCTGCGGGAAGCCTTTTACCGCCAGAACTTGCCAAATCTCATGAATCTGATCGCAACCGTCTTTGTGTTTGCCGTAGTCATATATTTTCAGGTAAGGAACATCTGTGGGGGGGGGGGGGCGAAACAAATGTTGTGTTAAGGACAGGAGGAAGTGCGATGAAACATTTCGGCTGGGCCTAAACTCAGAGGGTGCCGTTCGAGATTTTCTCGGAAGTAGAAATGAAAGGGTCAGGCTTGGAGAGAGGGGTCCTAAATTCACACCCCTGGCTAGAGTTGGTCGATTTACAATTCTAATTTTCTAATCGGAAAATTCTTTCTAATGTTAGCTTTGTGGAGCGCTTGGTGCTTTCTGAGCTCGGTTGCTGAGCCCTGATGATGTTACCTAGTTGGGTCATGAAATGCCTTGCAAGGAAACAACCCACCTCAGAGAGCACCAAGGATCCCACAATCCTCCTCCTCCATGGTGGGGAACGGAAGGATTGATATTCCTTGCAGACAGAACTGGTCATCTGCATCCTTTTAGAAGGTCTGCAGTTTGGGTCTCTGAAAGGATGCAAAGGACCAGCTGTCTGCAAGGAGTATCAATCCTTCCATTGCCCACTATTCTGTCAGAGCTGAAGAAGCTTCTGGGATGAGAAGCGAAACGTCTTCAAAGAAAAAACCAGAAAATCCACTTGCCTCTTGCAAAAAAGCACCTTTGGGACAGCCGTGACCTGGAAGACGGAGAATCTCTTACAGACTTTTACTCAAGATTTCAGATCTGTTTTTTGGGGGTTTTTTTTAATCCTGGTTTCTAGTTTGCAAGGGTTTAATGTAAAGTTTGCAGCTTAGTTGCAGGATCTTCCGGGCTCCGTCCCGCAGGAGAAGAAATCAAGCGGTCCAAAGACCTTCTCGGTTTCTGCGGCTTCGAAACAAGAGATCCACTTTGCCAGCTTTGATCCCTTTTTCCTCCTCTTCTCCCCCCCCGCAGGGATTCCGAGTTGATCTCCCGATCAAGTCTGCCCGCTATCGTGGTCAGTACAGCAGCTACCCCATCAAGCTCTTTTATACGTCCAACATCCCCATCATCCTCCAGTCCGCCTTAGTCTCCAACCTCTACGTCATTTCCCAGATGCTCTCCGTGCGCTTCAGCGGCAACTTCCTAGTCAATTTACTCGGCCAGTGGGCGGTGAGTAGCCAGTTCTTCCTACAACGCAGGCTTCAGTCCTCGTCTTAACGGCCGCAATCGGGCCCCAGGTTTCCGTCGCTAAGCGAGACATCGGTGAAGTGAGTTTTATAGGGCTTTTCTTGCCACTGTTGTTAAGTGAGTCACTGCGGTTGTTGGGTTAGTAACACGGTTATTAAGTGAATCCAGCTTTCCCCCTTGACTTGGCTCGTCAGATGGTCGGAAAAGGGGATCCCGTGATCCCAGGACACGGCGACTGTCACAAATACAAGTCAGTTGCCAAGCGTCCGAATTTTAATGGCGTGAGCGTGGGGAATGCTGTAACGGTCGTAAGTGTGAAAAACGGTCATAGGTCACTTTTTTCAGTGCCGTTGTAACTTGGAACGGTCGCTAAATGAAGTGTAAGTCGGCTTGCAGCTATTTGTTTAGCGGCCGCTCAAAGTTACGACACTGAAAAAGGAGACTTGTGACCGTTTTCCACACTTACGACCTTGACAGCGTCCCCATGGTCACGTGATTAAAATTCAGACACTTGGCAACTGATTCACATTTATGACGATCGTAGCGTTCCGGGGTCACTATGCAGGAACGACCTTCTGACCAACAAAGTGGCTTTGCTTAACAACCGCCTGATTCACTTTTTAACAACTGGTGGCAAAAACTGGTTTCGTGAAACGGGGCAAAGCTCAAGAAGTGCCTCGCTTAGCAACGCAAACTTTTTGGGCTCCATTGCGGTCGTAAGCCGAGGACTACCTGTAGCCCCTTCAAAGCAGAAACATTTGACTTGGGGGGGTCTACATGAAAATGACGTTTTCCACGCTCTCCTTCCTTCCCAGGATGTTAGCGGGGGCGGCCCAGCGCGCTCCTATCCGGTGGGGGGTCTCTGCTATTACCTCTCCCCCCCGGAATCCATGGGGGCCATCTTCGAGGATCCGGTCCACGTGATCGTGTACATCATATTTATGCTGGGCTCTTGTGCCTTTTTCTCCAAGACGTGGATCGAAGTGTCCGGATCTTCTGCCAAAGACGTAGGTGGTTTTCTCTCCCTCCCTCCACCCTCCCTCCTCCTACGCCTCCCCCCCCCCCCAACTGCACCTGCTCCCCAGATTCTCCCTCGAGGATGCCAAGCCTGGCATCCTCCCTTTGACACCCTGGCATTATCTTTATTTATTTTTTTTTTGCAGGTCGCCAAGCAACTGAAAGAGCAGCAAATGGTCATGAGGGGCCACCGAGAGACATCCATGGTTCACGAATTAAACCGGTAAGGAAATCCGAAATGAGTTCAATTTGAGGAGGGGGTCCTTGGTGCTCCCTCAGCCGGGTGCTTTTCTTGGAAGAAAGTCACTAGCATTGATAATGTTACCAAGTTGGGTCATGAAACGTCTGCAAGAAAACAACCAAGTCCTCCTCCTCCTCCTCCTCCCTGCAAACCCCACTCCCTTCCAGCACTGATGATGTTACCTAGTTTGGTAATAAAATGTCTGCAAGGAAAGAACCCAGCTCAGAGAGCTTTTTTTTTTATTTTGAAAAAATTTTTTCATTTTTATTTCTTATACACATATTGAATGCAAATGTACATTCTCTTATCCATAATTGATCATATTATCTATATATTTTTTTCTAAAAAAGCATAAAAACAAAAAATTTTAATTACACTTGGGGTTGCTACCCTCTCTTTTCCCTCTTTTCCCAACAAACCTTCTTCTTTCTTTCCCCTCCCTCTCTCCTCTCTTCTACTTTCTTCCTCCTCCTCTCCTCCCCTACTTCCCCTTCCTCTCCCCCACTCCTCCCCTTTCTCACCTTCTCTCCTGCTCTTGTCCCCTATCCTTTCTTCCTCTCCTTCCCCTTTCTTCCATTCCTCTCTCTCCCTCTCCTCCTCTCTCCCTCTCCTCCTCTTTCCTTTCTTTCTCCTTTGTTGTGCAATATTTCCCTTATTTGGTATCCGAGCCGCTCCAATTTTCTAATAATATATACTTTCTTTTCAATTTCTTTCCCATTTTACCCAATCGATCATTTCATAATCGTACATTTATATTTATAATCACCGTCCCCCTCCTCTTCCTCCTCCTCCTCCTCACTTTGCCGCAGAAATTTGGGGCTCTATTGCGGTCATAAGTCGAGGACCAGTCTTATACAAAAAATAAAAACAAAACACCATTAGGGAATTTGGAACTTTCAGGCACATGTGGCGCCAATGCAACTTGCTTCACATTCCACCTCTGGTTTTCTAACCTAATTCTTCCTCTCCCTGCCAAACGAAATGTCAGGAATTGCAGGCACCACGACACAAAAGGGAGCAGATTTGAATTAAAACGAATGTTGTTCCTCTTTTTTTCCCTTTAGGTACATCCCGACGGCAGCTGCCTTCGGTGGGTTGTGTATCGGGGCGCTCTCGGTCCTGGCTGATTTCCTAGGCGCCATCGGCTCCGGCACCGGCATTCTGCTGGCAGTCACGATTATTTATCAATACTTTGAGATCTTCGTCAAAGAACAAGCCGAAGTTGGTGGCGTGGGGGCTTTGTTTTTCTAAACAGGCGGGCATTCACCTGGCTTGTGACAAAAGGGGGGGAAACGTCATTGGACCTCACCCGAATCCAATAATCCCATTTTAATTTATTTTTTTTCCTCCCTTCTTTTCGAAACAAGTCACCCCATTTGTTCACAAATGGGCTTCTGCACAGCTTCAGAGCTGGCTGCCTTAAAAGAATCAAAGTTTACATTATCTTGATTTAAAAACAGAATAATAATCATCCCAAAAATCTCTGTTGTGTGGCCTGTAATGTTGGAAAACACAATTCTTTCCTCTCCAACCCTCGAGGGAAGAGCAGCGGGCGTGCCTGTCTCGTGGCACTTTTCCACACTCGGTGGGCGTGCAAACATAATCTACGCATATCTTGTCGCCCGTTGCAAAGAGTTCCGGGTTGCTCCAAACGGCTTAAAAGATCCCTTTCCTTCCTCAAAAATCTATATTTTATCATGAATTGCTTTTCTATATATATATTCGAAGGAAAAACACAACCCCGCCCCCCCCTCCCGTGCCATTTAAGCCCCTCTTTGGAGCAGACATCTCAACACCCACCCACCACCCGACTCTGAAATTTAAGCCGAGGGTGGGAGGTTGTGTCGGCAGCCACATTTTGTGAATTCACTCACACGGAAATGTAAAAAGATGGTAGAGCCTGAATGAAGAGAATTCAGGTTTCTGCCGACCCCTTCGGAGACCCATCAGTTCTGACCCAGCTCCCCGAACACGACAAACCCTCTGAAATTAAATCAATTATTCCTTTATTAGGAGCGCGAAATGTTTCTCTCTCACCGCAGGCTAACAAGTCCATCCGTCCGGCAGGGAGATGAATAGTGGTCTGCCACATCTATTCATCTCCGCCCCCTGCCTTTTATCCCCAGAGCTAATGTGGGGCTTCACTAGCAGCGGTGACTCTTCCGTCCCAAGGACCGGCTCATAGATTTCCACTGCTCTCCTCTCCTCTGCCTTCTGTGCAGCAGGCACTGGACCCATCTGTTCCTTCTCCTCCTCATCAGCCACCTCCAGTCCTGGATGCTATTAACTTTCCATCTAGGGCTGACGGACGGCCCAGGCTCGGACTCTGCCTCTCTCTCTCTGCGAGCTCCATTCCCTCTTCCTCCTCGGAGCTCTCAGGTTGCCTGGATGCTGGCCCTGACTCCCACCCACCTCCTTCTCCTCCTCCTCGATTCAGCTGTTGAAGAGAGACCCTGAGCTGCTTGAAATGTCACTCGCGTCTCTTTTTTCAAAGTCCATGAAAACAAACAAACTCACAGCTGAGCAAAGTTGTTGGTCTTCGAGGGGCTTTTGTGTTGACAAGAAACCGAGCCTTCGTTGGTGTTTCTTCGCAGCATTGTAGCCCGTGTAAAACATGACACATTAAAAGTTATTTAATTAAAAACTTATCCTTGCTTTTTTGTTGTTGTCGTCGTTGTCTTCTTCGTAAGACGGCTTCCCTGTAACTCCTTGAAGTAAAAAGGGGGCGTGTACACAGAATCCTCGACTTAACGATGGCTCGTTTAGTGACCAAAGTTACAGCAACACTGAAAAAAGTGACTCTCAACCGTTTTTTACACGCTGTTTTAACGTCCCCGCAGTCGGATTCGCTTAACAACTGTGTTAGTAACAAGGAGAGTGATTCACTGAACAACTCTGGCAAGGAAGGCTAACAGTAACAGAGTTGGAAGGGACCTTGGAGGTCATCTAGTCCAGCCCCCTGCTCACTCAGGATACCTGTACTAGGGATTTGAACTGCCACATTATCTTTGACCAAATCAAAGATAAAACACTTCATAGAATGTTTTTCTCGTTTTTAATTGAAGTTAATCCTTCATACATAAGGTCGTAAGACGGGGTGGAATTTATGTAACTGTCTCAGTTGGCAACAAAAATATTGGGGTCAATTGTGGTCATAAGTCGAGGACTACCTGTACACAGGGCCCCTCCTAGTTTTTCCCCCTGTACTGAGCAAGGTGTAGGCCAGGCTGGGAAAGGGACTGGCCCAAAGTCCTCCAGAGAACTTCCACGGCTGAAGAGGAACCAGGGTCTCCTCAGCCTCGGAGACCAACCCATCGCCCATCACACCGGGGTTTCTGAAACGTGGCAAGTTTGAAGACTTGTGGACTACAACTCCCAGAATTCCTTGCTAGAGGCAGGGAGAAAATTACGGGCAGCCTCGGATGACCTGCAGCTCTCAAGACCTCTGGAAGTTCTGCCTGTTGGTCCCTCAACCATTTATGGGCAAGCCAAGGAAGATGGGACCTCTTCCCTGCACTGTCCAGGAAGGAGAAGACAAGCATGGATGAAGTCCCAAGGACTTCACTTTTAATGATAAAGAGTTGGCCAAGCCCAAGGCAAGAAAAGACGCAACCCGCAGTCTTGGCTGCCAACGACTTGTTCTGGCCCGCCACCGGAGGTGGTGGTAGACTCAGACAATGAGGAGATTGGGGAGGAATATGGGCTAGTCCTGGAATCTGGAGAAGGCTCTAATGAGGACTCTGCGTCGGAGGCAGAGATGGGACCAGGGCCGTTTGACAGTTATCAGTTGCCTTCGGAGTCGGACATCAGTGAGGCAGAAGAACAGCTGAAGCCTGTTCCCAGTGTGCGCATGCGCAGAGTTGCCAGACGAAGGGAACAGCTAAAGAACAAGGGTCGACTCAGCAGTAAAGCCACAGATGGACGGTGGAATGGCCCCTCCCAGAGGGAATAAAAGAGGAGCGAAGGGGGAGTGGAGTTTGCAGGAGACAATTAGTTCCCGACTCTCCGAGACTCCTTGCCAAGTTTCCAAGATATCGGCCTGGCAGCTCTCCAAGCCAGATAAGGTCTGTAAATTCACCCTTGAAAGACTTTGCTGGCTGTGAACGACAGGAATTCACAGAATGCTACTCAACGCAACAATCCAGCAGTTCAAGAACCCATATAGACCGCAAGACGGTAAAAAGACTTATTTTTATTTTTCCACCGACGATTCCAGTGAAGTTGAATTAAAAGTAAAAATTTTTTGTGCAGGAAACAGCTCGGTTTACGTTATTCGGAGCAAAATTCTCGGTCTTGGGAGTTCTAGAGCGTGGCGTTCTAGAACTTCATGAAGGGCACCTGGAAGGGCTGGTCCGTGGCGTGCCTCAGGGCCAGGGCGTAAGCATACAGCTTGGCATCCACGATCAAGTTTTCCTCGGCCACCAGTTCTGCAGAAAACACACATGCACAAGGACACACATTAGACAAACGACATCCAGGAGCCATCTTCCATCCCGAGGGCCACGGGTGACGGTTTCCCGTAATACAGCTGGCCCTCGACTTATACAACAGTCCACTTAGCGCCGTTGTAAAATGGAACGGTCCCTAAACGAACTCATTGTAAGCCAAGGACCCCCAGAAGCAGTTAGAGCTTGTCCAAAATAAACAATTTGCCAAAGTTGTATAAAGGAGGTCTTTCGTTCAAATCAAAAATGACGGAGCTTCAAATTTGGTTTCGGTCCAATTTTTGCAAGACGTGAGCCCTATAATCCTGGCAAAAACCAAATTTAATTCTAGAAATAATTTAACTGGATAATGTAACCACAGCTGAAATAGAGACTCTGATGATTCCATCTGCAGCAACCTCTTGCTCTCTTTAAAGCATTATTACAGTAATGTAATGATGTTATAATCATGCTTTAGATGAGAGCTAGAAGAGAAATTGTCCAGAATGGAGCCAAGTCCCTGATACTCTCTCTTTCATCGAGTTAATGTCCAAATTATTCCTCAAAATTAACCAAATTATTTCTCAAAACTAGCAATAGCACGTAGACCTATATACCATTTCACAGTGCTTTACAACCTTCTCTGGGGGGTTTAAAGAGTCAGCCTCTTGCCCCCAACAATCTGGGTCCTCATTTTACCGACCTCGGAAGGACGGAAGGCTGAGTCAACCTTGAGCCAGTGAGGATCGAACTCCTGGCAGCGGGCAGAGTTTATCCTGCAATACTGCTTTCTAACCACTGCGCCACCAGGAAGGAGAATGAAAAAGAAAGGGAAGCAAGAAGGAAGGAAGGAAAACAGCATAACAGAATGACGGAATAACAGTTGGAAGGGACCTTAGAGGTCGTCTAGTCCAACCCGTATAGCAGGAAACACTATATACCATTTCAGGCATCTCTTTAGGTTGACCCTTGGAAGGAAGCTTCAGTTCTACATCTCAAAGCAACTCTCCCTACTGCCTTACCTTCAATTCTCTGCATTAAATCGTTCTTGGGTAGCGTAACGACTTCCACAAACTCTGAAGAGGAAAAACAAAACAGAAAAGCCTTGGAAATTAATGGAGTTGGCGGCATCCTCCGTCGCACTGATTTTTCATCTAAAATGTCCGCTTCGCCCATTTTAACATCTAGAAGGACGTCACATGGCCTAGTGTTCAGTCACCCTTTATGAAATGGCACCAATAAATGAGAATATTCGTAGCTCAGGGTTGAACCCAATGGGCTGCTTGATGCTCTCTGAGCTTGGTGGTTTTCATTACCAAGGCAAAAACATCTGCAGGAAAGTGGATCTCCCAAACCTTAAAATCGGGTTTCTAACTCGGAAACAATGTTTTAAAAAATAATTTGTATTCCCCTGATCCCTATATACAGGTAGTCTGACTTATGACCACAATTGAGCCCAAAGTTTCTGTTGCTAAGCTGATGCAATTGTTCAGTTAGTTTTGCCCCGTTGTATGATCTTTCTTGTCACCGTTGTTAAGTGAATCACTGCAGTTGTTCAGTTGGTAACACGGTTGTTAAGTGAATCTGCAGTTATCAAGTTAGTAACACGGTTAAGTGTGTCACTGCAGTTCAGTTAGTAACACGGTTGTTAAGTGAATCTGCAGCTATCAAGTTAGTAACGGTTGTTAAGTGAGTCACTGCAGTTGTTCAGTTAGTAACAGGGTTGTTAAGTGAATCTGCAGTTATCAAGTTAGTAGCACGGTTGTTAAGTGAGTCACTTCAGTTGTTAGTAACACGGTTGCTAAGTGAATCTGCAGTTATCAAGTTAGTAACGGTTGTTAAGTGAGTCACGAGTTGTTCAGTTAGTAACATGGTTGTTAAGTGAATCTGAAGTTATCAAGTCAGTAACACGGTTGTTAAGTGAGTCACTGCAGTTGTCCAGTTAGTAACACGGTTGTTAAGCGAATCTGGCTTCCCCGTTGATTTTGCTGGTCAAAAAGGGATCGCGTGACCCCGGGAATCTGCAGCCGTCATAAATATGAGTCCATTGCCAAGCGTCTGAATTTTGAAGCATGTGACCCTGGGGAAGCTGCAACGGTCGTAAGTGTGAAACACGGTCATAGCTCACTTTTTTCAGTGCCGTCGTAACTTCAGACCGTCACTAAACAAACTTCATAAGTCAAGGACTACCTGTTCATGCATCTTATCCCGTTACTAACAAAGAACCCATGCGCAGGGCGTCCTTAAAAAAAACACACAATTTCTGATGACGGAGGATATTAGTTACTAGCAAAAGATGAGCGAATTCAAACCCGACTCCGAAGGAAATTGAGAATATCCGTCTCGGTTCCCAGCCAAAAAGGAACAGAACCCGGTGTTAACGTACCTCCTTCCTCTGTAGGGGAGAAACAGAACACAAATGTCACAAAAATAAGACCTCGGTGGATCTGAACTTTTGTGGCATTCAACACAACATGGGTTTTTTTTACGCCTTTGATCTTCGAAATGAGAGAATTTAGAATATTGTCCCTGTGAATGCGCACTGATCGGCATACGTTAAAATGAAATTTCATTGCATGCAGGGTTACCAACCTCCGAAATACTCTACATAAACATGACTAAATAAATAAATAGAAATACAAAATTATGCATATACTAGGACCGGGATGGCAAACCTATGCAAGCGTGTCACAGGTGGCATGGATAGCCATATTGGTGGGTACGCGAGCTCAGCTCCAGCATGTGCATGTTTTTGGGGCCTTTTGGGCCCACCGGAAGTTGGCAAACGGGCCATTTCTGGTCTCCGGAGGGCCTCCTGGGGGAGTTGGGAAGGCTGTTTTTGCCCTCCCCAGACTCCTAGAAAGGCTCTGGAGCCTGGGGAGAGAGAAAAACGGGCATACCAGGCCATCACATGCCAGCAGCGGGAGGGGGGGAGAGCGTGGATGGGTCATGCACGCATGGGCAGGGCACATAGAATTATGGATGTGGGTTTGCACGCATGCAAATATCCGCCACCACCCCGCTCCTGGCACGCGATGGCAAAAAGATTAGCCATCACTGTACTAGGACAATTAATCAGTGGAAGAACTTGCCTCCAGAAGTTGTAAATGCTGCAACATTGGAAGTTTTTAAGAAGAAACTGGACAACCATTTGTCTGAAGTGTTGTATGGCTTCCTGCCAAAGCAGGGGGTTTGACTAGAAGACCTCTAAGGCCCCTTCCAACTCTCTTGTTCTATTCTACCCACACGTATTATGTGACACACAGATTCTGGAGGTATTTTGGATGCCTACGTTCAAATTTTTCTAGCTGCAGGTTTAAAGGTAAGTGCCTCTATTGGTGTAACCCATGTTACGTAAGTTACCTATCCATGCTGCTGTGGTCATAAGTGTGAAAAACAATGCTAAGTCACTTATTTCAGTGCCGTTGTAACTTCAAACGGTCACTAAACGAACTGGTACGCCGAGGGCTCTCTGTATGCAAAGGATTGGAGAAATAAACACTGCAAAGAGACGATCGTCCACTAGATGGCAGCAAAGATTAAGCCTAATTCTGTATCTCTGCTGCCATCAAGTGACCTGTGGGATATTTATAGGGCCAGATATGGGAGCTTTACAAGAGTGGTACGGTGGCCTAGGGGTGGAGCCAATGGTGGGATTCAAATAATTTAACAATAGGTTCTCTGCCCTAATGACCAGCGGGGTAGGTGTGGCTCGGTGGTCATGTGACCGTGTGGACGTGGCCAACTCAACGTCACTCACGTCGATGGGCGCTTCGCCTTAGCTGTTACAATGTAACAAGGGTTAACCAGAGAGGCAGTTTCTGTAAGCAGGGCAATAAAGAGTAGGCTAGAAACACCACCAGAATGTTTCCTTTCTGCCTTCCTTACAGGATTAGCCCTGTAAAGTAGGGGGAAAAACAAAATAAGATTTCTTCCAACAACCGGTTCTCCGAACTGCTTAGAAAGTTAACAACCGGTTCTTCCAAATATGTGTGAACCCGGTGAATCCCACCACTGGGTGGAGCTCTAACCTCACAATCGGGAGGCTGTGAGTTTGATCCTAGGTAGAGGCAGATATTTCTCTCTTTGGGCACCCTGAGAATATATCTGCTGAACAAAACTCCGTACTGGCGACAGGAAAGGCATCCGGCCAATAAACACTCAGCTCCATTCAGGGGTGAAGTTGGGGGTCATTAAAAGAAGATGATCTGGGAGCTTTACAAAATCCATAACTCATTCATTCAGCCATACTTCGATATCGAGCTGCATCTCAAGGTCAGTTTTTCCCCTAACGATTCTTCTACAACGGGCAACTTTTAAGATCCGTGGACTTCAACTAGGGAGCCCCAATAAACACGCCCCAAAATTAATCAAAATCCATTATGGATCTTTACGGAATTTTGCCCTTGGAAAAGTTAATTTGGGAGAAGGAAAAAAAGGAAAGTTAACAAAACACCCACCGAGTTGCGGGGTGGGGCGGTTATTATAGATAAATCTATGTTTAAGAGATAAATAAATATACAGAAATAAGGGGAAAAGTATTGATATCATATCATATTATGTTTAAATAGTGAACAAAGCTTAAGAGCTATATGTTTATATGAGTATTAATATTATTGTAAAGTGACGGAAGATGCTTGGGACCAGGGATGTCATATCTATGTCCAACGTTTTTTTAATTTTGTATTCTTAATAAAAAACTTTTTTAAAATTAAAAAAAAAACAAAAACCACCCACCGGGTTTTTGTTTCGGCTTCAGGTTGACAGGGAGGTCTCCGTTGATAGTGACGGTCGCAATGTGAGAGGCACAGTTTGTCAGTCCGGGATCTAAGCACAAAGCTATGAAAAAGCATCAACATTCAGTTAAACAGAAAAGAAACCAGAAAACTATCTACCCTTATTCATGGAGGAAAAAAAAAATTACACAAGTTTTGTACATGTCCTTCCCGGGATCTTGAGAGAGTACGCGCAGCCATTTTCTTATTTTATCGGCCTACAGGTAGTCCTCGACTTACATCGGTTCGTTTAGTGACCGTTCAAAATCAGAACGGCGCTGGGAAAAGGGACTGACGACCCCTTTTCACGGTTACAACCTTTGCACCGTCCCCGTGATCGTGAGATCAAAATTAATCAAGGAGAGAAGCAACCTGGAATGAAGGAGAAACTTCCTAACGGTGAGGACAATTAACCAGTGGAACAGCCTGCCACCAGAAGTTGTGGGTGCTTCATCAATGGAAGTGTTATAAGAAGAGACTGAACAAACATCTGTCTGAAATGGTACAGGGTCTCCTTCTTGAGGAGAGGGTTGGATTAGAAGACCTCCAAGGCCCCTTCCAATATTTTGTTATGTCCTTCCTTCCTTCCTTCCTTCCTTCCTTCCTTCCTTCCTTCCTTCCTTCTTTTCCTTCCTTCCTTCCTTTCCTTCCTTCCTTCCTTCTTTTCCTTCGTTCCTTCTTTTCCTTCCTTCCTTCCTTCCTTCTTTTCCTTCCTTCCTTCCTCCCTCACTTCCTCCCTTCCTTTCTTTCTTTTCCTTCCTTCCTTCCTTCCTTCCTTCCTTCCTTTCTTCCTTCCTTCTTTTCCTTCCTTCCTTCCTTTCCTTCCTGGAGGTTTTTAAGAAGAGACTGGACAACCGTTTGTCTGAAATGTTATAAGGTCTCCTTCTTGAGTAGGGGGTTGGACGAAAAGACCTCCAAGGTCCCTTCCAATATTATTTTGTTATGTCCCTTCCTTCCTTCCTTCCTTCCTTCCTTCCTTCCTTCCTTCCTTCCTTCCTTCCTTCCTTCCTTCTTTTCCTTCCTTCCTTCCTTTCCTTCCTTCCTGGAGGTTTTTAAGAAGAGACTGGACAACCGTTTGTCTGAAATGTTATAAGGTCTCCTTCTTGAGTAGGGGGTTGGACGAGAAGACCTCCAAGGGCCCTTCCAGCTGTATTCCGCTTCCGAAAACTGTTATTGCTAACCTCTTCAACGTGTCTAGCATGTTAATCACCAACTTTCTCCTGTCAACAATACCTGTTTCCCGATTTAGCAACATAATCACCCAGATTTAATTGGACTAATTAAGTGCTATTAAGGGGGCGGGGATCCTTTAAGCGACTTGATGGATAGACTTTCTCCAGGACATCATCTGCTGGACGTCTCAGTGGCAAAAATAAAATTAAACAAAAAAACAAACACTTAATCTTTCCCCTGGTATTGCCGGCAAAGCGAGGAGAGCCTGTGGCTTAGAGGTTAATACAGTACATCTACCTAATATATGCAACAATATATATCCTGCCAACAAAAGTGTGTATAGTTGATGGTTTTCCCAGTTGCAATGGATGGCTGTGAAAGTTGGACCATAAGGAAGGCTGAGAAGGCCAAAGAATGGAGGCCTTTGAACTCTGGTGCTGGAGAAGACTCCTGCGAGTCCCTTGGACTGCAAGGCCATCCAACCGGTCAGTCCTAGAGGAGATCAACCCTGACCGCTCTTGAGAAGGCCAGATCCTGAAGAGGAAACTCAAATCCTTTGGCCACCTAATGAGAAGGAAGGACTCCCTGGAGAAGAGCCTAATGGTGGGAACGATGGAGGGCAAAAGAAGAAGAAGGGGACGGCAGAGAACGAGGTGGCCGGATGGAGTCACTGAAGCAGTCGGGTGTGAGCTTAAATGGACTCCAGAGGATGGTAGAGGACAGGAAGGCCTGGAGGAACGTTGTCCATGGGGTCGCAATGGGTTGGACACGACTTTGCAACTAACAAGAAAAATATATGCAAGGAGCCCGGGTTCGAATCCCAGAAAGGCTATTGATGGGAGCTAAATGTCTTGAAATAGATCTATACTAGTCTCCCTTTATTTCTTTGTCGGTAAAACATAACTTTAACACAATTCAGTAGTTTGTCGCAGAAGCGACTGCCTGCAACGGTCCCTGGATTGGGGCTGAAAGGCGAAAGAGGAAGCAGGATGCTCCGTCCCATAATTGGATAAACCAGGTTTGCCCTAATTAAAAATACCAACACTCTCAGTGGCCTAGTATCGTTTGGGACGGTCTTACAAGGGTTGGGGATTATGGGTTAGTAGCTACTACTTTTAAGGGTGCTTCAATTCAATATAGAGGTGAGGTCAAATTTCAAGTTTTTACGACGTACCTCCAAGATTCACCATGTTTTATCATCTTATTTAGCAACTACAGGTTGTCCTCGACTTACAACTACAATGGAGCCCCAGATTTCCGTTGTGAAGGGAGACCTTTCTTAAGGGAGTTTCGCCCCATGTTATGACCTTTCCTGCCCCTCCCCGTTGTTAAGTGAATCACTGCAGATGTTAAGCTAGTCACGCCGTCGTTATGCGGATCTGGCTTCCCCCCGTTGAATTGGCTCGTCAGAAAGTCACAAAGGCTTGATCACGTGAGCCCAGGAGGACGGTGCGACCGTCATAAATAGGAACCGGTGGCCAAGGGTTTGAATTTTGATCACATGACCCCCCCCCCAGGGATGCTATAACGGTCGCAAGGGTGAGAAACGGTCATGCGTCGCTTTTTTGGATCCTGTGGTAACGTCGGTCACTAAATGAACCGTTGTAAGTCGAGGACTACCTGTATATGCAACTCAGGATTGAAATGAAGGGTCCTTGGTGATCTTTGAGTTGGGTGGTTTTCTTGGAGACGTTTCATGACCCAACTAGGGAACAGCATCAGTGCGAGGCATCTAGAGCATTGATGATGTTCCCTAGTTGGGTCATGAAACGTCTGCAAGAAAACCACCAAGCTCAGAGAGCACCAAAGACTCTCCAGTCCTCCTTTCTTCTTCTTCTTCTTTTTCAACAGTTTTAAGGCAAAACTCAAAAACTACCTGGAGAACATTCAAGGATGTCCCCTTTGTAACCCGTTTCTTCTTCCAGTTCGCGTAAGGCGGCCGTCTCGGGAGTTTCATTGCTGTCGATTAGACCTGTGGCGCAAATACACAGCTTGAGTTACAGGCAGCTCTCTCGAAAGGACGGGAAGGAGGGACACACAACGGAGCCATCAGAGCTTCAAGCGAGCCGGAGTTTCTTCAGGAAAAATACATTGGACAAAAGAGGGAAGGGGAGTGAAAAGGGAAGGGAAGGGAAGGAGGAAGGGAAGGGAGAGAGAGGGAAGGAGGAAGAGGAAAGGGGAAAGGAAAGGAAAAAGTTGAGGGAGAGAGGAAGGGAAGGGAAAGGAGAAAGGAAAAACAAAAGGAAAGGAAAGGAAGGGAAGGGAAGGGAGAGAGAGGGAAGGAGGAAGAGAAAGGGGAAAGGAAAAGTCAAGGGAGAGAGGAAGGGAAGGGAAAGGAAAAAAGAAAAAAGGAAAGGAAAGAAAAAGGAGAGGAGGGGAGGGGAGGAGAGAGGAGAGGAAAGAAAGGAAAGGAGTAAAAAGAGGGAGGGAGGAAAGGAAAGAAGGAATGGAGAAGGGAAGAGAGGGGAAGGAGGAAGAGAAAGGGGAAAGGAAAAGTCGAGGGAGAGAGGAAGGGAAGGGAAAGGAGAAAGGAAGGGAAGGGAAGGGAGAGAGGGAAGGAGGAAGAGAAAGGGGAAAGGAAAAGTCAAGGGAGAGAGGAAGGGAAGGGAAAGGAAAAAAGAAAAAAGGAAAGGAAAGAAAAGAAAAAGGAGAGGAGGGGAGGAGAGGAGAGGAAAGAAAGGAAAGGAGTAAAAAGAGAGGGAGGGAGGAAAGGAAAGAAGGAATGGAGAAGGGAAGAGAGGGGAAGAAGGAAGAGAAAGGGGAAAGGAAAAGTCGAGGGAAAGAGGAAGGGAAGGGAAAGGAAAAAGAAAAAAGGGAAAGGAAAGGAAAGAAGGAGAGGAAAGGAAAGAAGGGAAGGGAAGGGAAAGGAAAGGAAAGGAAAGGAAAGGCAAAAGAAAAGAAAGGGCTTCTCATCCCAATTACGAAGCCCAAGGACCTCCGCCTGACCACCTACCTGCAGGGAATTCCAAGCAAAAGGCTCCCAAGGGAGGCCTGAATTGTTTCACGAGGACCATGCAATCGTAGTGGAGAGTTCGTTGCAGCACCGGAATAACAGCCACACCTACCAGCCGAGAGGAGAAGCAGGGGAAAGAAAACATGATCGACCCACACGAAGACAGCCGAAAGTTCAATAACTCATCGATAACCAGAGGATCCAGAGAGGATCTGGAGAAGTTGTGTAGTGCGGCCCGTGGCCTTATTGGTCCCTTGGGGGTGACCGGTTGCTCTCTTTAGATCTAACCTAGTTCACAAGTAAAATTCGCTTTCTGGAGCCCCCCGGAGAATCAAGGGGAAAAATTAATACGCTTTTGGTCTGCAAGACAAATCCACCTTTTATTAAAATGCATTTTATCCCATCCTTTGTTGAAGGAACTTCAAGATAACTTAGGACTGTGATGTTCTGCCCCAGCTATGGACCCCAAAGAACGCAGCACACACAAACTCTATACAAAGCTTATTTTACTCAAATAACTCAGTCTTTATCAACCAAAGGCTGTTAATAAACTGTCTTAACAGCCTACAAGAATTCTAAGATAAAGTAATCACAGTCTTACTAGAGTTGGCACAAAGCCCAGAAGCAATTTTGCAGAGAATCCAAACACGAAGGAGTGAACTAAAGTTGTTCCCTACAGCTTGCTGCAATCGGCATTCCTCCTTAAATAGGCTAAGGGAGTGGCTAATTAGCACCAAGCCTTACTCTCGAGGAGACCTCCTCCTGAGGAGCCACTCCTGTCTTTTGGCAGCTCTGCGTGCCCGTGCATCGAGAAGAGGCTCCTCCTCTTCTTCCTCTTCACTTAAGGGAACTTCTGGAGGTTCTGAAGGCCCTGGCTGAATCCCCACCTCTGGCACCACATCTTCTCCAGCCTCCTCATTGTCTGACTCGAGCGCCAGCTGCACAGACTACTGGCGCAGCACCACACCAGCCTCCTCGTCGTCAGAATCAGCTACAATCCGTGCAGGCTGCTGGCGGGCCACAACACATGATGGCAAACTTTTGGCACGCGTGCCACAGCTGGCACGCAGTGCCCTCTCTGCGGGGAAGCGAGCCGTCGCCCAGCTCAGCTCCACCAAACATGTGCAGTTGGGTCCCGCCAGCCAACTGATTTTTGGGTCTCTGCCACACATGCGTGGGGATGAGGCACATGTGGGAGACATGGGTGCGTGCATGGGGGGAGGTTGTGGGTGCATGCGTAGAGGGGCAGGTGGTCACATGTGCATGCGCAGGGGGAACACGGGAAGGTCGTGCGTGCTTGCACAGCGGGGTGGGGCATACGGGCGTACGATGCATTGCATTATGGGTGCCAGCACGTGCATGCGCTTTCAGCACGCAACGACAAAAAGGTTAGCCATCACTGACTTAGGAGGTTCTCCCACTTTCCCAACCTCTTGAGCAGAGGTGGGTTTCAGCAGGTTCTGAATTGGGGAGGGGGATTTTTTTTTTGACCCGCATAGTAAGGAAAGTATGCTTACCATCAGCAGAAACCCCTTCTTTCCTGGTAGTACGTTTGACCGATTCCCATATTCTGTTAAAAATTACAAAAAGGAAGATAAATATCAGAACCTGGATTGTTATTACTTTCAAAAGCTGTCATGGATAATGTCATTTTGACCAAATTGATTGTGCTTTTTTTTTCTTTGAAAAGTTTCCTTTGCTTTATGTCGCTTTCTTATCTATCTATCTATCTATCTATCTATCTATCTATCTATCATCTATCTATATCTCTATCTATCTATCCATCCATCTATCTACATCTCTATCTATCTATCTATCTATCTATCTATCTATCTATCTATCTAACTCTATCTAACATCTGTCTCTCTCTATCTATCTAACATCTCTATCTATCTATCTAACATGTCTTTCTATCTATATCTATCTAACATCTGTCTATATCTATTTCTATCTATCTATCTATCTATCTATCTATCTATCTATCTATCTAACATCTCTCTATCTAACATCTGTTTCTCTATTTCTATCTATCTATCTATCTAGCTAGCTAGCTAGCTAGCTAGCTAGCTAGCTAGCTAACATCTGTCTCTCTTACATCTCTCTCTCTCTAACATCTGTCTTTCTATCTATAACTATCTAACATTTGTCTATATCTATCTATTTCTATCTATTTATCTCTCTATTTAACATCTGTCTCTCTTATCTCTCTCTCTCTCTCTTCTCTCTCTCTATCATCTATCTAATCTATCCGTTTATCTGCCATTTACCTACCTACCTACCTACTACTTACCTACTGTGTTTCCCTGAAAATAAGACCTTGTCTTATATTTTTTTGAACCCCGAAATAAATGCTTGGCCTTATTTTCGGGGAGGTCTTATTATTTTGGGGCACGTGGAGGAAACCAGAGGAAATGGCGGAGACCGGCTGCGCGTGCGTTTAAATATTTTCGGGGAAAGCTTATTTTCAGGGGGGGCTTATTTTAGCGCATGCATTCAAAAGCCCGATTGGGCTTATTATCAGGGGAGGTCTTATTTTTGGGGAAACAGAGTTACCTATTAAAAAGTTTTCCTTTACTTTATACACTCATAGGAAGTACCAAGTTAAAACTTTAGGACTCTATTTTTGGAGTAATTAAGATTGCAATTTTTTTTTCCTTTCGGGGGCAAATCTCTAATACGGTGTTGCCAAAATTCAAACATTCACTCAGTTTTGATAGGTGACCCTGGCGTGATCTGGAGCTACAGGCTCAATCACATATGTGACCTGCACATTCTTTCATTCCGCATTACATGTGAAATATACCACCATGGCTTATTGTACAACTTAGGTTTAAAACAAACCCTGGTTTGCCACAGTACGGAAACTCAGGTCCTGAACGTCTCTACAAAAATGGCCTAATAATTATTGATTTACCCAATACACTTACAGCAATTCATTTAGTAACCGTTCAAAGTTACAATAGCACTGTGACCGTTTTTCACACTTACGACAGTTTTAGCATCCCCATGGCCACATGAGCGAAGTTCAGATTGACTCGTATTTATGACGGTGTCCCTGGGGGGGGGTCACGTGATCCCCTTTTCGACCTTCTGACAAGCCAAGTCAATGGGGAAGCCCGACTCACTTAACAACGGTGTGACTAACTTAACAAATGGAATGATTCACTTAGCAACTATGGTACTAACTTAACCACTGCAGCGATTCCCTCAATGACTGTGGCACGACAGGGTGTAAAATGGGGCAAAACTCAATAAACGTTTCACTTAGCAACAGAAATTCTGGTCGTAAGGTGAGGACTGACGGCAGTTCAATCGTTCATAGGCTGAATAAAAGACAAGATGGCTACCTTGTTTGACCGGTTGGGTCAACGTAAGTGGTTTGGTCCAGCTTCACCCATTTTCTTTGAGTAATGGTCTGAAAAGAAAAAAAAAATAAACATCAATTAAACCATGGTTTAAAACGGTCAATGCGTGGCTAACCACAACCAAGCATATCAGTTGCTGCACATTACAAATCGAAAGCAACAGACTCCAGAGATATCCAACCTATTATAATTTTGAATATGCTCTAATGTAAACAGACAAACTATTAAATATATTTACAGGGGAGAATTAAGATTAAATGTGAATTAAATCCAATCTACTATGGTATTTTTTGCCTTGACCGTACCCTTCTCGCTTCGACTTTCAAAAACTCAACAATGCTTAAAAAATTGACTCCCCCCGAAACATTTACAACACTCAAAAAGCACATTTAAGGAAAACAGATTTTAGCCTTACCTTAAAAAGCAGGAGATGCTTCAAAAAGCAGCATGTTCTAAATTATAGAATTATTTTAGGATTACGATCCGTGCTATTTCTACGGCGTCTTAACATCACCGAGGAAGTTAGCTATTACCTCCGTGTTCCTTCTTATGAACTTTGAATGGGTGCTGAGGGAAATCCTTAAGTTCTTGTTAAGCCCGGAGAATTTATATTTGCAATTAAAAAAGAGAGAAAGAAAGAGAGAGAGAGAGAGAGACCGTAAGAAGAACCAGGAGAGGAAAACAGAGGTGACATCATGGCTTGAGAAAACTCAGGATCAAAAGCTGAAGATCAACAGCGGTGAGGATTTTTTTTTTCCAAGCTCAAGAGAAAAAAAAAGGAGGAGGAGAAATCAGGAAAAGAATTAAAAGGGAAGAATTCCAAAGATGCTTTTTTAAAAAAAAATTTCAAAAGGCACCTGGACTTTTGTTTTTCCTCGAAGACGTTTCGCCTCTCGTCCAAGAAGCTTCTTCAGTTCTGACCGAGGTCAGAACTGAAGAAGCTCCTTGGACGAGAGGCGAAACGTCTTCAAAGAAAAACAAAGACAATCCAGTTGCCTTTTGGGAAAAAGCATTTTTGGGACAAACAAGACTTGGATGGCTGAGAATTTTTCCACCGACATAAAAGGAAGGAACTGCCATTTTAGGCTCACTTATATGAGAGTAAGGTGAACTAAGGGCAAAAGTGACCTCATGCATTTGCACAAAGGATGCAAAATACACAATTTTCATCAGCAACAGCAGGCATTCATTCATTCATGGCATCGTCTGTCTGACGAAGCCATGATTCGCAAAATTGTCTTCATGGCTTATTGTGGTATACAACTATGTTTGCAGATATTATCGTTCGGTTGGGACTTAACAACGTTGTGGTGAACAAGGATTTAAAAGGTTTAGCTAAACCCGTCAAGGATCAGGAATTGGTTGGGACACAATTACAAATATTGTCTTTTAAGTTAGAGCAAGCTTATCCCGGCCTCCAAATGTTTTCAGTTTTACCTGCTATGAGGTAAAAGACCAAAAAAAAAAAAAAAAGGCTCAAAAGATCACAAAGAAAAGAAGATCTATTACTGAGGGGGGAAAAAACCCACAGTGTTTTATGGCACTGATCAAGTTTTTTGAGAAACATTTGAACGGTCACAGAGTAAGAGTCGGAAGGGACCTTGGAGGTCTTCTAGTCCAGCCCCCTGCTCAAGGAGGAAACCCTCTACCATTTCAGACAACTGACTGTCCAGCCTTTTCTTAAAAGCCTCCAGCGATGGAGAAGGAAGGAAGGAAGGAAGGAAGGAAGGAAGGGAGGGAGGGAGGGAGGGAGGGAGGGAGGGAGGGAAATATATGGGTGAGGAAGGAAGGAGATATGTGGGGAAGGAAGGAAGGAAGGAAGGAAGGAAGGAAGGAAGGAAGGAAGGATGGAAGGAAGGAGGGAGGGAGGGAGATATATGGGTGAGGAAGGAAGGAGATAGGTGAGTGAGGAAGGAAGGAGATATATGTGTGAGGAAGGAAGGAAGGAAGGAAGGACGGAAGGAGGGAGGGAGGGAGGGAGGGAGATATATGGGTGAGAAAGGAAGGAGATAGGTGAGTGAGGAAGGAAGGAAGGAGATATATGGGTGAGGAAGGAAGGAAGGAGGGAAGGAAGGAGGGAAGGAAGGAGGGAGGGAGGGAGATATATGGGTGAGGAAGGAAGGAGATATGTGAGTGAGGAAGGAAGGAAGGAGATATATGGGTGAGGAAGGAAGGAAGGAAGGAAGGAGGGAGGGAGGGAGGGAGGGAGGGAGGGAAATATATGGGTGAGGAAGGAAGGAGATATGTGGGTCAGGAAGGAAGGAAGGAAGGAAGGAAGGAAGGAAGGAAGGAAGGAAGGAAGGACAGAAGGAGGGAGGGAGGGAGGGAGATATATGGGTGAGGAAGGAAGGAAGGAAGGATGGAAGGAAGGATGGAAGGAAGGAGGGAGGGAGGGAGATATATGGGTGAGGAAGGAAGGAGATAGGTGAGTGAGGAAGGAAGGAAGGAAGGAAGGACGGAAGGAGGGAGGGAGGGAGGGAGATATATGGGTGAGGAAGGAAGGAAGGAAGGATGGAAGGAAGGATGGAAGGAAGGAGGGAGGGAGGGAGATATATATGGGTGAGAAAGGAAGGAGATAGGTGAGTGAGGAAGGAAGGAAGGAGATATATGGGTGAGGAAGGAAGGAAGGAGGGAAGGAAGGAGGGAAGGAGGGAGGGAGGGAGGGAGATATATGGGTGAGGAAGGAAGGAGATATGTGAGTGAGGAAGGAAGGAAGGAGATATATGGGTGAGGAAGGAAGGAAGGAAGGAAGGAAGGAAGGAAGGAAGGAAGGAAGGAAGGAAGGAAGGAAGGAAAAAAAGGAAGGAAGGATAAAAAAGTTGGAAGGGATCTTGGAGGTCTTCTAGTCCAACCCCCTGCTCAAGCAGGAGACCCTATAGTACCATTTCAGACAACTGGCTGTCCAGCCTCTTCTTAAAAGCCTCCAGTGATGGAGCAACCACAACTTCTGAAGGGAAGGTGTTCCACGATGACTAATTCATTGTTCTCACTGTCACGAAATTTCTCCGTCTTCAATGGGAACCAAGGCCAATGATTTTCAAAGCATCTCTAAGCTTGCTTACAAAGAAGTAGCTCATATTTGTTTTCAGTGAGAGCTACTCTCTAACACGGGCAGAATGATGGTTTCATCAATGTTTAGACATGTTCTAGGAAGGCCCCCCCGGTCTGGATTTTCATTAGGAGCCAACCCATCTCGTAACCTCCAGCCCGTGCATTGCAAAGTCATTTTTCTGAGGTCCAAACTCATATTCTAACAAAAAGTCGGATTTAAAGGCCACTGAACGTAAAGAAATCTTCTTGTCTATCATCTGAAACACAGGTAGTCCTCAACTTACAACAGATCATTGAGTGGCCGTTCAAAATGACCACGGCACTGAAAAAAAATGGGAAAAAGTGAACGTGTTTCACACTTAACGACCGTTTCAGCATCCCCGTGGTCACGTGATCAAAAATTCAGGTGCTTGGCAACCGAGTCACACTTATGACGGTTTGCAGTGTCCCGCAGTTATATCGTCCTGTTTTGAGACCTTCTGACAAGTAAGGGGAAGCCAGATTCACTTAACAATCTTGTGACTAATTTAACAGTTGCAGTGGTTCGCTTAACAACTGTGGCAAGAAAGGTCGTAAAACAGGGCAAAAACTCCCTTCACCAACGTCTCACTCAGCAACGGACATTTTGGGCTCAGTTAACGTCATAAGTCGAGAACTACCTGTAACACATTTGCAAAAAAAAAAAAAAAAAAACCTAAGAAATCAAACCACTTTGGCGTTCTTGAACCTAAGATTGATCCCTGGCGTAAAATGACCCCGATTAAACCCCACATACCTCTTCTTTGATGATGCTCTCTTGGGCAGATTTTAGAGCTTCCACAGATGCTTCTTTTTCCATTTTCAGGAAATGTCGGTTTCTCCCGTCTTTCTCAGGACAAAGTTCACTTTTCTACAAACCAAAGTCAATATTTGTCGTCACGTCTGGCCATTCATCCTTTTCATGCTCTCGTTGACAAACCATCTCTTCAGCAAATATTAACAAATATTAACAAACCGTAGCCTGAAGTCAAGTGAGGAATATGTTGGGTGGACAGACGGGGGGGGGTAGGTGGGTGGCGGGAATCGTCAGCCAATTTGGCCCGATCCTGTCCTAATCCTAAAAGGACTCAATCGATACGAGCAAATATGTTGCTAAAAGAAAGCAAGAGCAAAAGGACGGCCACATGCATCATTCACATGCAAAATTAGAAGTTGGGATTGCAATTTTGGTGACTTCGTGGATTTCAACACCTTTTGTTCCATTGAAAAGAGAATTAATTTAATTTAATATTTAATTTATCGCATTTCTATGCCGCCCAACTCCCAAGGGACTCTGGGCGGCTTACAGCAAAAACAATGCGAACAATGAACATAGAAAAATTATTAAAAAACATTATAAAAACATTTTAAAAACGTTAAAAGCCCATTGCACACCATTCATGGCTGGATCTCGCAAGATTGCAGCGGCGAGATCAATGGCCCCAGGCTTGCCGGAAAAGCCAAGTCTTCACCGCTTTCCGAAAGGCCAAGAGAATCATCCTTGAGTTTGTGACTTACAAACGCAATGGAGACCAACATTTCTGTTTCTCTGCGAAACATTTTTTTTTAATATGTAGAAATTAACAAGCAAGATGTAATATTAAAAGAGAGTTTTATGTGAATTGGTCATGAAAATCTTAATTTATGTAAAATTCAAAGGTGCGCTTGCTGCTAAATTGAGGGATGAGGAAGCTTTTTTTTTTAATGGGTTGGACAACGGTTTTAAAATTATTTTCCAAAAATAATAATAATAATAATCCACCTATGGTACTATAACGACATCAACGGAGGAGGGAATTTGGAGAGGGGGTTATGTGTGACGTCTTATTCTCATTCTGTATGATATATTAGGTCTATTTTGGGACTTGCACAATTTGTTCTTACGTATTTTTCTTCCAAAATACGGCAGGAAATTGTGCCAACGTTTTGGAGAAATTAGGGAGAGCAATTAGTGCAAGGTTGTCCTTGACTTACATCGGTTCATTTAGTGACTGTTCAAAGTTACAACAGCGCTGAAAAAAACTGACTTACGATTGTTTTTCACACACTGTAGGATCCCCGTGGTCACATGAGCCAAATTCAGACTCTTGGAAAGCGACTCGTATTTATGACGGTTGCAATATCCCAGGGTCAGGCAATCCCTTTTGGCGACCTTCTGACAAGCCAAGTCCACGAGGAAGCCAGGTTCACTTAACAACTGTGTGACTCACTTAACAACAGGGGCAAGAAAGGTCGTAAAATGGGAGAGAACTCACTTAACAAATGTCTCACTTAGCAACAGAAATGTTGGGTTCAATTAAGGTTGTAAGCCAAGGATGACCTACACTAAAGAAGAGGGTTTGGTAAATCAGGGTTAATCAGAAATTTCAGCTCTGCAGAAAATAGATTGCGACTTTAAGCAGACTAAAGGTAACTCATTGAGGTCTACGGAGGACAATCTACTCTCTTGGACAACAATTGAGAGTGTAATGACCTACCATGAGGACAAAGTCCTGCAAACTTTTTTTTTCCAATCAGACACGATCTCAGAAAGGTCTGTATCTAACGAGTGAAAACTATCCCACGATTAATATCCATTTTTACAAGTTTTGAAAGCTAGAACATTTTGATTTTAGCAGGGTTGTTTGTGCCCTTGGCTTTATTTTTATTTTATTTTATTTTTTGCCTATCTATTGTGTATTGGATGCGGTTCCACATTTAGCTGCAAAGTAATCTTTCCCAACAATGATACAGCTACGGTGACCCTATTTTCCTGCAAAAAGAACATATGTGAATAAAAGGGCAAATCTGAAAGAGGTTTGTAAGGATAGAAAACATTTAGATGATTATGTCCGTAACTTTGCAGAAGAAAATTCAAGAGCAAAATGAAGAAAATTTTTGCAAAAATAGATTTATAATAATTTTTTAAAGAAAGCATGTGAAGCTATAATGTTATAAGGAGCAAGTGTTAAAAAGGATTTCTGCAATCGGACCATACATTCAGCGGTAACACTTGTACAATATATGTTAAATGAATAAAATAAAGGACCAAACTCACTTTCTGAAAAATAAATCTGTTGATCCATCTAAAGGGCATCTTTTTGAAATAAAGGACTATACTTTTCCTTCCTTCCTTCCTTCCTTCCTTCCTTCCTTCCTTCCTTCCTTCCTTCCTTCCTTCCTTCCTTCCTCCCTCCCTCCCTCCCTCCCTCCCTCCCTCCCTCCCTTCCTCCCCCATCCATCCATCCATCCAATAGTTTTTTCCTTTATTTTGTTAATTTAACTTATGTCATACAAATGTTACCACTTAATGGTCATTTTAGCCTTTAATGGCAATCTTTGGCATGATGGACAACTATTAGAAATAAATCGCAGGTTTAAATTAAACATTCAGATAGTTTATGATTTCCAGTTATGACACTACAAGACAACACAATGACACTTTCTACAAGTGGAAATTTCCAAACCTTTGCTGCGGAAAATTCAAGAGCAAAACCAAGGAAAACTTTGCAAAAAGCCACAGTGTAAATAAAAATATCTAGAAAGCATGTGAAGCTATAATGTTATAAGAAGCAAATATTAAAAAGGATTTCTGCAATCTGACTGCATTCAGCGGTAACACTTGTACAATATATGTTAAACGAATAAAATAAAGGACCAAACTCACTTTCTGAAAAATAAATCTGTTGATCCATCTAAAGGGCAGTTTTCTGAAATAATGGGCTGCCCTTTTCCATCGATCGATTGATCGATCCATCAATCCATCCATCCACCCATCCATCCATCCAATAGTTATGTCCTTTATTTTGTTCATTTAACTTACGTCTTACAAGTGTTATTTAAAGTCTTTTTAGCCTTTAAATGGCAATCTTGGCATGATGGACATTGGACAACTATTAGAAATAAATCTGAATTAAACATTCAGAGAGTTTATGATTTCCAGTTTGGTACTAAGACAATACAACGACACTTTCTTTAAGTGGAAATTTCCCAAATCCTGCTGATTTTAGGAGCTTTGAGTTGAACCAAGGTAGCCATGCTTCACTTCAGCTGAAATCTACAGGATACATTATGTAAGAATAACTGATAACGACATTTCATAGGTTAGGAGGGACTGATCTAATGATCTAATTATAATGATCCAATTTAATTAAACAGTAAAAAAAGTAATTTCCTAATGCTTTGTATGAAGCATAAACAGCAGCCCTGCAAATTATTTTAAACAAAGCTATTTAAAGTTCAGAGCAATTAGTTTTCAAGGGAAAGATGCCAGTTATCTCTATTTCTTCTTTTTAAAATCTTTTTTAAAGGCACCAAGCTGTAAATTGTCAGTGGGTGTTCATCTGATTTTTTTTTTAATGGAACTTTTAAAATATATATATATATATATTTTGCTTAAGCTCGTCCGACAAAAAGAAATATTCTTTCCTTTTATACAGTATTGTTTGGAATTTCTATTTTTTTACCTCTGCATTATTAATTCATGTCTTAATGCATGCATTAATTACAAGTACATTTGCATGATTAATTAAAGTCTCAAAGAAGGGAAAAAGGAAAGGCAAGTTCTCCGCATTCCTTCTCCCGCTTCTCTTTTGATTTCTGTTCCTTTAATACTATAAAAAAAAGTTTTAAAGATTTAAAAACTTTTGGCAAAAAAAAAATGGTTGTAAAAAAAGTTTAAAACGGATAAAGGGACCAGTTATTTTTGAAGGATTATGGGTGAAAGTGGTTTTTTTTAACCCATTGGCATTCAATTATTAGATCAATGAACTGGACCTAAGTTGGCGGGAATGTTATTTTGAGATCTATTTGGAAAAATATGTATATATCAAATATCAGAATATATTTGAATATGTTATTTTGTTCATGATTAGAGTCTTCAGATAACTGGTGGATTTCACAAAACAGAAAAGGAAAACGAGCCGGACTATAACCACTTAATGCCATTAAAAACCAAGATTTCTCACGCTCAGAAACTTTAAATGGACTTCAATTCCCAGAATTCCCCAAACACTTGCCTGGGGAATTCTGGGAATTGAAGTCCACTGATCTGAAAGTTGCTAAATTTGAAAAATCTCTGCATTTTGCAACCTATTCTAACAATTTGCATGCAGTGCGATTCAGAAGCTCATCAAGCACAGGCACTCTGCACATGCTCAACTCCTCTCTGCTCCCCCCCAGCCCAATTAACAGCTGCTAACCTCCCTCTCCTACGAGACTCGCGAGTTGGCGGCAGGAGGTCACCTCTAAACCTTCTCTGCTCACCGTTTTCCCCCCACGAGCAGGAGCCGAAGAGTCTCTCCGCTCCGTTCCGTTCCGCTCCGCTGATTGGCTGAAAGCCGAAATCCTCGAGATGAGGGAGACCGTCCGATGGTAGGGCCCCTGTAGGTGGCCGACTCTGTCACGCATGCGCCTGGCGGGTTGCTTTTTGTACGCCCGCCGCTACCTTCGTTCGTTTGGAAGCGCCAGAGGGAGCCTAGAGATAGGAAAATTAGAGTCGTCCTCAAGTCTTCATGACATTATTTATAGCAATTGGTTTAACTTATATAGGATATGTGTCCTGATCTAGTTTCAGTAAAGATTAAAATGATGTTCTGGTTGTGTTTCAGAACCGAAACAGAAGACTCGGTGTTAAATAAACCTAAAGTTCCGCCTGTGAGGTTCTATTATACTTATCTCTACATGACCGACCGAGATCCACCTACAGAGTACGTTCTCTGTCACTGATTGGCTTACGCAAACGCCTGTCACTTACCAGCTCCAAAGAAAGCTAGCCTTCCGGCTTTCCCTGGAGGGCGGTGCTAACCAGGCAGGTCGAAGGACAATCCCTCACCCAATAAGGAGGAGAAGGCGTGAAGCCCCGCCTGCCGCGCTCTTTGATTGGTCGGGTCCTCCAGGAGCAGCCGGGACGATGGAGTAGCAGGTAAAAGGAAGGAGCCGGAGGAGGCGAAGGCGGGCGCGGGGCAGCAGCAGGCGCGTGGGAATGCACACTCAGACACGTGTACCGCTTAGGACACGCCTCTGGGCTGCAGAGCCTGTTTGCGGTTGGGTGCTGGGTTTCCCAATGACGTCACAGGCGAATATGGAGACTGATGGTGACTCTACACACAACACACACATCACACATGAACACACGTAACACACGTACACATCATACACATCATACATGAACACATACACACACAACACATACACATACAAACATCACACATACACACACAACATACATATGCACACACAAAATGTACATATACACACATATAACATGCACACACATACACATACATGAACACATACACATACAAACATACCACATACACACAACATACCACATACATACACAACACACATGAACACATATAACATACATACATACACATCATGCATGAACACATACACATACAAACATCACACATACACACAACATATACACATACCACATACATATGCACACACAAAATGTACATATACACATACACACATATTACATATACATATACACACAAAATGTACATATACACACATATAACACATACACAACATATACACATACACACATATAACATACATATATACACACATAACAGACACATACACACATATCACATACATATACACACACAAAACATACATATACACATATAACATACATGTACACAGTTTATTTGATTTGTATACTGCCCTACTCCTGAAGGACTCAGCGCGGTGAACAGCCACAGGATAAAAAACATAAATATAAAATTTAAAACTGAATAAAATCGAATTAAACAATTTGGCCGAAGACAGATTTAAAACACCCCAATAAATTAAAAACGAATTAAAATTTACGTTTTAAAAAGGGAAAAAAGGGAAACAGTTAGGCCAGGCCAGCCTGATGGAATAAAAAGGTCTTGAGAGCGCGGTGGAAGGTGCATAGATCCTCCGTATCTCCAGGGGGAGCTCATCCCAGATACACATATAACATACATATACACACATACTCATCATACATGAACACATACACAACACATACATAGGTACACACACATGAGTATGCATATATGTATATACATAGACATATATTCACACGCAAACAACATGCAGGTACACATACACACATGTATATTTCCTTCCATCTGTCTGTGTGTGTAGGTATGTATATGTATGTATACACACAACATACACAGGTACACACATGAGTATGCATATGTGTGTGTGTACCTGCGTGTGTATGTGTGAATATGTGTGTATACACGTGTGTGTATACACACTTATTCACACACACACACGCAGGTACACATACGTGTATGTGTAGTAGATGTGTATGTATATACACATACTCGTGCATGCACACACACAGATGAAGGAGAAGAAGGGAAGAAGAAGAGAGGGAGAAGAAAAGAAAGGGAGATGAAGACGAAGGAGGAGGAGAAGGGGAAGAAGAAGAAGGAGGAGGGCAGTTGATGGGTGGCTTGGACATAGTGGCAGGGATTGGGATTGGGATTGAGACCGGTCGTTTTGTGACTATAGAACTATAGACTATAGAACATTTTATGATGTTTGTGTATCTATATTTTTCTTGGCTGTACACCACCTTGAGTCCTACGGGAGAAAGGCGGTATAGAAATATAATAAATAAATAAATAAATAAACAGAGGTGGGCAACTACGGCCCCTCTATGACCTGTGGACTTCAACTCCCAGAATTCCTGAGCCAGCGGGAACGGTAAACCAAGATTGCCAGAATTCCTGACACTCACAAGTGGAATATACACTTTTGAGATACACGAGTATCTCAAATATGCGAAGGCTGAGGATATTTTCTTGGCTAGGGAAATAACACCTCAACCCCAAAGAACAATGCTACTCGATCTCTTTGGTCTTCTTAAAACATATCCTTCCCAGAGATACCTGCAAGACGGAGTAAAATATTTAGCATTTAATAAAAATGTTAACAGAAATGAAAGTGTCACTATTCAATCCTTCTGCCTTTAACGAATGGGGTAAAATGGTTCTCTGCCCTCGTCTTCAAATGTTAAGTTGTGTTGTTTCCTTTCCTGCAGAGCTGACAGTCATCTTTTTGAATATCAAGATGAAGAAAGAACAGATACTCAACTGTCAATTCTCTTCCTGGTATCCTCGTTTTAAGAGGCAGACCATCCGCAGGTACCTGAGACTAATTTTTACCTTGAATTAGATAGCGAGCTTGTCCCAAAGGTGCTTTTTCAAGAAGAGGTAGCTGAACTTTCTGATTTTTCTTTGAAGAGGTTTCACTTCTCATCCGAGAACTTCAGTTCTGACTGAATGGTGGACGATAGAACTGAAGAAGCTTCTCAGATGTGAAGCAAAACCTCTTCAAAGAAAAACAAAATCCAGTTGCCTCTTGAAAAAGCACCTTTGGGACAACCATGGCCTGGATGACTGAGAATTTCCATCAACTTTTAGATAGAAGCTTATTCCTATAGAATTCTCTGATGAAACACCTTATTGGAAATTTATTAGAGATTTCTAATAGTTCATATGTAAGTAAGACAGAATCAGCCAGTCTTTAGGGACGGATTAGCAGCTTTGTTCATTATTTTTGCTTAAAACAACGTGAAGAAGTGATGCCTTTTCAGAACTTCCTTGCTGTGTCTTCAGATTTATAAGCTCTCTAAAATTATTTTGTTTTAATCCTTTTTCCATTTTAGTGTCATTCTTCCAATCCCACAGAACGTCAAAGATTATTTGTTAGATGATGGAACCCTGGTCGTTTCTGGCAGGTAAAAAATTGTCCTTAAAAGATTAAGATGCATTTTAAAAAATAATTATGTGTGGGTTTCTGTGATCTCTCTAAACACAGAGGCTGCTTTCCTCTCTTCTTTTCGATGATCATTGTGCCTCTGATGACAGAGTAGAAAATAGTAAAAATATAATACTGTATAAAGTTCTTCAGAGGCATTCAAATTCTGTGTCTCAGTAAATCTCAAATTTTGTGTCTCAGTAACCTCAAATTTTGGGTCTCAGTAAATCTCAAATTTTGGGTCTCAGTAAATCTCAGATTTTGGGTCTCTATAATTCTCAAATTTTGGGTCTCAATAAATCTCAAATTTTGGGTCTTAGTAAATCTCAAATTTTGGGTCTCAGTAAATCTCAAATTTTGGGTCTCAATTTCAGATTTTGTATCTCAGTAAATCTCAGTTTGTGTCTCAATAAATCTCAATTTTGGGTCTATAAATCTCAAATTTTGGGTCTCAATAAATCTCAAATTTTGGGTCTCAGTAAATCTCAAATTTTGGGTCTTAATAAATCTCAGATTTTGTGTCTCTATAAATCTCAAATTTTGTGTTGCAATAAATTTCAAATTTTGGGTTTCAGTAAAACTCAAATTTTGTGTCTCAGTAAATCTCAAAGTTTGGGTCTCAGTAAATCTCAAATTTTGCGTCTCAGTAAATCTCAAATTTTGCGTCTCAGTGTAAATCTCAAATTTTGTGTTTCAGTAAATCTCAAATTTTGTGTCTCAATAAATCTCTAAGGAAATGGAAGCTTGATTTAAGTCCAGTAAGGTACAAAGCTAAACATTGCATATTTTTTCAAACCTGGAATGCAAATTTGAATATGTGCAAAGGTTTCTAAACCTTTCAGTCAGCCCAGGTAGTCCTCAACTTACAACAGTTCGTTCAGTGATGGTTCAAAGTTATAACGGCACTGGAAAAAAAATTACTTATGACCAGTTTTCACACTTACAACCGTTGTAGCTGTCACGTGATCGGAATTCTGACCAGCTTGGCAATGGACTCATACTTACGACGGTCGCAGTGTGCCGGGGTTACGTGATCCCTTTTTGTGACCTTCCGACAAGCAAAGTCACTGGGGAAGCCAGCTTCGCTTAACAACCGTGTGACTAATTTAACGACTGCAGTGATTCACTTAACAACTGTGGCGAGAAAGGTCATAAAATGGAGCGAAACTTACTTAACAAACATCTCACTTAACAACAGTTTGACTAATTTCACAACTACAGTGATTCACTTAACAACCGTGGTGAGAAAGGTCGTAAAATGGGACAAACTCACTTAACAAATGTTTCACTTAGCAACAGAAATTATGGGCTCAATTGTGGTCGTAACTCAAGGACTACCTGCACTTTAAACCACCTCCTTCTAAACAAGTCTTTTCAGCAAAGCAACAATTTGGAACATTCCCCCCAATCTTTGATCATCTTACTAAGTGTTTTTTTCCCCCCTACAATAACAATTTCCTGCAATTTCCTGCTTTAACACAAACATCCGTAGTTTTTAATTGGAAAAATACTATTAATTGGCCAAAACAGATCGCTTTCATCTCGAGGTTTTTCCAGAGTGGTTTGTTTTTAAAGATTGTTTTGTTTTGTTTTTAGGTCCTTAAATGTTATAAAAGACTTATTGTAATTAAAGTTAAAACTTTTAAGGATTTGATCCTCAAAACGTTTCACCTTCTGCTTTCTTATTTAGAGAGGATCCCCAAACTATAACCCAAGATGGAGCCGATGAGGAAGAAGCAGAAGAAGCGGTGGTTTGTAGAAAATGTTTATACTGTAATTATTTTTTGGGTGTGTGTGTGTGTGTCTCTGGATTGTCGGATAAATCTCCCCTCATTCTAGAATTCCATATCTTTTCCGTAAGTGAGGATGGAGATTCGTTCTCCGAACTTGGGGTTTCTGAACGTCTCGTTACCAGTCTACGTAACATCTTCAATGAATTTAGGGGAGGCCAGTGTTGGCCTTCTTCTGCTCCTAAGGGCTTTGTGTGGTCAGTGGGGTCTTGTGATGGGGAGGTCACACCAGGTGAGGGACCCATCAGGGATGGGTCAGGGATGGTTTGCATCAAGCGAGAGCCTCTTGGATGAGAAGCGAAATGTCTTCAAGGGGAAAAAAACCCCACAAAAGTCCAGTTGACTTGGGGGCCCCCCGGATGACTGAGAATCTCCACAAACATTTGAACCTATTCACAATAACATTTATCGGTTAGCCACAATGAAACCACTGTCAATAGTCACATCCTAATCAAAAGGAACTCGTTTCTGGTCTCCCTTTTTTTCCCCCCAGTGGTCTGATGATGAAAATACGGCAACGCTTACAGTAAGTCCCTCTGTATTCAATTATTTTTTGAATAGAAATAGAAAGAGGAATGGAGTGGAATGGGAATAGGATAGGGAATAGAATAGAATAGAATAGAATAGAATAGAATAGAATAGAATAGAATAGAATAGAATAATAATAGAATAATAATAGAATAATAATAGAATAGAATAATAATAGAATAGGAATAGGAATAGAAAATATGGAATAGAATAGAACAGAATAGAACAGGAACTGAATAGAATAGGAATAGAAAATATGGAACGGAACAGAACAGAAAATATGGAATATAAAAAACGGAATGGAATGGAATGTAGAATATGTAGAATATATAGAATAGAATAGAATAGAATAGAATATAGAAAATGAATAGAATAGAATACCATAAAATGTAGAATAGAATAGATTATAGAAAATGAATAGAATAGAATGTAGAATATAGAGAATATAAAATAGAACAGAACAGAATGTAAAATAGAATAGGAATAGAAATAGAAAAGTCTTTATTGGCTAAGTTTGATTGGACACACAAGGAATTTGTCTGCGCTACATAAGCTCTCATTGTACATAAAAGCTATAAGTGATAAATCATGACCATAGTCGTCATAAAAAATACATTCATCCTAAATCATAAGATACAACACTGAGTGATAGTCATGGGATACTAAATGAGCCATCAACATAAATCATAGTAGGAAACTAAATAAAACAATATAAATCATAAGGATACTAGCAACAAGATTATAGTCATAAGATGCTAAGGAATTAGGTAATACGAAGGATGAGAAGAATAATAGTAATACAGTCTTAGCAAATAGTTTGACAGTGTTGTGGGAATTAGTTCTTTAGCTGAGTGATGGCATGCGGGGAAAAAAATTGGCTTGTATGCAACAATTGTAATGCAACATTATTTCTCCTGGAATACTGTTTGCCTTTTTGCCTTACAGTTTCTCTTTTGTGGTTTTCCAGGCACCAGAATTTCCCGAATTTTCCCTTAAAGTTGAAGAGGCCATCCATTCCTTGGGAGGCAGCGTTTTTCCGAAGCTTAACTGGAGCGCTCCAAGGGTAAATTTAATTTAATTTAAGGTGCAAAGTTCTGAATTTTGAAACCGACGTTTTAAGTTTTAAGTTCTGAATTTTGAAGCCGACATTTTAAGTTTTAAATTCTGAATTTTGAAACAGACATTTTAAGTTCTGAATTTTGAAACAGATCTTTTAAGTTTTAAATTCTAAATTTTGGAGCTGACATTTTAAGTTTTAAATTCTGAATTTTGGAGCTGACTTTTTAAGTTTTAAATTCTGAATTTTGAAACAGTCATTTTAAGTTTTAAGTTCTAAATTTTGAAGCAGACCTTTTAAGTTTTAAGTTCTGAATTTTGGAGCAGACATTTTAAGTTTTAGGCCTTTCCTTTGGAAAAGCTCTCCCTCTGAACCAACATGAAAAGAAACTGAATGTCAGAGAGATAATGCTGCAAGGGTTTTATAAATTGTGTGGCTCAAAAGGACCCAGCTGCGCTAATCTGCTAAAATCTCAGTTTACCCTACAAAGCAGCATAAATCAATCCCGTCTCGAACAAAGCCTTGTACATTTTCTGGCATTAATGAGGTGTAGGGGAAAGTTTAAACATTTGGCCTGTGCAACCTCCTGAATGAGTTATTGCCGTGCAGAACAGAAACCTCTAAAGAAATTGAGCAATTAATTTGGCCTGAAGGGTGGCACACTCCAAGTCTCCCTTGGATGGGAGCCTGATTGACTTCAGCGGGAATAATTTTTGAGAAAGCAGAGATAAAAATCAGGCCTTGAAAGGACCAAGCGATCCCCCGCTGAGTCTTTTGCAATGTATGTCAACAAATAAGTTGCTTTTTCTGCGCTATTTAAATTGTCGGCTTTATTGCAGCACATTAACTACCGTTCTTTGCAGACCCGTAATAAGAGCTGCTTCTGAAGAATCCAATATAATCACGTTTTAATCCTGTAGTTCTGTAGTTTTTTAATGCATTTGAACCCCGTTTTTCACTGGAAAAACTTGGGGTGAATTTTGTTAAGCATTGAGCAAAGATACCTCACTCTCTACGTCTTGCAGACAAATCTAGATATGGACAGGTAATATTCGACGTAACAGCCACAATGGGGACTGGAATTTCCGTGGCTGAGCCAGGCGGTTGTTAGACAGTATTATACTCAGTTTTACCAACTTACCGGTTGTTAAGCGAATCACCATAGTCCTTAAATGAATCCCGCCGTTGTTAAACGAAAATCCAGCTTCTCCCACCAAGTCGGAGGGTCGCAAGTGGATATCACGTGTTCCTTAGGATGCTGCAAACTCACACGAATACTTTCCGTTTGCCAAGCACCCGGATTTTGATCATGTGACTGTGGCGATGCTGCAACAGTCATAAGCGCGAGGACTGGTCGTAAATCCCTTTTTTCAGTGTTGTAACTTTGAATGTGTTCTGACCCGGCTGCCAAACACAACAGACGTTCTGTGGTTAAATAAATGTGACAAACCCTCTGCATTTAAATCAATGATTCCTATATTAGGAGCTCCTAACAACAGCTCCCGACAGGCCACAACAAAACGATTACTAAATGAAAATTTGTCATATACAGGTAGTCCTTGACTTACAACATTCAAAGTTACAGCGGCACTGAAAAAAACTGACTTAGGACTGCTTTTCACACTTACGACCGTTGCGCCATCCCCATACATGATTTACATTCAGACGCTCCACAACTGACTCACCTTTATGACAGTAGCAGTGTCCCCCGGGGGTTACGCGATCAATCCCCTTTTGCAACCAAGTCAACGGGGAAGCTGGGTTCACTTAACAAGCGTGTCACTAATTTAACAACCGCAGTGACTCACTTAACGACTGGCCAGAAGAGTCTTACAAATGGGGCAAGACTCACTTAACAAATGTCTCACATTAGCGGCTGAAATTTTGGGCTCCCTGAATGGTTGTAAGTCGAGGACTGCCTGTAAGCAGTTAAAAGCATGTCTGAAATAAATAAATCCGTTTTCTTTAAGGACGCCTACTGGATCGCCATGAATAATTCCCTGAAATGCAACAGCCTCAGTGATATTTTCCTCCTTTTGAAAAGTTCGGATTTCATTACTCGCGACTTCACTCAGCCGTAAGTTGGACCTGTCCCTTTGAACAGGGAGATTCGAAAAAGTCCCAATATATTGCTTTTCTTCCCTTGTCTCTCCTGGAGACTAAAACATACGAAGAATGGCTGCAGGATTTGGGTTTGGCCAGTCTAAGGAAAAGAAGGATTAGCGAGGGACGTCATAGAAAGATTCCAGTATTTGAGGGGCTGCCACAAAGAGGAGGGGGTCCATTTATTTTCCAGAGCACAGGAGACAAGAAAGAACGGATGGAAACTAATCAAGGAGAGAAGCAACCTGGAATTAAGGAGAAACTTCCTAACAGTGAGGACAATTAATTAGTGGAACTGCTTGCCACCAGAAGTTGTGGGTGCTCCATTACTCTCTCATGGGCATGAAGGGACTCATGACTTATGACGCGTTTGATCCCTCCCTCGGGCTCAGCCTCCTACATCTACGTTCCTTTACGAAAGTGTTACCTGGAGGGTTTTTTTTTTGGCAATTTCTCCATCTTAGTGGTGCACAAACAATGGGCTTTTGTAAAGATTGTTCTTATTCATCCAGATTACATTTTAATTTCTGCGTGGAATAGTTGTACTTTTCCCCTTCCTTTATTTAAAGATCCTTCCAGGTCCTCATGAATGTATCTGGTAAGAGTCCGAAATAAACAGACATCCTGATTCGGTTAACAGTCCATTAGTCTTGGTATTGATTAAGTGCTGATAACCCACTGAAGTGAAAATGATTAAATGCTAATTGGGTTAAGGAAGGGAAGCGCTGAACAGGTGAAAATTGGCTTCATTCTTTATTTAGTTACTCAAAACAGGTTTATAGATTAAAAGGAGGGAAGGAAAACCCCACAAGCTCTGCTGGATAAAAATTCAATCATTTAACAGCGCCAATAAAATACGATGGAAATGGAAAAATGGGAGTGATTATACTCGTACAATATAAGGAGGAGGAGGAAGAGGGTTGTAGGGTCCTTGGTGCTCTCTGAATTTGGTTGTTTTCTTGCAGACGTTTGATGACCAAGCTAAGTAACATCATCAGTGCTAGAAGGAAGGGGGTGGGGTTTGCTCTCATCAGTTGATTTGGTTGCTTGCTCCTTAACACTGTTAGCAAGTGGTGAGTGTGTCACCGAGGAGCCTGTCACAATCAGTGGCGCTCGTACTTGTGGCGGTTAAAGGCATATTCGCAAATCTATCACGTGTGTTTCTTCCTCTCTAGGTTTATCCATTGCAACGATGATTCCCCTGACCCTTCTTTGAATTATGAAGTAAGCGCGACAGCTACTCTTCCTCGGGTTGCCTTTTGAACCCAGCACAAAACGTTTCCTCCCACACCAAGTTCCGTAGGAGAAAAATAAGAGAGGGAGAGAGAGAGAGAGATGGATAGGATAGAGAGATATTTAATAGATAATTAATATTTAATAGATTTAATAGAAGATGGATGGATGGATGGATAGATAGATAGATGGATGAACAGATTGATACGATAGATAGATAGATACTTAATAGCTAATAATTAATACATTTAATAGATGATAGATAGATACCGTGTTTCCCTGAAAATAAGACCCTGACTTATATTTTTTTGAACCCTGAAATAAGCGGTTGGCCTTATTGCCATGCGCTCAAAAGCCCGATTGGGCTTATTATCAGGGGATGTCTTATTTTGGGGAAAACGGTAGATGGATGGATGGATAGATGGATAGATAGATGGATGAACAGATTGATACGATAGACAGATATTAATAGATACTATTTAATAAATGTAATAGAAGATTGATAGATGATGGATGGATGGATGGATGGATGGATAGATGAACAGATTGATACGATAAATAGATATAAATAGATAATAATATTTAATAAATGTAATAGAAGATAGATGATGGATGGATGGATGAACAAATTGATACGATAGATAGATATTAATAGATAATAATATTTAATAAATGTAATAGAAGATAGATGATGGATGGATGGATGGATGAACAAATTGATACGATAGATATTAATAGATAATATTTAATAAATGTAATAGAAAATAGATGATGGATGGGTGGACAGATTGATACAATAGATAGATATTTAATAGATAATAATATTTAATATTTTCTTAATTATCCCTTAAGATGAAAGTGTTGGTGTTTTTTTGTGCCAGTTAATCAGAATTTTTCTATTCCCTTCCCTCAGCTTGTCCTCCGAAAATGGTGTGAATTGATTCCTGGGGCAGAGTTTAGGTGTTTCGTGAAGGAAAACAAACTTATTGGTGAGTTTATCATCAGTAAAAGCTGATTTATCCTCTGCTGCGTCCAAAGCTTTTCCAGATTATTTTTATTGTCACTCCCGCATTTCACACTGTGAGACTGCATATTAAATTTTGGGTATGATTCTTTTCGTCCCCGTCCTTTTACTTCTGCACAGTTTTTCCCATAATGGTCCAAGCAGCTCAAAAAAAATTAATAATACGAATGACCATCCTGCAGTCTCTCTGGATTTTAATATTTATGCATTGTCTGAGGACTTAATAATATGCCCCTTTCTACATCTAATCTTTTAAACTACAAGTTGCCTCTCCTTTTGGTTCACGGCAATCTCTAATGCAGCTTTGAAATCCGGTTGCTGATGGCATCATGGAAAGAAATTTAATTTGGCTAAGACGCTGAGCTTGTTGATCGTAAGGTCAGCAGTTCAGCGGTTTGAATCCCTACTGCCGCGTAATGGGGTGAGCTCCCATGACTTGTCCCAGCTTCTGCCAACCTAGCAGTTCGAAAGCACGTAGAAAAATGCAAGTAGAAAAATAGGGACCCCCTTTGGTGAGAAGGGAACAGCGTTCCATGCGCCTTTGGCATTGAGTCATGCCGGCCACATGACCACGGAGACGTCTTCGGACAGCGCTGGCTCTTCGGCTTTGAAACGGAGATGAGCAGCGCCCCCTAGAGTCAGGAACGACTAGCACATATGTGCGAGGGGAACCTTTACCTTTAACATTCTTGGATCTTATCTCTGACATATCTGTAGAGCTTGCCCATTGAAACTGCTAACTTATAGAAGTTTCTATTCTAAAACATTGTTAGTTATCAAAATTTCAAATAGAGCAGAGGTGATCTCAAAATGTTTTCTAGCCAGAGGCTGGGGATGATGCGTGCGTGTGGCGGCAAGCGGCTGCAGAAGAAGTGGACCGGCATCAGGCTCCTGTTGGGTGGGGCTGTTGGTGCCGCCGCCGCGAGGCGAATCAATAATTAGACCCACCCAAAAAGAAGCCCTAGTTGTTTTTTCGGAGGTCAAAAGAAAATAAGACCTGGTCTTATTTTCAGGAAAACAAGGTAGATATCAACATAACTCCTTTAATTTATGTTGATGATGTCACTGGGGAGTTAATCTCCACAATACAATGGAGCTGTCTTCAAAGAAAAGCTATTGTGTACGTGTGAAAGTTTCTGTAATGGCTGAGTAGTTCGGAGAACCGGTAGCGGAAATTTTGAGTAGTTCAGAGAACCGGTAGCGGAAATTTTGAGTAGTTTGGAGAACCGGTAGCGGAAATTTTGAGTAGTTTGGAGAACCGGTAGCGAAAATTTTGAGTAGTTCGGAGAACTGATAGCAGAAATTTTGAGTAGTTCGGAGAACCGGTAGCGGAAATTTTGAGTAGTTCGGAGAACTGGCAAATACCACCTGTGGCTGGCCCCAGAGTGGGGTGGGAATGGAGATTTTGCAATAGCCTTCCCCCAGAAGTGGGGTGGGAATGGAGATTTTGCAGTATCCTTCCCCTGGAGTTGGGAGGGAATGGGGATTTTGCAGTATCCTTCCCCTGCCACGCCCACCAAGCCACACTACGCCCACCCAGCCACGCCCACAGAACCGGTAGTAAAAAAAATTGGATTTCACCACTGGTTACAGTCCTGTAAGAGGAAACATTTGGCGCCTTCCGAATGTAATTAATTAGAATAAGTTCTAAGCAGGCTCAGGTTTAAATTTTTATTTTTAATTGATCAACAAAAGCATGGTATCATTGGGGCTCATATTCTACCACTCTGCTTTTAATTCCAAGGAAGTCTTGCGGTAGCAAGATTAACAAAAATTATAATGAATATAATTTGTCTTCCAGCTATATCTCAGCGAGACTACACTCAGTACTACGAACATATCTCTAAGCAGAAAGAAGAGATCTGTAGATGCATACAGGATTTTTTCACCAAACACATACAGTATAAATTTTTGGATGAGGATTGTGAGTACCCTTTTAATTTTAATAAGATTACTGTGGGTATTTTCTAACAATTGCAAGGATACTCACTATTCCTACTTTCTGCTTTTTCCCCCCCTTCCTATTTAGTTGTATTTGATGTCTACAAGGACAGTATGGTAAGTCAGCTTTCTCTTCTAATAACCGTGCTAATCAGTGGTGGAATTCAATTTTTTTTACTACCAGTTCTGTGGGTGTGGCTTAGTGGGCGTGGCAGGGGAAGGATACTGCAAAATCCCCATTCACTCCCCACTCCAGGGGGAAGGATATTGCAAATTCCACATTCCCTCCCCACTCCAGGGGGAAGGATATTGCAAAATCTCCATTCCCTCCCCACTCCAGGGGGAAGGATATTGCAAAATCCACATTCCCTCCTCACTCCAGGGGAAGGATATTGCAAAATCTCCATTCCCTCCCCACTCCAGGGGGAAGGATATTGCAAAATCCATATTCCCTCCCCACTCCAGGGGGAAGGATATTATAAAATCTCCATTCCCTCCCCACTCCAGGGGGAAGGATATTGCAAAATCCACATTCCCTCCCCACTCCAGGGGAAGGATATTGCAAAATCCACATTCCCTCCCCACTCCAGGGGGAAGGATATTGCAAAATCCACATTCCCTCCCCACTCCAGGGGGAAGGATATTGCAAAATCTCCATTCCCTCCCCACTCCAGGGGGAAGGATATTGCAAAATCCCCATTTCCTCCCCACTGTTGGGGGAAGGATATTGCAAAATCTGCATTCCCACCTCACTCTGGGGCCAGCCAGAGGTGGTATTTGCCGGTTCACCAAACTACTCAAAATTTCTGCTACCGGTTCTCCAGAACCTGTCAGAACCTGCTGGATTTCACCCCTGGTGCTGATGATTGGGAAGGCATATAATTAAGACCCTGATTTTCTCCCCAAGAGATTGGGAGCGCCTAGCCAACCGGGTCTGATCTTCAAAACACTGAATTGGTCACTAAGTGGAGGAGGGGGAAAAAATCAGGTAACCAAAAAACATACCTGAGAAGAAATCCATATTACAGAGGGAATAAGGAATGGCCTTGAAGGCAGGAGGAAGAGTGGCTATTAAGGCAGCGGTCAGATAAGCAGGGCTTGTACCCAGACAAATGAAGCAACTTGAGAAAACATCTAAGACAATCCCTCAGGAGTTCACAATGAAGATAAAATGAGGGGAAGAAAGCCCCTGATTTTGGATTATCTAGATTCTGTCACAACAGTAGTAATCCAAATTTATGTGGAATTGGTGTCTTATCCCTCAGAACTTTTGAAACAGAAACGTAACCGATCTGAAAAGGAAAAGGAAATTGTAATATTAGTGTTTTATTTTATGCTATCCCCATACGGATCGTTAACATTTTGACTCTTGCCATCCTTCTTCAGGGCAGAGTTTGGCTCATCGATTTTAATCCGTTCGGGGAAGTAACGGATTCTCTGCTGTTTACATGGGAAGAAATACGGTCTGGAAACAGTTTGAAAAATGACCATACTGAAGGTGCAGCGATGGAAGAGGTAAGAGAACAGAACATATTTTTAAAAATACAGGATAAATCTATATACAGGCATACATGCAATTAAGGCAGCTTTTCTCATTTTGCTAAGCATTGACATTTTACTTTTAAAAAAATTTTTAAAACTGTCCAGAATTACTGTGTGACAAGAATAAGTGAGTGAGGGAGAGAGCGAGAGAGAGAGAGAGAGAGAGAGAAAGGAGAGAGAGAGAGAGAGAGAGAGAGAAGAGAGAGAGAGAGAGAGAGAAAGAAAAGAGAGTGAGGGAGAGAGCGAGAGAGAGAGAGAAAGAAAAGAGAGAGAGAGAGAGAGAAAGAAAGAAAGAAAAAAAGAAAGAAAGAAAGAAAGAAAGAAAGAAAGGAAACCCCGCTGCTCAAACAGGAGACCCATACATTCCAGACAAATGGTTGTCCAGTCTCTTCTTAAAAACCTCCAGTGATGAACCCACAACTTCTGGTGGCAAGCTGTTCCACTGGTTAATTGTCCTAACTGTGAGGAAATTTCACCTTAGTTCTAGGTTGCTTTTCTCCTTGATTAGTTTCCATCCGTTGCTTCTTGTCCTACCCTCAGGGGCTTTGGAGAAAAGCTTGACTCCCTCTTCTTTGGGGCAGCCCCTGAGAGATTGGAACACTGCTATCATATCAGTATTCTAATATTTGAGGAGCTGCCACAAACAAGAGAGAGGTCAACCTGTTCTTCAAAACACCAGAAGGCAGGAGAAGAAACAATGAATGGAAACAAATGTTTCAGAGAAAGTGCGATATATGAGTATTTTAGACTGCATCGATTCGCTAATTAATGCAAAACGAATTTGCAAGGAAATAATTGAGTCAATCTTTCTCGACGTTGCTCTTCCCTTCCAAATTAGGAGTCTCTATCCTTCCGGTGCACGAACAGCAACCTCACGGTCCAGCCGAGTCCGTATCTGAGCTACAGGTTGCCCAAAGATTTTGTGGATCTCTCCACAGGAGAAGATGTCCACAAATTAATTGACTTGCTCAAGCTGGTAAGTGGATTTGGAGAGGATTATGGAGAGGGTAATCTTTTTACGTGATCTTTTGGGATATAAAAAGTCATCCTGCTAGGAATTCTTATAGCTTGGAACCCTCCTTCGCAGAACATTTAAGTGTAGTCCTACATTCAAGACTCACCTACCACTAGATTTTCCCTTACCAAACTCTAGACAGTTCAGCGAAATATATAAAAAGCTTATTTTTAAAAGCGTTACAATGAAGGAGATGATTGATACACTCAAATTGGAATGTAGTCCCTGGTGATTGGTGCCCACTTTCACAACATAACTGTAATATTGTTTATAATAATTTTCTAGACTAGAAATCTTATTTAGTCCTTTCTTGAAGGGAAAACATATTCCAGTGTTTCTCAACCTTGGCAACTTTTAGATGTGTGGACTTCAACTCCCAGAATTCCCCTTTCAGCTTGAGTGGACTTCAACTCCTAGTATTCCCCAGTTAGACTGTGTGGACTTCAACTCCCAGAATTCCCCAGTCAGCTTGCGTGAACTTCAACTCCCAGAATTCCTTAGTTAGCTTGTGTGGACTTCAACTCAGCTTGTGTGGACTTCAACTCCCAGAATTCCCCAGTCAGCAGTTTGTGTGGACTTCAACTCCCAGAATTCCCCAGTCAGCTTGCATGAACTTCAACTCCCAGAATTCCTTAGTTAGTTTGTGTGGACTTCAACTCCCAGAATTCCCCAGTCAGTTTGTCTGGACTTCAACTCCCAGAATTCCCTAGTCAGTTTGTCTGGACTTCAACTCCCAGAATTCTCCAGTCAGCTAGTCTGGACTTCAACTCCCAGAATTCCCCAGTCAGCTTGCATGAACTTCAACTCCCAGAATTCCTTAGTTAGTTTGTGTGGACTTCAACTCCCAGAATTCCCCAGTCAGTTTGTCTGGACTTCAACTCCCAGAATTCCCTAGTCAGTTTGTCTGGACTTCAACTCCCAGAATTCCCCAGTCAGCTTGTCTGGACTTCAGCTCCCAGAATTCTCCAGTCAGCTAGTCTGGACTTCAACTCCCAGAATTCCCCAGTCAGCTAGTCTGGACTTCAACTCCCAGAATTCCCCAGTCAGCTTGTCTGGACTTCAACTCCCAGAATTCCCTAGTCAGCTTGTATGAACTTCAACTCCCATCATACTGGCTGGGGAATTCTGGGAGTTGAAATCCACACAATTTAAAGTTGCCAAGGATTGAGAAACACTGATATAATTTATAAGATCGGTACTTTGTGATGGAAATAGGTATATATCAGTTTCCCTGCAAGTTCCTGTCACAATTTAAAACATTTATCACTTGGCATTTTAGAAAAATATACTCAAAACTCTGGATTATCTTTAAAATCAGTTGATTAATTTTTCCGAGGAACCAATTTACCTTTCAAACGGTTGCAAAATTTATGTTTTCGGATGCCCCTTAGAGAGAAACTTAAGGGCGGAGATGCACACCTTTTCACAAATCATTTTCAGCTCTCCAAAATTCAGTCACTGGAGTTCTATCCCTCTAATAAGTTTAGAAACTAATTTGCAGAAAATCAAGCGTGGTAGAAAACCACAAAGTTTTGCCTCAGTCTGTTGAGTGGCTTTCTTAAAGCTATTTTGCTTTCACAACAGCAAAGGGAGGCTCGGAATTGGCCAAGTTTGAAATCTCACTTGGGAAAAAAAAAGATTTTAGGAACACTTTTATGTCGTTTAAATCCACGATGAATGGTCTGAAAGCTTAAACAAAGCCAACCACAAGGAACATCCATTAATTGTGTTCCCACAGTGTGACTTGGGTATTTATACAGCCCCAATTCCGATCAAAGAGCAGCAAAGGCTTAGAAATTTTTTGCAAACAACCTTTTTGAGTTTTGAACTAAATATTTAGCCTATAGATATTTTAATTTAAAGCATGCAGAGGTGGCCTGTAAGCTGTTAAGTTTCCCTACTGGGACTTTCTGAGGGGTGGATGAAAGGACCGTAGCAGGAAAATTACCAATTCTTTTCTAGTATAGAAAAATGGTTCCTTTGTGAAAACTGAGGTCTCACACAACTCCACAGTGTTAGGAGACCCTAAAGTTTGAGTTGATTATTTTATCTTTTTGTGGTATTTAGTTTTTGTTGTGTACAGGCTTCGTATGATTTTTAAAAAAAATCTTTTTAATATTGGAAACCGCCCAGCGGCCGGTAAGATGGACGGCCAATACATTTAATAAAATAATAAACCATGCATTGGTCCATCAATACGGCTTGGTCAAAAATATCATTTGATTTCTAACGATCATCGTTCCGGCAGTCCTGGGGCCGTTGATCTCGCTCTTGTGATCTGGCGAGATCCGGCCATGAATGGCGTGAATGAGTTTTTAATGTTTTTAATTTTTCAATGTCTTTTTATAATGATTTTTTAAATGTATTGTGAGCCGCCCTGAGTCTTCGGAGAGGGGCGGCATATAAATTTAATTAATTAAATTAAATTGTGGTGACTGGTTATTGGTTCTTAACTTGACTATCAGTTTGTCTATTGTTTTCTACTCGATGTCTCCACAAATCCGTTAAATTTCTCGGTCTGTGCAAAAGCTGTTCGGACGGTTCAGAAAATGGAGTTAAACAGATTAAACATATTAACAGAGTTGGAAGGGACCTTATAGGTCATCTAGTCCAACCCCCCCTCCCCCCCCTACTCAAGCAGGAGGGTCATCTCTGTCCCTGGGCAGTTTTGGGAGAGTCCTGTTCTCTCAGGCCAAGCTCCTCATGGAGTGGTGGTTATTTATTTTTATTTGTAGCTTTATTAATTTGTGTCTCAGCTTCGTTATTTTTAGAAGCAACTCAGGGCCGTAAATATATACATAATGCTCCTTCCTACTCTTATTTTGCCCCAAACAACAACCCTGTGAGGTGGGTTTAGCTAAGAGAGAGGGACTGTTTTCATGGCTAAGGCGGGACTAGAACTCCCCGTCTCCTGATGATTGGGCCAAAGTCACTCAGCTGGCTTTCGTGCCTAAGGCGGGACTAGAACTCACCGTCTCCTGGTGATTGGCCCAAAGTCACCCAGCCGGCTTTCGTGCCTAAGGCAGAACTAGAACTCACTGTCTCCTGGTGATTGCCCCAAAGTCACCCAGCCGGCTTTCGTGCCTAAGGCGGGACTAGAACTCACCATCTCCTGGTGATTGGCCCAAAGTCACCTAGCCGGCTTTCGTGCCTAAGGCGGGACTAGAACTCACCCACTCCTGGTGATTGGTCCAAAGTCACCCAGCCGGCTTTCATGCCTAAGGCAGGACTAGAACTCACTGTCTCCTGGTGATTGGCCCAAAGTCACCCAGCTGGCTTTCGTGCCTAAGGCGGGACTAGAACTCACCATCTCCTGGTGATTGGCCCAAAGTCACCCAGCCGGCTTTCGTGCCTAAGGCGGGACTAGAACTCACCCTCTCCTGGTGATTGGCCCAAAGTCACCCAGCCGGCTTTCATGCCTAAGGTGGGACTAGAACTCACTTCTCCTAGTTTCTAGCCTGATGCCTTCCATATCCCCTGGAGTAAAACTGAAATAACAAAACAGTATGCTTTTTATGAATAAATCCATAAAATATCCACTCCAATTTTTGTTGTTGTTTTTAAACCAGAAAAGAAACCAGCCAGAGGATGACGAAACATGAAGAACACGGGATAAAATGAAAAAAAAAACCTAAAAAACGGAAAGGAGGCCACCCAGAAAAATAGCATTTTAACTGCAGCAGTTCTTTCGTCAGAAAGGAAAGGCGATGCTAACATTGCATCATCCTTTTACGGAATAAAGATATTTTCACCTCATTAGACAAAAATTGCTTGGGAAATAAGGATCCCCCATTTATACCGACTGGACTCAGTTCTCTCCCCAAAAGTCTGTATATTTCGTTTCTAAGTGTTTGGTTTGCGTTTCTTCCAGGTTTCCTACTTATAGCGGGGCTGATAATATTCTGTCTTTCAGAAAGGACAGAATATCAGGCAAAGGCAAAAGATGGAGCGTAAAACGGGAACCAGCACCGAGCTTCAAGATATAATTTACTAATAGTTGGGATACTATTTGCGGCCCAGCCAAAAGGCTTGGGAAAATCTTGCCTTCTTTCAAGGTGATGGATAACTGCGGTAGAAATAGAAGAAATAGAATAACAGAGTTGGAAGGGACCTTGGAGGTCTTCTAGTCCAACCCCCTGCTCAGGCAGGAAACTCTATACCCATTTCAGACAAATGGTTGTCCAATCTCTTCTTAAAAGCTTCCAGTGTTGGAGCGCTCACAACTTCTGGTGGCAAGTTGTTCCACTGATTAATTGTTCCAACTGTCAGGAAATTTCTCCTTAGTTCTAGGTTGCTTCTCTCCTTGATTAGTTTCCATCTGTTGCTTCTTGTCCTGCCCTCAAGTGCTTTGGAGAATAGCTTGACTCCCTCTTCTTTGGGGCAGCCCCTCAAATACTGGAAGACTGCTATCATGTCTCCCCTGGTCCTTCTTTTCATTAAACTAGACATACCCAGTTCCTGCAACCATTCTTCATATGTTTTAGCCTCCAGTCCCCTAATCATCTAATCCAGTCCCCAGTGATACGGAGAATTAAAGATACCTTTAATGAATACAGGTAGACCTTGACTTAAGACCACAGTCGAGCCCAGTCATTCTTAATTTCTCTCTCGGATACAATTCCATTTTTCATTGCAAAATTCTCCTCCGATCTCAGCACCGGGAACCGAAAGCCCAGAGAAGCATTAAGAATGCAGAAACAGTCACTTCTCCTGATTTGCTACCGTGTGTAAACTGCCTTCCGGGGAAACGGGTTGGAAGGGGGGCAGCATTTAATGTTTTTAAGTAGCTACTTAAGTAGATGGATAACAGATAATTTCGTGCTGCCCCTCCCCCCGCCCCCCGAAGAGGTTCTCACGGGCCTGCAGTTCTCAAAGGCCTCGCCAGCCACGTTTCATGAAATTGTGTCGTTAATTAGACCATGCGTTGGGTAGCTATTGTGCTGTCATGCGAGTCCTAATGAATAGGAGACGTGTTTCAGAGGCAGGTTGCTTCTCTACAGCTCCGTCAAGACGGTCGTGAAGTGGATTTTGGCCCATTTTTGCGACCTTTCCTGCCCCTGTTGTAAAGCGAATCACTGCAGTTGTTAAGGTAGCAACACCGTTATTAAGTCAACCCGGCTTCCCCGACGGATGCTGCTTATCAGAAGGTCGCAAAAAGGATCATGTTGTAGCCTGTTGGCCGCCGTCCCCCCCAGCAGCTGAATCGGAGGAGGCGTGGAAGTCAGGGTCAGTATCAAGGCAGCCTGAGAGCTCCGAGGGGGAAGAGGGAATGGAGCTGGCAGAGAGAGAGATGGAGGCAGAGCCTGGGCTGCCCGTCAGCTCTCAGATGGAGAGTCAACAGCTCCCACGTCTGGAGGTGGCTGATGAGGAAGAGGAGGAACAGCTGGGTCCAGTGCCTAATGTGCAGAAGAAGGCAGAGGAGAGGAGAGCAGTGGAAATCTATGAGCCGGTCCTCGGGATGGAAGAGCCACTGCTACTAGCAAAGCCCCATCCTACTCTGGGGAGAAAAGGCAGGGGGTGGAGATAAATTGATGTGGCAGACAGCTATTCATCTTCTGGACGGACGGACGGACTTGTTAGCCTGAGGTGAGAGAAACTTTTTGCCGGGGCTGCCAGCGCTCCTAATAAAGGAATATTTTGAGTTCACTTCAGAGGGTTTCTCGTGTTTGGGGAGCTGCGTCAGAACAGATCATGTGAGCGTGGGGCACTGCGACCGTCAGAAATATGAACCAGTTGCCAAGCGTCTGAATTTTGATCTCGGGACCTGAGGACAATTTTGTTTTTTTAAAAGAAAAATGAACTTCCTCTCTGGGCCACGGCAGCAAGATAGCAAGAAATACAAGTATAAATAGAGATGGTCCTTGACGAAACTCAGGCCAACATTTCTGCTGCTAAGTGAAACGTGTATGAAGTGAGCTTTGGTCCCACGTTACGACATTTCTTGTGGTCGTTAAGCGAATTGCTGCATTGGTTAATTTCGGTCATAAAGTGAATCTGTCTTCCCCCTTGACTTTGTCAGAAGGAGGCAAAATGTCCCACGTGACCCCGGGATATTACAACTATCGTAAATACGAGTCACGTGCCAAGCTTTTGAATTTGGATCATGTGACCACAGGGGGGGAATGCTGCACCGGTTGTAAGCGTGAAAAACAGTCACAAGTCCCTTTTTTCCATGCCGTCATATCTTCGAGCGGTCGCTAAACGAACGGTGGTACGTGGAGGGCTACCTGTATTTGCAAAAAATCGGATCCCACAGGCCACGGTTTTTCCCTACGTCAGACGATGGATGCAGAGCGCTTGGAAGAAGAATCAAATCTTTTGATTCTATCTGATTATTTAATTCAAGGTTTATTAGGAGCCGTCTTAGGCAACACAATCCCGGCTGCCTCCCTCACAAACAATTAAGTCGGAAACAGATAGCCGAGTACAGATGTTTGGCCCGGGGATTGTTAATTTATTCCCAAGCCACAATTTGCCTTCTTAAAATTTTCCACCGGCACGGTGTCATTATATCTCTCGATGCTCCCTGTGGGCACCGAGCTTGGAAAACAGAGCAGTACAGAAGATAATGGGGGGGGGGGTAGGGAGAGAGTTTTGTAGCTCAATAATAAATAATAAAGTTGACGCCCCAGGGACTAGACCCGGATTTATAAACTGACCGTACTGTATTTGCCAGAGGCAACGATTTCAATTTATTTTGATCAGGAGTGAAACTTACTTACCTTCCCCACCGGTTTGGAAGCACACGCATCACATGTGCACGCAGATCCTCTGTGCATGCACAAACCCTTCTGCACATGAGCAGAGGGTAAAATACAGGTTACTTCCTGGTTAAAACCTGGAAGTAACCGGGCGGGTGGGCGGAGCCTCACACCGCCATCGCTCCCGATTCTCCGAACCACCCACCGCCTTCGCTACCTGTTCTCCGAACCACCCACCGCCTTCGCTCCCAGTTCTCCGAACCACCCACCGCCTTCGCTCCCAGTTCTCCGAACCACCCACCGCCATGGCTACCGGTTCTCCGAACCACCCACCGCCTTCGCTCCCAGTTCTCCGAACCACCCACCGCCTTTGCTACCTGTTCTCCGAACCACCCACTGCCTTCGCTCCCAGTTCTCCGAACCACCCACTGCCTTCGCTCCCAGTTCTCCGAACCACCACTGCCTTCGCTCCCAGTTCTCTGAACCACCCACCGCCTTCGCTCCCAGTTCTCCGAACCACCCACCGCCATGGCTACCGGTTCTCCGAACCACCCATCGCCTTCGCTACCTGTTCTCCGAACCACCCACCGCCTTCGCTACCTGTTCTCCGAACCACCCACCGCCTTCGCTCCCAGTTCTCCGAACCACCCACCGCCATGGCTACCGGTTCTCCAAACCACCCATCGCCATCGCTACCGGTTCTCTGAACCAGTCCAAACCGGTAGCATTTCACTCCTGATTTTTGATTCCTGCTTCCTGACGCGCTGTTCCTACCGATGGATTTTACAAAAATCGAAATGCGAAAGGGTTGACTGTAGCCCTTTAGAATCATGCAGGCCGTCCTCGACTTACGACCGCAACAGAGCCCAACATTTCTGTTGCTTAAGCGAAACGTTGGTGAAGTTGAGTTTTGCCCCGTTTTACGACCTTCCTGACCACAGTCCTGAAGTGAATCTCTGCAAGTTGTTAAGTGAGTCACATAGTTGTTAAGTGAATCTGGCTCCCCCCCCGTTGCCTTTGCTGGTCAGAAGGTCGTGAAAGGGGGGGTCATGGGACGCTGCAACCATCATAAATAGGAGTCCGTCGACGAGTATCTGAATTTAGAGGACTGCTACAAAGGTCGTAACTGTGAAAAATCTTTCTAAGTCACTTTTTTTCAGTGCCGTTGTAACTGAAGGGCCACTAAATGAACTGTTGTTGTAAACCGAGAACTACCTCTACTCTTTTGATAAATGGAATAGATGGGTCCTATTTAATCTTTCGTACAAGTGGAAACCTACTTTGTGAATTTCTGGCGAAGGATGTCCAAGAAAGAGAAGAAGACACCGGCATAAAACCGTCAAGAAATTGCAGCTCGGTTGACTTCTCCACTCGATCAAGGAAATCTGGAAAGGAGCATTTCCTAATAGTCCAAGAGATTCCGCTTTAATTAGCTTGTTAGAAAAGCTAATTAAATAATAGCTTAATATCTTAACTGAAAAATACCTTAACCTTCTTAACGTCTGATAGAAGAGAATATTTTTACTCAGGATTGAAATTAGGTGTCCTTGGTGCTCTCCGAACTTGGTGGTTTTCTTGCAGACGTTTCATGACCCATCTAGGTAACATCATCAATGCTAGGAAGGGAGTGGGATTTGCAGAGAGGAAGGGGAGGGGGAGGACTGTGGGGGTCCTTGGTGCTCTCTGCGCTTGGTTCTTTTCTTGCAGACGTTTCATGACCCATCTAGATAACATCATCAGTGCTAGGAAGGGAGTGGGGTTTGCAGGGAGGATTAGGAGGAAGATTGTGGGATCCTCGGTGCTCTCTGAGCTTGTTTGTTTTCTTGCAGACGTTTCATTACCCAACTAGGTAACATCAATGCTAGAAGAGGGATTTGCTCCCTGTCCATATCCAGTAATTTGCCCTGCCAATATTGGTGGAGATACTGTTTTCTCTTGGAAAAAACACTGTTGTTTGCTACTTGACTGTTTGTCAGGAGTTAATCCCCGCTTATCTATTTTCCGGCTGCCTCCACGGTTCTTGTTTAGTCCAATTGATAGAGATTGCGAACATTA